GTTCCACAGAATGCGTCAGAATTTTCTTTACCCCGGGGGAATTCAGGCTTAGAATCGAGCAATAGAGACCTTGCCAACGAACGTCAGTGGGTCAACCAAAGAGGAAAAAGATCTGTTATTAAAAGTTGACTCAGTTACATTTTTTCCAGGTAAATTAACTTTGAGCTCCTTTCTGGTTGAAAGGATTAACTAGGTTTAACTGTGTCCGGGTGAAAACTTGTCAACATGTTTGCCGTATTGGAAAAACAACATCTTCAAGTCGTTAATTATTTCAATAGAAAAGAATGAGCTCTGAAATTCAATGTACAAAGTTTTATCATATCCTGGTCGAGCCCTCCCAAGAAATTCATTGAAAACCTTCCTGTCGGGCTCTCGAAAAATGCGCGTAACACGCGCGTAAGAGAGCAGACAGCAAAGAGAAACTTCCTGCTCGCGCGTTCCGATCTAAATCACTGGAAATCCATCAACGAGGCGCCCGTTTCTTGAAATCAAAGTATTGATAACCTCGCAAGATAGGATTAAGTCAATTCATTCAGAGAATAATATGCATCCCTGCATGTGTCATAAATTTTCAGTTCTAAAGCAGTAATGATCATGACACCACTAGGGTAACTTGCGTTACTCAGCAAATGAATTGGCCCGAACTTTTAACCAACAAGTTTGAGGAGTATTGTAGCAGGATAATTTTTCTAACGGATTATGAACTTTTTTCAAATTGGTGGCTGAAAGACAAACCATTACTTAGGATATCGACATACAAGTACCCACATAGGTACATTTTCTTTGCAAATTTTAAAAAAGGTCAAATTGTCGAGCGTCTCTTCAGCTGAGAAAATTTAATTTTAAATTTATGTATCTAACCCCATCATACTGACGTGCAATTTTTGGCACGTGCGTCGAACCGTATACTTTCTCATAACGAGTTTTACCTTTTCCCAAGGAAAAATTTGATCCAGATCTTCATTTCAAAAAAGATCTATTTTATGAATTAAAGAAAACTCGACCTTTGCACACAATTATCAATAGAATCATTTTATATAACTTAAACATAGTTAAGGAGGATGACGTTTGATTTGAGATTTCTCTCTCGCCTAACATTGGGCACGAGTCGCTAGGTTAATATCCCAGCGGGCGAAGTTTGCTTTTTTTTAAACAATTTTGATCTTAGCGAAAATAGCACGCCGACTAAACGAGCTTATGGCACCTGTTTTTAAATCTTTAGTGATCTTGTTTGGCAGTTGATTGTGTTGGTGAGACGTATAATCATGTTCGTCGACACAACAGATTTCCTAAGAGTGAGTGGGCGATGACAAAATGTGGCCGGAACGTGTAAGTTTAAACAAGAAGCGTGCAAACTTGAACAACACTTGTTCAAAAGTTGTATACCTAAAAAGTATCTTGCCGCTTTCGACCGAATTGCTTTGCATGTAACAGCGAGTAATTTTGAGTATTATGAAGTTCTGGAGTACAAAGAATTTCGTGGGCGGATTCCTGACATCCTTGAAGAAACCATTAGCTACAAGGAGCTGTGTCCAACGGCATTGAAAATGCACTGATAAATTTTGGTGCCACTTAAAGGGAGAGAAGAGAAGAGCAAGAAGACCAAGCCCGCGCAAAAGAGTTGAGACACCTTCCAGAGAAATTTGAATTTGAGGAGAAAAAAAGAAAAGCTACAAGATAATTAAGGCAGGTAAAAAATGCGTCTGGGTGATATGACTTGCCTTTATACCATTTATTAACTTGGTAACAACCCTTGAATTGTGTGCTGCTGCTGAATTAGATTTGGTAGATGCAATTGCTAAAGGCCACAAAGCGAAAGTTCAAGAAGTTGCCGCAGTCACAGTCAGCTACACCATGATCCCTACTTGAATTCGAAGAACTTCATTGATGGTTTACGTATCTCAAAAGCAGCCGGGTTCCTTCCCGTAATGGAGCTGAAACTGAAAAAGTGGAAAGGAAAAGCTGAGAAAAGCAAGAGCGACAGCGAAGAACTACAGTTCTTATCATACCATACATTTATGAAGGCAAAAACCCTCTGCCAAGGCTTCTACGTGATTCTACCATAAGTCTGGACCGATTTCCTTACCATTCAAACCCAGGGAACAGACCAGAACTACGTCGCTTCGGGATTGCGAAGTGTGCGCTCCCAAAATCGTCGCTAAATAACCGTCTTTCTTCGCAAAACCAGCCTAAAAAAGGACCGCATTGGTCACGCGAAGAAAGACTCACTATGGGTTGTTGATTTTTGTCTTACTCGGTGGCATATACTCCAAATATATTTATAAGAGTTGCTTAACGTTTAGTAAATGGCCTTCAAATGTGCTTAAAATCTATTAGACACCTCCCGTTTCAAAGTTATTTAGTAACCTGGCCTTACACGCAAGGCACTTCACAACGACTGCTCGTTATTTGAATCAATAGAGCCTTTTTGTAGCCTCTAATGGCTCAAACACATCGCCGAGCGATGCAATAAAAATGAGTATACCTCTCCCTATCGATACCAAAGTAAGACATCAAGCGAGGTGCTCCATACAAAACTTAGCAGATGTAAAAGAATATGCGAAACAATTAAGCTCAATGCTATTAACTGAATTTTTCCACAAGGAAATACTTTCGTTTTTTCCTCTTGCTTCTGAAAAATTATTGCATTTACGAGTGCAATGGTCTCAGGTTTGTTTCTTGTCACTTTTTCTGTAGGATTTGCCTTCAACTTAACCACGAGTGGCATCGGCACAAATTAATTCCTATTGATCTTCTTACAAAAGAAAAAAAAACCGAAGGAAAAAACGATTTGAAAATTCTTTTGAATGGTTTCACGGAATTGATCCAACCTTATATATTCTCATATGTTACTTTTTTGGTGTTTCTATGTGCACTTTGGCTTCTGGTTCCGTCGCCGTGAGCTTGGTTTATTCTAGAAAACGAAAATAGTCATCCTGATTCATTCATCCGCGATTGTAGGTGGCATCAGTTTTAGTGAATACAGATGGGCCTGTTACCATATTTTACGTATTTTACGTCGTTCCGATACTTACTTCGATTACTTACTTGTTCCTAGTTCAGTCTGTTCTTTTGTTAATGATTAAAGCTGATGAGTTAAGTTCACCTCCAAATCAAAGAACTCTAAGATAGGAAACAAAAAGCAGCCTTTGTAAGAAAACGTGCCGAGAAAACGAGTCCTAAAGACTCACAATCGTAGTTGAAGGAAACATCGACAAAAATTGAATGGCTTTTTACAAAGACTAAAATGTTGTCTTTATTCTAAGTATACTTGCCTCTATTTAGGTTGGTGTGAAAATTCTTAAATTCAAGTCGGTTGGAAGTCTAAGCTCTGTGGCAAGGGCCGACTGCTACTGTACTTTCTTGGTGCGCCTAGAGCAGAATTTCGATAAATATTTCCATACATCAGATCGGGAAGGAAAAGCTGTGATCAAACTCAAGATATTTTTCAAAAAATCCTGGCAAAACGAAGGTTAACTTAAATGGCGCTACTAATTGAATCGTTTGTCATGGAATTAACCTGCCCAGATGAGATTTTCCTCAGGGTATCTTACCTTTATCGAAGCGAGGAAACCTGTGAACGAAACTAAAACATTTTATGAGACAAAAGGTCGCTTTTCCCCTGTTGAGGACAACTCTTTAATGGGGGGAAGAAGTATTTATATTTTGATAGTGGTGTGAAAGATATTATGCCATTAATCATGGCGATTAAATAAGTGTAACTGTTATCGAACAACTGATCTCAGTCGCCGGCCTGTGACAAAAACCGCGGCCTACAGGCGTACTGCTCCTTTTTACATTATTTTTAAAGCCTATTGTATGGCTGTTTTAAAGCAATTGATCTTTTATTAAAATGCATTACGACTTCACGTCGATTTAAGTGTGTCATTCAGGAATGGGTGTTACAGCTGGATTTTGTGCATTGAAGGCTCGATTTATTCCTTTGGCTACACGTAGAACCGCTGAAAGCGTAATGACTAAGTTCGGATTCATTCGTTCTGGAAAAGGTGAGATCTTTTGAAGGAAGGCTTAAAGGAATTAAGCGACCTCGAGCGGCAGCGTCTGCAAGTGTACCCTTTTTTTTATGACGTGTCAGTGCACTCCAAAGAATGATTGCAAACATTTTATGCCTTCAAGTTTTTTCGCTCAATGTTTTCAAGTTAGATTTGTATTTATTAAACTAGAGCATTTTCAGAGCTTTTTAAAGAGACTTATAACGAGCATATTTGATGATTTTAGGCCAAAGTTCGTAATTTACTTCTTGTTATTGGCGTTGTAATTTATGCACAGCCATCTTTTACCGGTGCGTGAGAAACATAAATTACAGAGAATAACTGCAAACATTTTATGAATTCAAGTTTTTGAAGCATATGAAGCGTCTTTGCAAGTCATTCCGATAAGTGTGTGCCAGATCACAATCGAAATTTGCAAAAGTCCGATCTAAGAAAATATGTAGCTTCAAATCTGAGAGCTCTTAACACATTTATACGAATCTGAAATTCATCAGAAGCCTTTAAAAGAAATTTCTGGAGGAAGTATTTGTGAGACGGGTGCGCTTGCGAGCCGTTTTTGTCAATGAACTCCAAACTTCGTTCCTTTTTGGACGATAAACAGAAGAAAATTGTCACACGTCATAAAAGGGCGGTCCGATTTCTATAGCGGTCTTACATTTCCGAGTGAAATCCGACGAGAACTAAACAATGGCATAAATATATGAATACTTAACGACCCACGTAACGTGGGTACACACTCAAACCATGGGGTAATTAAAAAGAAAACCTTTTGATTATCATTGCTTCGTTTCAGCAGAAGGATGAGTGACATCGAAAAGCAAGCAAAGAAGTCCGTTCAAGACCTTCGAGATCAATTACAGAGCATGCCAGTCGACATGCGAATTTTTTCTCTTTGCATGAGAGCCCCTTATTCAACTCAGGCTGTGGCACCAGTACCGAAGGCGCTAGAAGTTTAGGGAACTCCGAGACAAAACCAGAAGCGACGCAATGGTGAACCTAAGAGGTGTCCTTCCGCTTTCGACCAAACTGGTTTCATCTATCAACGAGTACTTTGAGTGTTATGAAGCCCTGGAGTACGAAGAATGGCTTTACATGCTTTCTGACATCCTCGAAGAGACCATTGGCTACAGGGAGCTGTGCCAAGCGCTACTGCAGATGCACGAAGACATCTTGGTACCACTCAAAGAGAGAGAATACCAGACCCGCTTAATTATAAAAGAATTGAAACACCTACAAAGAGAGTTTGAAAGGAAGAGGAAAGAGTTAGAAGAAAAGGCAGGTTCAGAACGCTCCTGGGCGGTTGGACTTGCCTTTGTACCGATTGTAAACATGATGGTAAGCCCTCTGTCGTTGGCTGCTGCTGAAGAAGATTTGGCTGAATCAGTTGCTAAAGGCTGCGAAGCACAAATTCAAGAAGTTGCAGCCGCAGTCAGCAACACCCTGATCCCTGCCTTGAAGGGCTTTATAAGTGGTATCTCCAGAGCAGCCGCTTTCTTCTCCGTAATGGAACAGGAGTTAAAAGAGTTTGAAGGAAAAGCTGAGAAAAGCATAGACGACGGCAAGAATATGTACTACAAAGTTATGAAGGCACAAGCAACGATATGAAGACCCTTTGCCGAGGCTTCTACGCGGTTATACCAGAAATTAGGACCGATTTCCAAGCCATCCCATCCGAGGGAACAGACCAGAACTACATCGACAGGTGGCTGGAAAAGCAGAAGAAAGCCATTCAAGAAAAATATTCTGTTCGAAAGCTAGCGAGCAAGCCAGTTCTGTTAGCCATCACAACCCCAGATAAGAACGGGTGAAGAGTGGAAAGAACAAGATCGAGTGTGACTCTAAGGAGCATCTTAGTGGAAACAGTATGTTTTTTGTCGTTTTGTCTTTCTTCACATATATATATACATATATATATATATATATATATAATATATAATATATATAATATATATATATATATATATATATAATATATATAATATAATATATATATATATAAATATAAGAGTAAGTGTAGTTAAATGCAGCAACAAAACCAATTTTTTACGTGATTCAATCCGGCTTTAGGGGTGACAATAACTACGAAAATATCGCAATAGCTTCGTGTACAATTTGATTCATCAATCTACCGGTCTATTCCCTAAGGAGTTCTGACTCATTGTTGGGTGTAGCGCCTTCCAGAAACGAACACAATGATTAATTAATTGCGAACAGAATTACAAGTTATAACGAAATTTTATATTTTCGTGTATTTTTTTTGCCTAGCTTACTTTTTCGTGTCTTTGTAGCAGTTGTTACCTTTGTCCATATAGCGTGAGCAAGACTTTTAACCGATCCGATGAGGTACTTGGTAGTGTTAAAGTGCCTTCCGAAGGATCTCGTTATTATTACCTTTCTTTTGGTGTTCTCGTTCTCGCTGCCGTCGTTTTGTATAAGTCCCTATCAGTGTCTGTTAGAAGAATGCTGCTGAGTTTGAACAATCTGCTAAAAGAATTCAACTCATGATAAAAAGAACTGAGACATCGTGCTTTATAAGACATATGAGACCTCGTGCTTTATAATACATTTGAGACCTCGTGCTATATAAGACATACAAGACCTTTGAGACATTGTGCTTCATAATACATTTGAGACCTCGTGCTTTATAAGACATATGAGACCTCGTGCTTTATAATACATATGAGACCTCGTGCTTTATAAGACCTTTGACTCATCGTGCTTTATAATACATTTAAGACATCGTGCTTTATAAGACATATAAGACATCATGCTTTATAAGACATATGAGACATCGTGCTTTATAAGACACTTGAGACATCGTGCTTTGTAAGACATATAAGACATCGTGCTTTATAAGACATTTGAGACATCGTGCTTTATAAGACATATAAGACATCGTGCTTTATAATACATTTGAGACCTCGTGCTTTATAAGACATATGAGACCTCGTGCTTTATAAGACCTTTGAGACATCGTGCTTTTTAAGACCTTTGAGACATCGTGGATTTTAAAACTTCTGGGACATCGTGCATTTTACGACTTCTGGGACATCGTGCTTTTTAAGACATTTGAGTCATCGTGCTTTTTTAGCTCATTTAAGACATCGTGCTTTTTGAGACCTTTGACACATCGTGCTTTTTAAGACCTTTGACACATCGTGCTTTTTATGACATTCGAGACATCGTGCTTTTTAAGACACTTGAGATGTGCTTTTTAAGAAATTTGAGACATCGTGCTTTATAAGACAGCACATCGTGCATTTTACGACGTTTGAGACATCGTGCTTTTTAAGACATTTAAGACATCGTGCTTTTTAAGACACTTGAGTCATCGTGCTTTTTAGCTCATTTAAGACATCGTGCTTTTTGAGACCTTTGACACATCGTGCTTTTTAAGACCTTTGACACATCGTGCTTTTTATGACATTCGAGACATCGTGCTTTATAAGACATTTGTCACATCGTGCTTTATAAGACATATAGCACATCGTGCATTTTACGACGTTTAAGACATCGTGCTTTTTAAGACATTTGAGACAACGTGCTTTTCAAGTCATTTAAGACAGCGTGCTTTGTAAGACAATTGATACATTGCGTGTTTTAAGACATTTGAAAGCTCATACATTTTTAAAAAAATTATTGAGAGCTCGTGCTTTGTAAGGTGTCGGGATATCCCTGGTGTATATGAGGATGCTGTAATGTTCTGGTTTAAAAATTGATAATAGAATCGACAAGCGCGCCCCATACTTAACATATCGACTGAAAGTCCACTCTTTATTATGATAGCAAAATCTTTGGAGTGTTTGGTGGTATGAGATAACAGCTTGCATTCCTTTTCGGCGCTTTCAATAGTCATTAACGTTGTTAATAATTTCCCCCGGGATCTAACTACGATAATTACATAATTACTTTTCAATTAAACGCACTCCGTCATTTGGAATTTTTAATTTTTACACAATAAAGATCACTTGTTTTTCGCTTAAGAATAAGTGTTATGTAAACCTTTGACTTACGCTTACTGTGGATATCTGTATCGATAGGAGGCCGCAGAGAAAGGAAAACAACGTGAGCGTGAGGTAAGTGGATAAGAGCAGGTACTTGGTAGATTTGAAGAGTCTTAATCGTTTGTGTTTTCGCATGAAAACAGCGGCAATAAGTGTAATTTGCATCGCCAATTTGATATGATACCGCAAACGAAGGTTATGAAAGCAAAGTTCTGAAAATACCCTGCAGAATGCTTATAATGATCGCTGATTTAAATAAATTTGAGATTAGAATTCCAGTGACAACTTTTTCTAAGCGTAACGGTAGAAAAATAGCTCTGCATAAAATTTCCCTTACTAAACATTTCAAGGCTAGGCAACTGAAACACTTAGATCTATTGCAAGCCAACCATAGATGAAAACATAATTCTTACAAAAATGTTCATAGGCAGAGGAGGAAGAAGGAGACCTTGATGTCACCGAACCAGACAGCGAATGGGTAATTACTTTTGCACTAATATTCACAGCCACTTTGGACACTTTCTATGTCAGGTGCATACCCTGTATTGATCTAAAATACCTTTTCTATATATGATAAACATTGGCTTTGAATGATGCACGACCAGTTCAGGGCGTGAAATTGCGCCTAATACAGGCGCCAATGCGCCTAAATTTTTCACTTTGGCGACCAAATCCTGAAAGTTAGTCGCCAAATTGGCGACTAGAACGTTTCATCATAACCTTACCAAGAGATATAGTGAATTAAAAAGATTTGCAAAGATAAATCGGCGGAAAACGTCCTCGTTAAGTTTGTTTCCAAAACGTAGCACATGCATCTCGATGGATAACTAGACGCCATCTTGGATTTAGATGAGCCTGAACGTTGTATATCATCCATCCTAGTGTCCACTTTGTAGCACGTTAATTTTTTTTGAGGGTCTATCTAGCACGCTGACAGCGTAAAGAAAGATTTTATTTGTCTTTGAAAATGGCGACCAACTTTTTTTGAATTGGCTACCACTTTGAAGCATTTAGCAGCCAAGTGGCTATCAGAAAAAAAAAAAGTTAATTTCACGCCCTGCCAGTTGCTAAATAATAGAGAGTAGATATAATCTACCAATTCCTTGCCTATTGAATCTTGATCATCTGGTTCTATCAACAGAGTTGATATGGCAAATTGATCACAGTAAGGGGAATGTAAAGTCATAACTAAACCCTTAATTCAACAGTCTGGACCTTTTAGAGCCTAGCTAAAATTACACGACTAAATTGATTTAATAGTACTTTTGAACTTTGCTTACGTCGGGCAAAAATACAACGAAAGTTTAGTTTTACTTCACACGTGAAGCTGAGGGGAAAAGGACTGTCTTTCCTTGGAGCTTGCTGGAGAGGACGGCTGTTAACTTTGAACAATATTAAATCCTAGGTTCGTCAAAAAAGAATCCAGGCGCTGACCCGCAATGAGGTTAGGTGTATTTATATCTTTTAAAAAACTGATGGTTAAATTGATGGAATTACGAACATTTAAGTACAACTTTGATCAGGAAAACATTGGACCTCCTAGATAGTTTTACTTGAATTAGTTAATTCATTGGCGTCAACGTGACCATCATATCTCTCATTATGCTTATATTCCAACAGCCGCCGGCAGGACCCGCAACAAATTTTGTTGAAGTAAGTATAATTGTCTATGACTCTGGAGAGAATTATAGACACTTCATTTTACAGAGATTTAATTTTTTTTAATGTTATTATTGTTTTTCATATTATTTTTAAATGTGTTCAGCATATTCTAAATACATGCTGCCACATTTAGGGAGAGGCATATGCCATTCAAGATGACAGCGATGATAGTGGAACGGTAAGATGTGTTTGCATTGTATAAATCTCGATCTCAATGATAGTGAAACGGTAAGAAGTGTTCGCATGATACAAAAAATCAATCTTAATTCCAAATTTTCTGTTTCTTTGCATTTGGAAGTTTTGGGTTTTTTTCTCTTTAGCTCCAATGGTTTTGTTTTGATATTTTTGTTTTTAGATCGATCATGTTCATTTTTTGTTTGTTTTTTCTGGTTTTTCAGCATGGTGGTTTAATCCCTTTGATTTTCCGATAGTACTAAGTCGTTAGGTTTTAAGTAGTACTTCCATAGCATTCGCTTTAAACAAGTGATTTACAAAAAGAAACACGTGGTGGCCAGCACCATTTCAACGAGGTACAGAAGCGATTAGGGATGAGAACACAATGGGGTACTTGAAATCAAGGCACGAACGGTGCCGACTTCATGGGGTTTGTCCTGAACGATTATTACCGTAAGTTTGGGGATTTGATTCAGAATTGAAATCTCGTACTCTGCTTTTGTTCGCAGGTGACTTTCAGAACAGAATAAGAACAGTCCAAGAAAAGTCGTTTTTTCAAATTTATTCTTTGTTGTAGTTATTAAAAACGTAAAGAAAATGAAATTTGTTATCTCTTTCTCTATGACCTAATAATTAAATTACATTCACTTGAAGTAAACAGGTGTTGGGTGCGTGATAAGACGAGCCGAAAAAAGTGTTTCGTGTCTCAGAAATTCAGTGATGATGGCCAAACCCAGTTGATACCCTACCCCCTAACAATATAGGCAATCTTCAAATTATTTCCCATTGTTCATTATTTCCTGGCACTCTAAGTGTAAGATTCCTAAATCAATTCATTGACCTAAAATTATCATGTTTTAGACCGCCTTAACTCTCTTACTGAGGTCTTAAATACTAGGGTTACAAGTAACTGAATGCCGTGAATTTTAAAAACACTTAACTGACATATTTTAATTGCCACCCTTGACTTAATTTAATTGCCACCCAAGAAAGTTTGCAATCTCAAATCCAACGACAATCCCTCAGTTGTTTTCTCTCAGCAACTTACATCCAGAACCCTTTACATTCGGCATTTTAAGAGTAATTCAAACTCGTGAATCTGAAGGCCTTTTTGTTGTCGTGCATTCTACCAGATGCTTCTTAAGGCGTGCATTTTCCTAACAATATACGGTTGTGCATTTTACAAACACGAAACTGCCGCACTTTGCAAGCACTTAGTAGTCGCACTCTAAAAAAACCTATACGAAAAATTCACAATCGAATTTCACAAACACTGAACAGGCTCGTTTTACGAACACTAAATTTGAAAATTTTACGAACACTTAACGGGCGAATTTTACGAACACGTAGCAGTCGCAATTTAAGCACATTTAAAAGTCGCATTTTACGAACATTTCACGGTTGCAGTTTACGAACATTTAACGGGCGTATTTTACGAAATTTAGTCGCATTTTACAAACATTTAAAGGGCGTATATTTACGAACATTTCACAGCTGCATTTTACGAACATTTAAAGGTCGCATTTTACGAACATTTAACGTATTTTTACGAACATTTAGCGTATTTTTACGAACATTTAAGAGTCGCATTTTACGAACATTTAACGTATTTTTACGAACATTTAAGAGTCGCATTTTACGAACATTTAACAGTCACATTTTACGAACATTTAACAGTCGCATTTTAGGAATATTTTACGTATTTTTACGAACATTTAAGAGTCGCATTTTACGAACATTTAAGAGTCGCATTTTAGGAATATTTTAGTCGCATTTTACGAACATTTAACGTATTTTTACGAACATTTAACTGTCGCATTTTACTAACATTTAACAGTCGCATTTTACGAACATTTAACGTATTTTTACGAACATTTAAGAGTCGCATTTTACGAACATTTAAGAGTCGCTTTTTACGAACATTTAACAGTCGCATTTTACGAACATTTAACGGGCGCTTTTTACGAACTTTGAGGTCGTACATTTTAAAAGCATTTATTACATAAGGCCATTCATTTGACCATTATTACATAAGGGTTGTTAACTGGTACTGTTTTATATAAGCCGTTTTTTCGTAAATTTAAATGGCTCTGTTACATAGCGCCTTCGGCCCAGATATTAATATTGATCCGGAGTTCTGACTCATTGTTGGGTGTAGCGCCTTCCAGAAACGAACACAATGATTAATTAATTGCGAACAGAATTACAAGTTATAACGAAATTTTATATTTTCGCGTATTTTTTTGCCTAGCTTACTTTTTCGTGTCTTTGTAGCACTTGTTACCTTTGTTAATTATTCATATAGCGCGAGCAAGACTTTTAACCGATCCGATGAGGTACTTAGTAGTGTTAAAGTGCCTTCCGAAGGATCTCGTTATTATTACCTTTCTTTTGGTGTTCTCGTTCTCGCTGCCGTCGTTTTGTATAAGTCCCTATCAGTGTCTGTTAGAAGAATGCTGCTGAGTTTGAACAATCTGCCAAAAGAATTCAACTCATAATAAAAAGAACTCCACCATTGAAGTTTTATTTCTGCTATTTTTTTTAAAACTGACAGGTTTAGAATTATATCAAAATTATTGGAGATGGAAAAAATAGAGGTATGAAAGGGAGAGTCCTAGTTAGCAAGGCAAATATCAGCTTACGAATCAAATTGTTGTTAGGGCGCAAAACTCAAGGTTTTGTGGGCGCCATCTTTGATTGACATAGGAAACTTGGCATTATATATCAAGAAGTTACTACTATCATATTTATTCTAAACGAGGTTTGTCTGGCTATCGCTTTATACTAAGACTTCAGTTAATAGAAAAGTAGCATGAAGAAATTTGGATGAAAAACTGCTTGGTGCAAAATATCTTTTTTTTTATAGGAGCGTTATTATTTCAATCATATATTCAAAAAAATTCAGGACACACATGATCATGTGGTGTCAAATCATTGTAATCAAAATCGAGTGATCGTGCAAAGGTTTGTAATCGATCAAGTTTTTATAAAGACTTCAAAGATGTTCCACAGAATGCTTCGGAATGTTCTTTACCCCCGGGTTATTCAGGTTAGAATCGAGCACTAAAGACCTTGCCAACGAGCGTCAGTGAGTCAACCAACTAAGGAAAAAGACCTGTTATTAAAAGGTTTCGAAATAAGTTAATAACAACTTAATAATTGGGTTAAAAGGTGTATACCTAAGGTTGTGTTTGAGAGAGAACTTTAGTGCTATGTGTTGTGTCTAAGCGCGGAATAACATCACTTCACCGTGGATTTAAAACTGAACTGCCGACCAAACTATAATATTAACTACTAAATCCTAGAGCTATAACTGACAAACATGCATGCAACATGACTATGTAAAGTTCCTCTCTGGGACATGTGTTACGTCACATACCTTACGTAACCTTTGCCGTAATATTTTCTTGTGGAGCAACCCGTCCAGATTGCAGAACTTTAACTAAGGGCATGGGAGACGTCTCATTCGGTACAGATTGTTGAGAAGTTGGGTTTTGCGTTGAAACAGGCACACTTTCATCTAGCGTTTCAGGCAAATCGTCTCCAGAAAGTCGCAGGTTTTGAGCTCAACATCAGCTACTTTTGAACCAGCTATTTCACGTAATTGATCGATATGTCTTTTCCAGAGAAACTCTCCAACTTGTACACCGGCCCCAATCGATCTTGAACAAAACCCTTGGTCCCAGCCGATCCACGATTACGAAAATCTTTAACCATAACAGGTTCACCAACTTCAAAACCGCGTTGAACGATGGGATTGAATTTCCTCGACTTTAGTAAATGTAGATTTTTCTCGTTTGGTACGATAAAATCTGAGCTCCTCCGGTGTGTTCTCTTCTGCTGGCCAACCATGCAGTACAAAATGCAAGCCTCTCTGATTCTGGCTGCTGTAATGGATGTACGTTCAGTTTGAACTCTATTGGCTTGATCTCCCTCTTTCAATCAGTCGTCAGCTTCTTCGGTGGTTTTCTTCGGCAAGCGAGACATTGCGTCTGCATTTCTATGGTTCTTGGATGCATGATATTCAATATCGTACGTGTAAGCTGCCAATTGAATGGACCATCGCTGAAGGCGAGACGCTGACATGATTTAGTCCATTCCCATGGAGTGTTCTCTGCTAAAAAAATGATTTAATGTGTGAGCCAAGGTAGCCATGCAAGGAATAAATCTGCAATAATAATTAGCTAATCCCAGAAAGGATTTCAGTTCCGTAGGGTTCTCCGGTACTGGTACCTCTTGAATAGCTTGAGCCTTACGAGGATATGGGTGAATAACCTCGCGAGCCACCACAAAAGCAAAGTACTGAACCGATGCCTTCATAAACACGCACTTCTCCATCTTTAGCTAACTCCCATGCTTCTCATACGCTCCAAAGCCCCTTCCAGGTTACAAAAATGAGTCTCATCATTAGAACCAATGATATGGATATCATCCGAGATACCACCAACCCCTTGGAGACCATTCATGATTGAATCCAATATCTTCTGAAAAATGGCGGGACTAAACGCTACGCCAAAGGGCAGGCGAGTGTATCGAAACAAGCCAAGGTGGGTATTGATTGTTACGTACTGCCTCGATTCCTCTTCTAAAAGCACTTGTTGGTACGCTGAAGACAAATCCAACTTAGTAACCTTCTCTCCTCCAGTAACTGGGTGATAGGTGTCATCAGCTGTAGGCATTGGGTGTTCCGATACTTCCAAAACAGGGTCTATCGTCACCTTGTAATCACCACAGACGCGAACACTGCCATCAGGTTTCAGAAAAGGCACAATGGGGGTAGCCCAATCCAAAAAACTCCACTTTTTCCAGCACACCAATCTTTTTCAGCCGTCAAGGCTCGCCAGCGATCTTCTCTTTTAACGCAAATGGTACTGGTCTAGGTCTAAAGAACTTCGGTACTGCTTTTTTTTTTAAGCTTCAAATGTGCAGTAACTCCTTTAATGGTTCCTTCCCAGATTACCATCAAACAACGACGAATACTTCGTTTGAAGTCCAACTTGTTAACCGGTTCTAAAGTAATCTGCCTGACCCGTCCCCAGTCCGACTTCAACATGGACAGCCAATCGCGACCCATTAACACTGGACCATGATTTCCTGTGATTACAACCGGTAATACAACTTCTTGATCACGATATGCAACTTGAGCCTTAGCTTCTCCAATAACAGGTATTTCATGACCAGATCAACTTCGTAGTTTCAGGTCTGTGTGCCCTACAGGTTTTGACGCGAGAATATCAGTCCAAACGCGCTTGGGAATAATAGTTACAGAAGCTCCAGTGTCAAGTTCCATATCCACAGTTTTCCCATCTATTGCTACTGGCACGATGAACGCTTTACATTTTCCACGGGAGACAGTAAACATGGGCCAATCGCTTCCTTTCACTGATTGCTTGGGTTCCAGATCTTCTTCGACCAAACGAACCTTTTGCTGTTTCTTCTTTATTCCCCAATTTTGACTTTGGCGTCCACTTTTCCTCCCACTTTCCGGTCTTTGCTCTTTCCCCGTTTTCTCAGGACACTTCTTGACAACACGACCAACTTTTTGACAACCATGGCACTTGGAATTCCGAAAGAAACGCGTGTCCGAAGAGTAATTGACTTTTCCACAACGAAAGCACTCGGGAAACGTAACAGCCACTTTTTTTCGTCTGTTCCACACTTCCTCCATGCAATGCGGTGGTTTCCTTTTCGGTCAATTCAGCAGCACACGCCTTTTCGAGAGCCGTCTGTAAAGTCAAATCCACGACTGCGAGTAACTTGCGTTGAATCGTTCGCTCCTTTAAACCGCACACGAACTGATCCCGCATCGCCTTTTCGCGACAACTGCCAAACTCGCAAGTCTCAGCCAACTTATTAAATCTAACAAGGATTCTCTTATCGATTCCGACTCTTGCTGTTCCGCTTTATGGAACTTGAAACACTCGGCTATGACTATCGGCTTCGGATCCAGGTGCTTAACCAGATTATCCAAGACTTCCGCAAAAGACAAATCTTTCGGCCTTCTTAGAGATACAATGCTTCCAAGTAACGCATACATCTTATTACCCACCAAGGTAAGTATGGTCGGTACTTTTTTTCCTTCCAGCACATTGTTAACCTCGAAGAACATTTCCATGCGCTCTACATAATGCTTCCAGTCTACACCGTGGATTTAAAACGGCCGACCAAACTCTAATATTCACTACTAAATCCTAAAGCTACAACTGACAAACATGCATGCAACTTGACTTTTTCAAGTTGCGTTTAGGGGCATATGTTACGTAACATACCTTACGTAACCTTTGCACCCAATCAAGTTCCCTACTGTCCTATCGCGTTATCCTAGTTCGTTAATACTCTAACACTGCGTATCGCTTAAACTTTCAAGATTTGATTCGCAGTTCTCCCTTTAAGCTGACAAACAATTTCCTATCAATAGTAGAGAGAATTTGAACACCACTTTGCTTGATGCGTTTGTTAGCAGTACAATTGGTATTCCGAAATACGGAATAAAAAGCAACATTGGCCTAATCCTTTTGCAAGGAATAGACGAATTCAAGTCTTTGAGCCCTTTTTCGGTTGAAAGGATTAACTAAGTTGAACTGTGTCCGGGTGAAAACTTGTCAATATGTTTGGCGTATCTGTAAAAATAACATCTTCGTTAGTTATTTCAATTGATTTTCACTTTTTAGGGCATTGAATGAGTTTCCCAGAAGAGCATAAAGATAAAAATTGCACCCCACTCAGTTCATCGATCATCGCAAACGATATGTTGACAAGAATTTTCAATTTCCATACTCGTAACCGAATGAATCGTATTACATCAGTGGACCCCGCTACCAATTATTCCAGTTCAACTGCCATGCGCGAGCCACTGCGAAATCCTATTGGTTCAAAATGATCTCGGAGGCATCCCCAAGGGTTTCAAGTTCATATGTTAATTTTGACCAAATTATAACTTCTCGAAAGGGAAAAACAGTGTTTTGTCTCGCAAATTTACTGCGATGTGAAGGAACTCGCTGAAGTTTAGCGCGTCTGCGGTGTTTCCGGCATAAATCTGTTTCAAGCCGTGATCAAAGGACATTTTACCATTAAAGATTTTCAAGAACACATATTCAGCATCTTTGGGGTAAACGATGAAGCTTGGGGCAACAGTGAACAAAAGATAGGTGAGTGAAATTTTGTGGAGTGCACTTTACACGAAAACACTAATAATTTATTAGGTTTGTATCGACGATTACTTCAACCACTAACAAATCCGAACTTTTCAAGCTCCGTTTCAATAACAAAAGTTTTCAGATTTAGTGACACAATTTCTCAAAGGATTCTCAAACGCAGTTACAATCTTCGTTTCTTTTCATACCCCAAAGACATGAAAGATTTGAGAAAACATTCTACGCAATTTGAGGATGAATGTTTACTTTAATAATTAAACAACTTTTTCGAATGGGCAGGACAATAATTAATGCTTGAATTTTCTCCCCATCTCGCGAAAAGCAATAACATCCATGTTTGTTTCTTTTGATAGAAATGTAATGGTGTATTTCTAGTAGAACCTAAAGAGGAATATGATTAAATAACACACATGTATTTGAAAGGGGATGAACGTGAACTTTCAAACATTTACAAAATAATTCTTTGTTGAACAAAATAAATCAATCACGGGTTCGCCGCTGTGCTTTGTTGTTGTTTTATTTTGAAAATTGTATTTTCGAGTCAGACATTTAAGTTTCAGAACAAAATCTTAAAAATTCATAAATTTCCATGTAGGCATTCGTCGCACCTCATTCTGACAAACTATCTGTCTTTGAAAATTCTCTTCCTTGATTTTGTCCAGTGTTATCGTAATTCAAAATACATCACGCTTATGGAGTAAAGACAGTTTTCCGATAAGCTTATCTTTCATCTCGAATCGGTGAAAAATCATCAGCAGTCAAAAGTGAGTCTTGTTATTGTGTGGAATAGGATACCTGAAATTTTTTCGGGGAAATGTGGTATCAAAGGTATCGACAATTGCCACCTTAGCTGTAAACTAAAGCAACTTAATTAAGTTTTCGCTTCTTCAGCGAGTCTCTTCCATCTCAATAACTTTATTGTTACTGTCAAAAAACAAATTGTTTTGATGAATTTTGAATCGCAGACCACAAAACAAAAGCATCATATTTACGCTACAAAATCAAAATCTATAAAGAACTGAGGTTTTCTTCTTTTTTCCCTTCTATGATCTCATCAGTTTCAATGCTTCGATGCAGGGTGCATTTTTCTGTGTCCTTAGAAAAAATATATTTTTCAATATTTCAGGCAGAGATGACAAATCTAAAACTTTAATTCGGAGAGTTTAACAATTAATTTTTCACGTAAAATGTTACTGGTTGTGAGCCAGATTTACGTGATTAGTGCTTAAGCTCTAAAATAGACACATAATAAAAATTCGATTTATCAGAATAAGTTGTTCAATATTGAGTTTGCGTCCTCAGATTTTTAATTGAAATCTCATTCCCGGTTGGTGTTCATTCTGACCGCACCGTTATACTGATAAAATCAATATAAGATGAAAGAACTGTCACTGATTGGCTGATAAGAGCGGAGACGATGCAAATAAGCTAAGCGTAAGTTCTTGTTATGTCTGCCGCTTCGAGTTCCGCGCTTGAAACCTTACTTCTATTTAAAACAAAATGCTGAAGTCCGAAAATAAGAAATGATAAGTAAGTCTTTAATAGAATGAAAATTATTAGCCATGAACAATGGGTGAATTCAGCGAAGTCTACAGTCATCCGGAATTGAGTTTCATTGTGTAAGAAAAAGATCGTCTAAATCTGTCTGACCCTGTGCTCTCGTCGACGCTGTGATGAAATTTATCAATTTGATTAACGAAGATCAAGTCCAGATTCTTCTTTCTGTCGCCTCCTACGCAAGCCTTAGGCCTCTAACAAGATTCGCGTAGGGAGTTTCAATATTCTCTCCACCACAAAGGTCTCTAATATTCCTCGAAATAGCATACGTCGATCAGTTAATCCTACTCGCATGAATTACTGTGATTCGTTTTTTTTTAGGAGAAAAAATTTCAATTTCAGAAGTTCCTTTACATTTTTACTTCTGATATATTTGCGACCTATCTTTACGTGCTGGAATTCAGTTTTTCCGATGCAGTTTCAGATAACAAGATAAAACAGTTGGACAGGGCTACAACCCAATGTCAAGAAATCGGGGCTTTTTCGGCTCACCAAAACAAAATTTAATTAGTGGTTTTACATTATAAAAGAATCAAGTGAAGAATGAGCTCAGAAATTAGATGTATAAATTTTTATTATATCCCGGTCGAACCTTCCTAAGACATTCATGGAAAACCTTCCTGTCGGGCTCTCGAAAAATGCGAGCAATACGAGCGTAAGAGAGCAAACAGCAAGAAGAAACTTCCTGCTTTGCGCGTTCCGATCTAAATCACTCGAAATCCATTTACGAGGCGCCTGTTTCTTAAACCAAAGTAGTGATAACCTCGCTAGATGGGATTAAGTTAATTCATGCAGAGAATAATATGCATCCCTGCATATGTCATAAATTTTTAGTTCTAAAGTGAGAATGATCATGATGCCACCGAGGTAACTTGCGTTACTCAGCAAATGAATTGGCCCGGACTCTTAACCAACAAGTCTGAGAGGGATTTGGGGCAGGATAATTTTTCTAACGGATAATGACCTTTTTTTAAATTGACGGCCGAAAATCAAAACCATTAATTAGGATATCGACATACAAGTACCAACATAAGCATAGTTCCTTTGGAAATTTCGCGAAAGGTCAAATTGTCGCGCGTTTCTTCAGCTGAAAAAATTTAATTTCAGATTTATGTGTCTAACCTCATTACACTGACGTGCAATTTTTATCAAGTGCGGGTCGAACCATGTACTTTCCCATAACAAGTTTTACCTTTCCGTGGGATAAATTTTGATGTAGATCTTCATTTTGACGAAGATCCATTTTATGAATTGAAGAAAACTCGACCTGTACACACCATTATCAATAGCATATCATTTTGTATAGCTTAAAAAAAATTAAGGAGGAAGACGTTTGATTTGAGATTGCTCTCTCGGCTAACACTGGGAACGAGTCGCTAAGTGAAGTCCCAGCGGGCGATAGCTTGCTATTTTTGAAACAATCTTGATCTTGATAGCAGGCCGGCTAAGCGAGCTTATGGCACCTGTTTTGAAATCTTCAGTGATCTTTTCTGGCAGCTGATTGTGCTGGTGAAACGTACAGTCATGTTCGTCGACACAACAGATTTCCTAATTGAGTCGGCGATGGCAGAATGTGGCCGGAACGAGTAAGTTTGAACATTGAACAAGCACCATGCAAAGTTGGAGGAGGAATTTGATTTGCTAACTTCTCGAAAATCTTCTTTTCTTTCGGCATGCTAGAGTGAAGGGTGAATACCTACCACTTGCAAATAGCTAAGAGGTTAATGATATTTTTGTGAGCTTATTCAATTCTGTGTTTACTAGGAGACAACAGCACCCTTAGTTCGAGGCTTTAGACAGTCACTTATTCAGAAGTTACGTGCGCTATGTAAGAGACAGTCATATTGAAACATTAAGGCCTCTGAGATACAAGTGAAACCAGGTCCTATTCCAAAAGTATTCAGTAATCTTGCTACAAATTCACAACCAAAAAGATTCAGCTGAGCAGATAGTTCAGGCCCTTATTTAGTTATCATTTTGAATTAGATGTAAAGAATAGCTTAAAACGGCAACCATTGTATTGCAGGAGCGTTGCTTTATCAAAGGTCGTTGTTTTTCACAGAGGGTGCAGGATTAGATTGTTTCGCTTTCCAAAAGAGCGAGTTCTCCCGCTTGTAATTATTTTCCATTTTTTGTTATTTCTTCACCGGAAAGAAACCTATCGTTTTGTCACAGCTCATTGACCATTCTCTATTAATGATTACGCGTCCTAATTTTAAAATAAATTCTTGCGCCTTGTATTGAATGACAGCTCTTTAGTAGGGTTTTCGAGTGACATTGCAGAAAGTGATTCGTTTGCGAGTGTCAGCAAAAGTGGTCTGTACACAAATGTTTCAAAACTGTAAGTGTGAAACAAACTTAGAAATTTAACAAAACCACAGTTGGATAGTTGCCCACTTATATTACCTGTTGCCCTATTGTGGTGATAGCTTTTCATAAGGAACGTTGATAGCATTTTACCGGTGCGTATCAAATTTGGTAACACCTAGTGACGCAAAAACACCGGTAACTCTCTTCGTTCTCAACAAGCTGTTACGCGCTTGTGTGACGGGAATCGGAGCCAGGTTTGTACTTTTCTTTTAACTCACCACATGTATATAAACTAGTGTTTAGAGTTGACCAAACGTTCACGCGCTAATTTCTTTGTTAGCTCTCAGTTAGAATGGTTCGCTCTCGCCACGAGTTCTCAGCCGTCTCGTCAGTCAAGGGAAGGTTCAATTGTATTCAAGAAACATGCACAATCGTAATTTAAAAACACTTTTGGTCGTGTCCCTAGAGACAAACTCAGAGCGTGTGAGCACGTAAAAGAACAACACACGACTCTGAACAAATTGAACAAGTGTTGTTGACAAAGTTTGGATATTTTGCAGAACTTAAGTTTAACTTCAGAAAAGACTCTACGGAAGCCATAAAGTGAGCGAGGAATGGTCGTAAAGCTAAACAAGAAACAGAAGCTACAAGGAGTCAGTTGATGTTTGTGTTTGGAAAGAACAAACATCAAAGTTTTTATAACTTGCAAGGTAAGTGTACAGCCTTTTTCGGTAATGGACTTTTGATGGGTGTTTAGCAAACTTGAACGTTTTACTGCTTTGTTTGAAAAGTTTTGAAGAGTTTGTTTATTATTGGTACATTCTCAAGGAGAACACTAGGAATCATTGAATAGAAACGCGCGCTGTCATCTTAAAATTGCCCCGAAATGCGTTCTGAGTCACGTTCGAAATTGTCTTTTTGGATAGAAACATCCGGATGCCCTTAGGCTTCACGAAAATGGAAATTATGTGTTGAGTGCTTTTCAGATATTTATCTATCACCGACTGAAGTTCTGTTGGACCCCCAATGGGTTTCGTCGCCATTGCTGATCGCATGAATAATGAGTATATGTATGCAAGTGTCTTCACCCGTTCCCAAACGGTCAATTTCTCAGCTGGAAGTCCACCAAACCACATTGTGACTCGAATGCAAATATTCAGTCGGTGTTTGCTGTTCTAAGTGCGCTCGTCCAAAACGCAAAACACCGCTAATTGCCTTTCTCTCGACACTTTTTTAATAGAGCGATAAAAGCACCTTATTAATGAACGCTTATCTGATTTAAAGATGTCGTAACCTTTCCTAGGACAAATGAGTCATGTTTACCGCATAGCCCAACATATTTTGATGACAATTCCGACAACTGTGCCATGTAAGGACAACCATTGCGTGTTTAACGGTTGGGCATGATGGTCGAAGTGGATTAAGCAAATGAAATAACTTCGGTATTTTAATGTATTTCAAGGTTATTATGGCCGCTTAATTACTTGTTTGAGGCTATCTGTTGTGACTAATCACTCTCACCGCGCAAGTAAAACCAACATGAAATATATAAAACAAACTGAGATAACTTGGATATTTAAAGAATATCTCGATACTATTCTTGGCGGTCAAAACGGTTACTCGTGCACATCCAGTACGGTTACAGGTATTCTGACGCATTGAAGGAAATTGAAAGAAACCCTGTACAATACAGGTCAATGCATGAATTTAAAATGTACTTCGGTAACCACTCCTCCATATACCGGCAAAATAAATCATGACGAACAAGGAATAAGTAATTGAGTTTGTCGGTCTTCATTTCAAGTTTAATAATTTCGAACAATGCTGTCACTGGTGACTTATAATTGTCATCCATTCCGAAACAGAACGGAACAATGACTGAGATTTATCGATTCAAAGTAATTTGCAAAACCTGCAGAACGTCTCGTGGCGGAGATCATGATGGATAGCTAGGTTGTCTAGAGACATCTACAAAGAAAGGCACTTAAAAGGGAAAAAGATAACCTCGTATTCGATTACAAGATAAAACGGTTCATGCAAATTCTTTGCATAAACTTGACATAAACTTGGCATAAAATTCCCGCAGACAGTGTGGCTCAGAACTGAGACAATTGAATGAACGAATGGCTGCGGCGCTGTTACGAAGGAAGGACGAAACTGATTGGAAAGCAAACTTACAAGTAAATTGATTAGCAAGTAAGTCTTTTAATGTAGTCATTTTCAAGTAGACAAATTATTTTAGAGGGCATATGGCATCGTGCATGAGTTTTGTTTACGAACGTGTGCGTAGCTATTGTTGCGATGACGAGTAAATAAGCCTTCATGATGACTTCATTACAGGTTTAGATATATACATAAACAGATCACCCAGCGGTATCATAACTCATTTCGCTACGGCGTTCTCTTCTCTGCGTACTCGAGGAGAAGAGACACCACTTCTACTAGAACAAGTTACGCAACATGATTTTTTAAGGATACGTTTTACAACTGGCACTGAAACACTCCGTATGATTTGCCTCGTTTGCCTTCACTGCTACAGCTTCTAAATTTGCTTCAAGTCATGATTAACAGATAATTAGGTAAACCAGCTCCAGATGATTTCAAATGGCTGAAAGAAACCTTAAGAGAAGTGCTCGTTTTAGTCATGCCAGAAATTTAAAACTAAACATTTATTCTCTTGTAAGAGGCTGTAAGAAGGCAATCTACACCCGTTTCGGTTTAGTTTCTGAAAGAATGTCAATCCACCAAATTTGAGTATACTAATCACCTCCTTTAGACAAACAAACAAAACATCGCGGTCTGTTGTTGTTTTGGTTTAAAACGGAAATCAAGGTTTAATTGCAATTGTGATTTTGAGGACAAGTGATGCAGCTAAAGGACTTTAAATGTTAGAACAACTCGTCGGAGAGCTTAACAAGTTGACATCGGGACCCAACATCGGAAGTTATTGACTCGTAGGATTCATGTCCCGGATGTTTTAGCGTCAGGTCTTATCTGTGGTTTGCAAGGTAACACAATTGATGACTGCTTTTCGCTCAAGGGCATTTTAAGAATTTTTCAGGAAATCTACAGATTATGATAAAATATTTTATTTACAATTATATTTATGAAGTGTTTGTGTTAAGCGACAAGCATTAGTTGAGAAACGTTTTCGTTTCAATCGTTTTCATATTGAATAAATTATGATACAAATTTATCGTGAATAACTCAGGTTTTCACTATTTTGAACACTCTTACTCAGTACGTGGTTAATAAATTCTCGAATAAAGTTCACTTTTTAGTATGTAAATATCGTCAGATCCTAGCAGGCTTCGAATATTTACGAGTATTAGAACTGGCAACTCAGGGTGTCACTTAAAGTCCAAAAGTTTTTCTTTAGCCCTTTACATTAAATCTCATTCAAAATAGTTAACAATCTAATCTTCAACTTAGCTTGGCAGCCTGTTGGCTAGGTTCTATGGTACCTCTTGTTTCAGGAAACTAACTGACCTTACTTCCGAATTCCAACTGTCAAAGGCTCAAAAATACTTGACTGGTTGATAATGCTGAAGTGAAGGTGCAATTCTTCCAAAATAATAACGAGTGGGGTTTTTGTTTTTGGAATTTGGAATACACTGCTGTTGTGTACTTTAGACATTTTTCGAGCATTACTTAGATAAAACCGCGATGTCTTTAGCTTTGGCCTCGGGGAAATTCTGAGGTTATCTCATTCAACTCAAGCTTCAAATTAATCAGATCTGAAGGATATCTCATGGTGATAACAGAGTCCCAGCCAATTGTGGAATTTTGTCTTAACTATCTAGTCATTACACGACTCTTGGTTGTGTAATTAGCAACATGTTTGTTCGGCATGATATATTTCACAGAGACCATTTGTATCTGCCCTCTGAAGCAACCAATGACCTGTATTCTGATGTGCTTATAATCACGTTTTGATATTGAGTTTGCATTTAGTCAAAAGTCGTAGTAGATATTTAACTCAAATCCTACTGGTAACAACTTCTGCTTTATGGTATTCCGAAAATTTTCGAATGAGGATATGAAAACATGTCATCAGTTTTCTCTAGTGTAGACATCAGTCAAGCAAGAGCTGAAATCTTTCAAAATGGCATTCTTAGACAAGACAAAACAACATAAACGGAAAATTAATAAATCATGATAAACAAAAGTGTTGAAACTGTCATAAAGTTTTCTTTATGTTCCTAGAATCTCAGTTGGGATGAAAATCGATTGCAAAATATTTCATTCGTCAAGTCCTCCCTTGGGTAGGTCTCGCAGTAAGATGTACCCGACTTCATATGACAAACATTTGAAAAGAATGCGTTTCCTGTAGGCCAAATCAAAGGAAAGTTAGATATTTTTTATTGAGATTCTGTCTGGAGTGATTTCAGTATTGTTACAGCTTTTTTCTAATAACAACGAAAAGTATGTCTTCATGCAAGTATATGAGATGGTCGAACGATCCGTTTGTAATCAAATCAGAAATAACAAAATAACAAAGAAAATGCAAACATTTCTTAATACTTTATAAAAGATCAAGTTGTGCAGTATTAAGTGCCAGTTCTACCTGCATTTTTCAAGAAGAGAGAGTAATAATTTTGATATTTCCCTCATAATAGCACAGTATTATTATAAATATTTAACTTATTGTCGGCCAGTTGAAACGAAAGTGTGTTCAACAGCCTGATATAAAAACTCAAAACGCGACATATTTTTGAATTTTTTTTATCACTAAATTACTTGAGAATTTTCTAAATTGGAGATTGTTGTCTTCATCTGCTCTAATGAAATGAGTTTGATTACTCTGGCTTCATAGTTTAGCCATATAAAATTTCATGTAAATTCCTTATCTAGTATTACATATTGCACGAAGTTGTTCGACCCCAACTAAATTGGCAGCGTCATTTCCCAGAAATCTAAAAGCGAAATACCACGAAACTTTTCATTGAAATCGCTGAAAACATGCGTGAGCACAAATAGCATTTTTCACAGCAACCTCAGGCAAGCTTTTTAAACGGTAAGATCACAGAGTTGAGCTGTTTGTGTTCCTCTATTGTTTAAAGTCATTTAACTGCAGGCACGTAAGCATTTGGAGTTGACAATTTTTGACAATTTGAAACAATAACATTTAGAATCAAATCTGCAGGTGATTTTATCATAATGAATCACGGAACACTTTAAGCTCAGCATGAAAACTGAACTGTAATAAACCCAACTACATTGAAAAGACCGACCCAAAGAAAAAGAGGATTTCTCTCATTATTTCGCAGAAGTTTTGACAAAACATCGAAAAAGCTTTTATTTTCAGTCGAAGACTCTTTGGTTGCCATTCACGGCTAACTTATGAAATATTGCAGGCCAGGTTGTACAAGTCAAAACAACGATATAACTACAGGAATTCCGATTTTGACGGGTGAAAATATCGTTTTTAAAGGCGTTCTTAAAAACTTACTTAAAAGTGTATTCATCATTAGCTGAGAGCAATGCTGAAAATCGCGAGAGCGGAAAATGTTTTAGTCCCCTTTAATTAAACTAGAATTTATCCTTTCAAATTTGTGTTCCAGAAATAATCTTTCACACAGGTATTTCCTGTGATTTTGCAACTTTAGTAGCAATTTTCTTTTTATGTTTTTCTTTTATTGGGTGGAAAGTCACGTGCTTGTTTTCCACATTCGCAATTTTTAAGATCACTTTGGAAAATTAATTTCCTTTCTTGTGTTCCTCAGTTGCATTGACATTGGGTTTACACCTTGAGCTTTCAATTGTTGAAACCACTCTCACTCAATTTTGGGAATCCAATTCAATACGTGTAATAGGCTTTGAGAATTACACCTGTCTCTCTATGCATTGCGCAAGACTGACTGCTACTTAAATTTTAATAAGAATACATCTTTTAATTTGTATAGTTCTAGCGTGAGATTTCCCATTGAATTAAGAGGAGTCATTAAATATATCACTGATAGAAATCGTCACACATAAGTGTTTTTTCTTCTCCCCTAGTCTTTCAGCTGTGCAAGTTTTACAAAAATGTTAGGTTAACCCCAATGCACACTCCAGCGTCTTCATGAACTTAGTTGTTACAAACTAGGTTCTCTGAGTGGTAAATTAGGAATGTTTACAAAAATAATGAAAGCCACAGGCAGAAGTATACCACACTAGATAGATATGAATTCTTAAATGTTCGGATTATGCAAGATTCTTGACATAATTGCTTGGAAGTCATTTAAGAAAATTTACAGTTATAAGTATTTCAGGGCGTTTGGTTTGTGTGGGTGTCGCAGAAAGAGTCTCTATAAAGCCAGCAACTTTACAATGGACCACTGCGAATTGTTAATGTTAAATGTATTGCTTGATTATGCCCACACGAGCTGGAATCAATCCAAATTTGTAATATGACTACTGCGAGGAACATTCGTACTGCGCGGCATGATAAGTTATCACGGGATGTATCGTCATAACATAGTGTATGGACCTGGAGGGTTGTAGAAAACTGCAAAGAATCTATTCCTACAAAGAAGGAGCTGAAGATTTGTTTAGACATTTTAGCCCACAAAGAAACGACCGCCGCGCTGAGGACTGAAACAATGCATGTCAAGATCCTACGGAAAGCCTGATTAGCAACCTTTGCGGAATCTGCTGTTCAAAAGGTTTAAAGAAACTGCAGCTTGCTAATATTAAAAGTAAGTTTTTTGCCTCACATAAACTAACTGTCGTTTAATAGATAAATGTGTCTAAAGGCATCTTCCACCGCACAGGCTAAATTTAGTCCGTATTTAGTTCGTATTATTCACTAAACGTTATAATTGCAGAGATTGGAGTCACCTGCTGTATATTGGCTTTATGGAAATAGGAAGTCAACCGTAACTGATTTATGTGAATTCCAACGGGTTAGAAAAACCTTTGAACACAACAAACATGTCGTATCATCCTCAAAAAAAATAAGAAATTTAAATTTCTTGCCTTAACATATTTCAAAACACACGAAAATGAAATTTTTCCATGCTGAAAAATCTTTCAGTTTTCGATTAAAGTTTGCAGACAGAGAGTAAAATAAGTGAAAAATAGGTTAGTATATTTTAAATATTAGCAGACGGTAAAATCATTGCCGACGTTTTCAAGACGTTCAGTGATGTTCGCCAAGAATAGCACTGAGCACCTGTATAACAACAGTTTGTTTGAAAGATCGAAGATGCTGACTTTAATTGTAACAATTATCTTTGAGGGAAAATATCATTCCTTGTTATTACAAGAGGATAACATAATCGAATATAATCTCTATTTGATCGATTTTGTCGAACTTTTAGGAACTTTCATGAAAATTACTGAATAAATAAATTGTAAGATCCGTTTCTTAAACGCTTAAAGCAGCCTTGGCGGGTTTTTGTCAGCTAAAGCAATATTTTTCAATTTGGACATTTTTATATTAAAAATTGAAGGTGATTAAGATGTCGAAAGCGAAATGTAAGCCCGGCACATAGTTACTGCTGAAGTACGAATACTCAACAAAACAACAGAATGGTTGGAATAAGCTTCAGTGCTGAATTATTCATTCAATACAGAAACAAAGTGAAGAAATCATTCACTAATCCTGTGGATGGAAGGCTAAGATCCCATCCTGAAATTTAGATACTTTTCCCAGTTTCTTGCCGGTGTTCGAAGATCTGAGGCTTGTAGCTACCTGTATTCCCCAGCGGGAGCTGCACATGGATGGCAGCCAATGTTGTTCGGCTTGTGGCACCTCGCAGAGTGGCTATAAATACGTGATTAGTCAAGAGAGCGACGGTACACTAGAAAAGTGTCGAATGACCACAATACTGTAGCATATTAACACTCATTATGGGTCATCCTATTGTGGTTAGCTCTGTGCATGTAAGGATGTCTAGATTTTCTGTTACTAAGACACGATGACAAGAACCTGAGCAAGGGCTGAAACATAGGTAAGCTTCATCTTAGACATTTTAAATTGCTTACTTTGCTGTTGAAACCGTCCATAAGAACTTAAAAAAAATCTCATTTAAATGTCTCACAGCTATGCGACTTATGGCTTTTTTAGTGTTACTCTCTGTTCACTTAGAACACCTTATTTGATGGGGAAAACAGATGGAAGGTCTTCCTTTCATCTACATTACATCTTCCCTTACATCAGGGGCTAACTCAAATCAGAGCACAATTCCGATACGCTATCAAGCATCTCACACCGACAACCAAAGCTTTCGCAAAACGAAGAAAATGTAAAGGGAACAAAACAACAAAACGAAACCCTCTGTAATTTACCAGCAGATATTCCAAGATTTCGTTTCAAGTCAGTGAAATTCGTGTTCTTAGGAATTAGTCTTGATTTTTTGGGGAAACTCTGGTTGACCACCGTGGCTTAAGTCTTACTGGGCAGGAACGTGTGTTGTCTAGTTAGATTGTTCTATGGGTTTTTGGTAGAATTATTTTAAAAACGGATAAAAAGTGTATATTTTCCTCAAGTGTAATATTTGATGAGTTAGAACTGAGTGACTAAAGAAATTATAGTTTCCGGTGCATGTTTAAATCAGAAGACACATTTTTTTGGGTGAAAAATTGCTACAAAGATTTCATAATTTTTTTTCCGCTTGTATATCTTTCGAACGTAAGTCTATCAGTTCAGTTATAAAAATTAGAAGGAAGGATGTATAGATAATTGAAATGAGCTCGCGGCAAATCACCCACTAGAAAACTCAACTGACCGCACAAGATCTGTTAACCCAACAATACCATACCACAACAGGTATTTTCCATCGAACCGAAAACAAAACTCAGAACTCAAGTAATATTAAATCGAACCCAAAATGGCGCTGTGGATTAACAACACGAACAAAGAAATGTTTGTCCAATTTTACTTTTCTTAATAACTTGAATCTACTGATTATCGTCAAAACAAATTTTAATGCTAAAAATTGGTTAAAAAAACTAAACGTTATAGAAATTAACGAACATGGCCAGCATTATTCTCATGTCATAACACTATTACAGTGATAAAACTAAGCCAACAGACTTTCAAATTTCGTTTCGGAACTGTTGCATTTTGTTGTGTTTTGGGCCGGTAGAAGTTTTTACATAGTCTCTGAACTTCATACTTTATATTCGTGACAAATATTGCCGTAGATTTTACTCACCAACTTTGGCGAAACAAGTTTAAGATAATGTCTAAGTAGCGGTCGACATGAGTTATATAAATAAGTGATTATTTCCCACGAACTGTCTAACCACCCTGTAACACTTTCATACATTTTCAATGCTCACCCGCACATCCAAGTACGTTCGAGCTCTTCCAATGTTCACTTTTGTTATTACTAAGATTATTTATTTACGATATTTTCTCCGCCTTGGAAACTAACCTTACCGTATCAAAAACACTCATACACTATTTCAATTGAGAACATAAAAGCCCTCCTTAGCGGATTGATTGATTAATTTAAAAGAGAAATTGATATTTTGTAAATTAATGACGTTATGTAACATCAGTAATCTGTTATAGAATATAAAATAGCTTCGGTTTCCTGGACGATGAGCGATCACCATGCGCATGCACTTGCCAGCCTAGTTCATCGTTTTCCAGCAGCTCTGATTGGTGAATCGATATCGTCAAAATCTGACAGCTGTTCATTCATCCTATCAGTCACGATTCCTAAACGCAAAAGCTCCTTCGAAAAAATTCTACTGGAAAAATTAAGGTGTCATCGTAAGACCATTTGTGTGTCAGTTAAAGAGTACCAAACAAATGTAAATGTATACCAACAGTACAGAAATATTACGTGCGCTGTCTGAGATTTTCACCAACGTTGACGCACACCTCGATCACGAAATGCCTTATGGCCAGGCAAGTCGTGCACTGCTTCACAAGTGAAATAGGATAGATTCAAGAGATCTACCTTAAAACGGCTAAGGAACCGTCAGCGAGAAAAAATCCGGCCCCGATTAAACAAGAAAAAAAGGCAAGTATTTTTTGGAAAAAAATTCGAGAAATAAGCCAGCAACGAAAGTAGAAGATAAGCATCGGACTTGTTTATTTCAGGTACTTCTGCTTCATTAATAAGGTGTTGATAACTTCGACATGCGTGGGTAGTTTCTCCAGCTAGTGCGTAGGTTTGAAAATGGCCGGCGAAAATTAGAGATAAAAAAACCCCCTGCTTCTATACAATAAGATGACAGCGCGAAGACGTATCATTATCGCTGTAACTGCAACTTATTTTCAAGTGGTTTTGATTCCCATTTGCTCCGACAAATATACACCATCAGCTTGAAAACCACTTTGACTTTGATATACGTAGCTTTCGCAAAATGACTCGATCAGTTGCAATTGACACATCGACACTCACAGCTATCGACAAATCAGAAGTCCTAAGGCAGCTCAATTGAGATAAAACCTCTTTCTCGCCAGTAATCAGCTGATATCCGAGAATAATCACAGTTCCAATGGAGACGGAGCAACTCAGAAGACTACGCCAGTTAAAGAGGCGTTCTAATATTCCGCACTGGAGATGGCTGGCGAGGACGCCTGTCAAAATATTGTTAGTACAACTGACATATCTGTCACACAAAATGTCATACAGCAGGCATCGATTTTCATTCTGGGATGCCTGTGATCTTTTGCATAATTTTTATCTTTCCATATCACTTCATCTCAGTTTACAACCATTGCTGTAGAGCTGAGTTCTAACGACTTGAGAGAAGCTGTGGCTCAAATGAGCTTAGGGAGGCAAGGACTATCACAATGATCAGAAACCCGAAAACATCTTTCTCCTATAATCGCCCTCACACAAATGAATTGGTCTTGAGATTTGTCTCAGATAACAAACTAGGTATTACATGACATGCACTAACGCCAACTGCATTTAAAGTGACATTTTAGTCACAAGTGTTGGTGTTGTAGGTCTTCTTTGGTCCTATGTTTGTACATAGACAAAATTGTGTTCGTGCGTATGGCTTCACATTTGTCAGTTTACTGTCAGACTGCCGCGCGCAAAGTAGTATGGCCTCATTTGGAAACAATTTAAAAGTATGCATCGAAGGTCTTATATTTTCAAGACTAAGAACAGATCTTTCTTCATCTCATATTACCAGAATTTTTTTGCCGACTCGTTACAATAACTTAGAAGATAACGGATAAAGATAGGATGGCAATTCCAAAAAATTAACGTCACAGCCAAACTGAATAAATTTTTGGAAAGATTTGATATCACGGAACCACCAAACAAGATTGGTTATCCTTTCGGATTGAGTGAAAAGTACCGATTGTTTTCAATAACAGAATAGCTTAATTGAATTTTAGCAAATAAACTCAGGAATTGCATAAAGATATAGACGTAACGTTGTTCAAATTTATATTTTTTAGAAAATATTTCAATTTTTTGAACGCAACTTTGTGTATGAAGAAAATCCAATTACAAGAGCACTGCATTCACCGCATTCAAGAACCAATTTCTCGAATGACTTCATAACTGGGTAGTGACTGTAGAGAAATATTTAAAGTCGCATGCAATACATATAAATTACTATCGAAAAAAAATATAATCCTTTCCTGCTGAATTACAGGGTTTTGTTATGATAATTTCACAAAAAGGGTTACGATTTTAAAATTGTTATTCTTTGAAATAAAAAATTATTGGATTATTCTGTAAGGTGCTCGACAAAATTTAATTAGGGAAAGAGCGTGAAAAGGCTTTTTGAGCCAAACTGCATGACACGAAAATGTCTCGGCCAATCTTTTAGCAGCGGAACATTTCAGCTGGTCTTTAAAACAGAACGAATATTCTCTAACACTGACTACTTTTATTTTCAATTTACCTCAGAAAACAATTAGTTATGGAAAGAAGACCGGCAGAACTTCCACGAATTGCCGCAGTTGCATTTTTACTTATCAACTTCGGGGTCATAATATCAGATAGTCTGGTCATAGGTAAGTATGTTGTTTTTTGCACCTCGCAGAGAATCCACTACCATACCTCAGATTATAAGATTTGTGTTTTATTTCAAACAAAGAGCTTGAGATAAATGGTAAGCGAACTAGAAGCCTAGTTTATATTCTTCTGGTAAATTAAATGGGTCTACACAACAGTCATCTGCAATGTTTGGCCTTTTCAACTGATGTAAACGGGCAAAAATTTCAGACATCGATTTTGCTTGACATTGAACACTGAACGATGGCTGGATTTATATACTGTTTTCATCGTGCTTGTAATCAACCAAATAATCTTCATGCACTAGGTTTTCTAAAATATTTTTCAAGAAGCATGAAAAACACGAAATAAAATATCGCTACTTTATTTTGGGGAGTCCCTGTTCCTCAAGGGAAACTTACCAGAGAAGCACAGCAGGTGGTGCCAAGATTTCATGGACAGTTGCTCTAATTGGTTAACTTTTAGCTCCCACGATCTGCCTCATAATTCGCCTTTTTAGCTAACATACATTTACTTTTAATGTCATATGAGAGAATACTGTGTTGAATAACAATAGCACTTTCAAGCCCATAGTTTGTCTATTTTCATTATCTAATGGCTGGATGGCAGACAGATATTGTGCGGGGTATTCCAACGTTGGTCCAATATTGCAGTGAAAGTGTTATGAACATGAAGGGTGTCACTTGATAAATAGAGGTCAAAATGGATGATGGGATAGTTACTAGACTTTCAAATCTCTAGGTTAAAATTAAAATAAAACTTAACTTACCTTTGGTGCAATAGTAAGAAGCACTTCCGTATCTCTGATAAACGACATCCGTGTTCTCCGAAACTCTGGAGAATAAAATGTTTCGTGATCTCTTCTCTTTTGATGATCCTCATTCCACAGCTATCTGAGTAACAGGCAACACCTCGTATAATGTGTCATCACTGAGAAATAACATCTGTAATTCCAGTAACCCTGGGAAATAACATCCGTATATCCTTGTTTCACAATTAGATCGCCTACATTCCCCAGTTAATTGCATTTCAGGCAATACGTCTTGTAAAGTGACGCTTGTGAAGGACAATACTAAGAAATAACATCGGCACTTCCTGTAAGACTGGGATATAATACCTGTATTTCCATTTTTCTGCATTAGATGACCCACATTCCACAGTTATCTGCATCGCTGGAAATACTTCGTACAATGCGTCGTTTGCTAAGGACATCGAAGCGGGAGTGTTCACCTCATTGGACGAAGTGGGAAGTGTAGAAAGCTGCGTGCGCAGAGCGTGCAACAGGCGGGCAGGTCACGTGGCTTTTCTTCTAGAAAAGACGTGCTTCATGGTCCGTTGCTACGTACCACCAACATCATGTAGAATTAAAACAAGAAAACCTTCGACTCCTAGTATCTTCACAATTTCCATCACTCCATACACATGGTTTGGTAAGTCATACAAGTACTCCTTGTCTAACTAATGCCAAATAGTCGAGACAGAGAAATAAATGTATTACGGAGAATAAACTAGTCTCGCCATCCATTGTTAAATGTTCTTTGATGTTTAGACTTTTTAAGACTAATGTCATAAGGTTAAAAAGAATGCAATGAAAAGGTGATACCCAATGAAAGAACAAAGTAATTTTTCCCGTGATTGTAATGGCTGCAAACATCCTCTTTCTTTCGTTAATCTAAATTGTCGGACATAAAATTGTGGTCATAATTTGAGAAACGCTTGAGTCTATACTTAATATCTAAACGCCTTTAGGGGGATGAGAAAGGCGCATCCGTTTTTTTTTTTGTACTTTAAACCACGTTCCTTATGTCACTTACATTTCCCAGTAAAAATGAATTTGAATATAATACCAACATAGATTGAATTACTGAAATAATCTATACTAACAATACCTGAGAGAATTTGCAGTCACATACCACCAACTCTCTTCGCTCATAATTATTATTATTATTATTATTATTATTATTATTATCATCATTATTATTGTTACAACAGCTTAGTATTAAGCATAACGCAGAATACATACTCTATGTATAAGAATCACATATAGCTGAATTTTTCGTCTACCTCTACTGGGGTATCACTTATTAGTAGTATTTAACTGTGTTTGTTGATCAAAGATGCAGGTATAAAATAGCAAAGTGATTCCATTGCTCAAAATCAAGCACAAGGCCTAATGGAGAATAAACCTTCGAATTTTACTGAGTTGGAAAGGAAGGCTCATGAAATATTTAACAGTTCTATATTATTTTCTTCTTCAGATGCTGCTCCGGTTTTCAGCGACGAATTACCAAGGGTGATTGAGGTCACAGAAAACAATCAGAGGGGTCAAATTATCCAGAACATTCACGGCCATGCTAAGAGCCGTCAAAATCCGAATGCTTCCATAAAATATTCCATTTTAACAGGTTCGTTAGGTTCGGCTACCGAGTTGAGCCTGTCTTTGTTGTAACTGTAAATTCACCTCATGATAGGATTTATTGTGTTGTCAGTCTTCAGTGAGCTCTCAGTTGGTTCTTTCTCATGGGTAATAGTCGTAAAAATGGTATCAATGAAAACAGTTTTAAATGCAGGTGGCAAAATTAATTCATATAAACGTCAGGAAATTAATTCATATAGACGTTGACCTGTTCATTTTTCCTTTAGGGAACACTGGAAATGCGTTCGAACTCAGACCCCATCCTCTCGGTCAAAGCGCGTCCTTAGTGGCAATCAGGAGACTAGACCGGGAAAAAATCTCTTGGTACAACTTAACAATCTTAGCAATAAACATCGACGAAAACAAAACAAGCACCAGAGTGCTTTCGATCAATGTAACAGATAAAAACGACAATGCACCTGTATTTTCACATACTAATTACTCAGTGACAATATTAAGTAACCTTTCCTCTGGATCTGAAGTCTTCAGAATCAATGCAACTGACGCCGACATTGGAGAGAATGCGCGCATGCGCTTCTACTTGCTTAATCACCAGTCTTTATTTCGGATGTTGCCAGAGAGTGGAACGATTTTACTGAACCAGAAAGTCAGAGTGGATCGCGCGAACAGCTACACGCTTATCGTGGCGGCGAGGAACGGAGCGCACAAGACAATTACAACCGTAAAAGTGCATGTTCTAGGTGTGAACGAACACAGGCCTTTCTTTGAGATTCCAGAGTATAAAGTCAAAGTTTCGGAAGCTTTGAAAGCAGGAAACTCAGTGACAAAGGTTTTAGCGACAGACTATGATTACGGGAAAAATGGAGAGCTCAACTTTACAATCATTGCTGGGAACGTTTCTTACTTCAGTATCGACAAGGAAGGTGTTGTCAAGACACGACAGTCGTTATTAACTAGCGGAGGTCTAAATGGTAGCTTAACAATCATTGTGAGCGACAAGGGGACGCCTCCAAAACGATCAGTGGATGTAGCAAAAGTATATATCACGATCGAGGAGATAAAGAAACACAAAGTAAAGTTTGATCTGGAGAGGTATCACGTGACTATAGCAGAGAACACGCCCATCGGTGCTACGATTCTTGCTGTTCGCGCCGTCTCGGGGGTGAGACGCGAGAAGCTCGAAGAGCAAAGACTGGACAGGAAGTCCTCCAAGCGTGTTGTTTACTCTATTGGAAATGCAGACGGTAATCGTTATTTTAAGATCGGTAAACACACAGGGCTAATAACAACGCAGGTAGCCATGGATTACGAGAAAGTCAAAGAATACAGGTGACTATCATTTATCGAATAAAGAAGCCTCAACTGTGCACTGATCTTTTGTAAACACCCAGGAAACGATTAGAACACGAAAGAAGTGTTGGAAGAAACAAGGGAAATATTCCAGTGTCTTACATTTCTTCCTGAGTGCGTTACCATTTTCTGTATGTTTTACAAAAAAAGAGAGTGTAGCCGAGTACCTCGACCAATCAGAGCACACCTTGCATCAAAACTTGATTATAACTCAAAAGAAAATTGTTCAGTAGGGTCCACCAGTGATTACGTCATAAATACACACGTTGTAGTGCAGTTGACGAGACTTACAAATTATCCTTATTCCTTATATGGTTCATTTTCTTTCTCGTTAGGTTGGCAATATTTGCAAAGGACATGGAGAGACGAGACGAAAGTGGCCGCTATGAATCTGGTAAATTTTGGTTGAAATTAAATTTTCCTTTTTAAGAACCGCCTATCATCTTTTTAATAAATTCCTTAAATGTGTTATCTAGTTCGCATCCCTCAGCGACCGGTCACAATTTATCACCTGGGGGGTGGGTCGGAGGTTTTTGGTTGTGTCCGATGAAATTTACCTGATATCCCATAAGGCTCTGTAATATTCTTATGATCCCCCCCATAAGGCTCTGCAATATTCTTATGATCCCCTTCTTCATTCGCAGTTAATTGGCAGTCATTTTTCTATAGTCTCCCCCCCTTATACTCTGTTGGCGACGACTGATCCCCCCCTGCGTTTTCCCTATAAATCATGTGACTCCCCTCTCCCCCTCTCCCCCACCGAGATCCTCCTCAACTTTTCTCATTTGATAAAATTAATAGCTTAGCACTTGTTCATATTACAGACAAGTCCGACGTCGTCGTTCGTGTATTGGATGTCAATGACAACGCACCTCGCTTTGTTCTTGACTCGTACCAAGAAGTCATCAGCGAAAACGCCACGGTGGATTCGGAAATACTTCGAGTAACTGCGACGGATGCCGACTCTGGAACAAATGGCCAAATACACTACAGGATAGACCACGGAAACTCTAACGGCACGTTTGAACTAGACGATAATAATGGCGTTTTAAAGCTACAACAGAGGCTAACAACCCAGGTGTCGGATTTCTACAACTTGACTATCTTTGCCATGGATCACGGAGTACCCTTTCTGATCTCCAGGCCAACGTTCATCTACTTAAAAGTTCGTCGCTCCATTCACCCTCCATGCACGAAAAAACTGGAATTTCCAAAAGCTATCTACTTGGCAGATGTCAACGAAAGTATTCCCATAGGATCAAATATTCTGCGTGTGACTGCTAAGAATGGCAGATGTAATCCTGCAAGTAGAGTAAATTACTTCCTGTCCGAGATTCGCGACCCAGAAATTGATGACCACTTCAAGGTTATTTCTCAAACAGGTGTTATTAAACTACTGAAACCTCTAGACTTTGAAGATCGGAATAGGTATACGTTTTACGTCGGAGCTACAGGTGAGTCGATACACGTTCACTAGGCTGCATTCTCTTCTCTATTTCATGTGCATTGCCCTGACTTGGCTCGCCGCCCTTCTCTTAGATACAAGGTATAACCTTCAATAGAGTGACTCCCTGTTGTCTTACTCCTCTTACTTTGCGCACGATAATCGCCACCATACGGTGTGTCAAAGGTTGTAGTCAGCCAGCTTTAATCGACTTGGTCCCTGGGTGGGAGCAACCAAACCTCTCAAAGGCTGCAGTTTCTTTGAATTGTATTACTTTATTTCAAAAAATCACCTTTTTATTGAGTAACCTTTGATTAGTCTTAATTTTCTCTTTAATAACTCCAGAAACAAACTTTCTCTGATTTTTTAGACTCCAGAACAACAAACCCTGTCGACACCGTTCTCGTTCGAATCTTGGTGAAAGACGAGAATGACAACAGACCTGTGTTCTATGAACAACGTTACAAAAAACTTTTAACAGAGACACCAGAGCCTAAGACTGTGGTCGCCCAGGTCGCAGCATTCGATAAGGACTCTGGGAAAAATGCTGAGCTGGAATACTTTATAGTCAGCGGCAGTTACAGCTATTTTCGTATAGACCAAAAGTGAGTGTCACTGTCTAGAAGAGTTTAAACACGGTTTGACAATGTTTCCATCGGGTTTAAAAAGACGGTTATAACTTCGATCCTTTCACTACAACTGTTAGTGTTCCATGGCCGAGCGACTCAAAGCGGTTTGTAAAATTGGACCATGGTGAGAAAGGGAAGACCTGAGATGCAATGTTGTGGGTGACTACTATTTACACAAACCTAGGAGGGAAAAGTTAAACTCCTCCGAGTCATTTTCTGTTACCGAATAACGCTCTCCTCAAGCTTGACGTTCTTAGCGGGATCCATGCCTTACCGGGACAGTTTACGATATCGATTTTGTTTCCATTTGTTAACAAGTGTTTATTTTTCTCACAATAGGAGTGGAGCTGTTTCGACGAGCGAAAGAAAAAATTTAAAATCGCAGAATCTTCGTCTGTTTAACATAACAGTGTCAGTGTCAGATTACGGCAAACCTCCGCTGAAGGCCAAACGGCAGGCTCGACTCTCTGTACTGGTATTCCTTCCACTCCGGTCCCCTCTCATTTTAATCGAAACAACGGACACGACCATGACAATTCGCTTTGACTTGAAGGACATGGCACGAAGCAACATCGCTAAATACGGCATCATAGTTCAAGAATATGTCGACGACAACAGCGAGTGTAAGTACTTTACCTTTCTCCGTTAATTCGCGTCACCAAGTTATCTGTCCTGTTCGAATTCCCGATTCTCCTCAATTCAGCTCACAACAAACGAAGGGGCCACTGCCAGTGATCAGAGGTTGCTTAGTCAATCACCGAGGGCTTAACAAGTTTACATTCGTACAATTGAAACCGAAAGAGAAATTGGTGTGAGGTACCCTTTGTGTTTCGGTTCGTTGAGTTGGCAGAGCTTACTTGGGTCAGTAACACCAGTTCTTTACTCTCAGAACCCACCAATCCATAATTTACTCACTCAGGAAAATTCTCTTTTAGATGATGAAATCAGTGAAAGAGAACCACTCACGTGGTATAAAGTGAGCCAATCCGCAGAGGAAGACCAGGCATTAAATCGGTACATTACCAAAGTGATACCGTCCACACCGTCTATCGAAAAATCTAGACCGCTTGAGGTGGAAATTGGCGTGGACAAAAATTGTGAAAACAGACGGGGAGATAAAGATTTCTGTAACGGACCGTTAGGACCAGGCAAGAAATACAGGTAACATTCCATACTTTTGTCTTTATTAATATTGATCTTGAAGAAGAACTTCTTTCATGTTATTTTTATTATAACATCAGAATCTTGGTTAAGGGCATCTTTCCGCCAGGTTCCCACTACTTTCCTCTAAGATAAAAAGCCAACCCTTCAAATTTTAATTCGTCCCGATACAAGTGGATGAAGAGCTCTTTTCTGGATTTTATTTGTGTGCCAAAGCGGTTAAGCTTGTGTCTTCGTGAAAACCACTCATTACAAAACACCGTGATCATAAACATTCTGTTGTCGCGCTTCTAGATTTCAGTTGCGCGCCTACTTGAAGTCCACCGGACCTTTTGAGGACCGTAAATATAAGGACAGCGATTTCTCAAACCCACACTTTACAGGTATGAAAAATATGCTATCGAACGATAAACATCTCCGTCTGGAAAGTACGAGGTAAAGGCTGATGAGTTTCTAGAAAGAATTTTCTTTTTTATTTCAACACAGATATGCGATAGAAAACTTAACCAAATTTTAATGCATGACATAATGTACTTGACATCAAGGCGTATCTAAAGGGGGGAAGGCAAACAAAGCACGTGACTCTCCCCTCTCGATCTGGTATGAAAAGGTAGTAATGTGTAATGATGAAATATCCTGATTCCATCAAGGCACTGTGTGAGACCCCAGCCGTTAAAACGCATTTCCATAATTGAGATTCATAATTTTAAACCCTAAACTTACGAAATCGCCAGTTAAAAAAAGACACTTTTTTGACCCATCTATAATTTACAGTCCAATTCTGCCATTAAACAGCTAATGACAGTATCATGATAAATGGAGTCAAATTGGTTTTTATTTAGCATTACCACAACCGAAGCCAGCGTATCAAAAGGAAGTGAGAAAGAATTACGATGCGGTTGTATACAGTGTCGGCTCTGCTTTGGTGTTAGTCATCATTTTAGCCTTTCTGAGGGGTTTTTATCGATTAAAATTGGATAGAAAGAGGTCAGTAACATTCTCATGTTTGTTTGAATTTTAACCATGAGGCTCCATCCCTCCCACGAAATAGTATATACATCATAGTTGTGCAACAGCTCTACAGAGCGAAAACTATTGTGGCCCTATAAGTTCTAACAGATCTAGTGTCGTAGCACTCGACGTCTCTTGGGGAATGATTTCTCTTCTGCTACATTTTTCATTCCCTTTTCCTCGTTATAATGTCAAACAAATCTTAAAATGTACACAATGGAGGGCGGGCATTCACGCAGTCAACAGGTCAGGTATTGATCAATTAAATAATTGATCACTTAAGCGGCTGTTAGAGTTTGTCATCAGTTGAAAATTAATTGGAAATTTTCGTACAAAATGTTTTTGTTTCGAATTCTCCGATTGAGGGGTAAGAAAGAGCGAACATACTGAGAAAACCAATTCAGTTTGCATGTGATCGTGTGAATGAAAAACCGTTTGGAGTAAGAACCTTGTAACTGATACGAGCAGCCAGATTCTGTCCTTGTAAACTCCTCATGTTTCTGTCAAGCTCTCAACCATCAACACCACTCCGACAAAAAAATTTCGTGTTCCTGAATTCAGACGTGCACTTAAAACAAAAATTTCTTTTTAGGATTCATGAAGAAAAGAAGAAGCGTATTTCATTTCCAATGAGTAATCCACGGTTCCAGGAGCCAAACTCACCAGTTGAAAAGATCAAAACCCCAGGACCCGCAAAGTGAGTATCACCTACCACAAGTACAATCGGAGAAGAAGGAAATGCATGTCACATGCTGGATCACGGATCACTCGCATGGTCTTTCCATCAAACCATGATAAACACTAACTGTTAACTTCATGCCAGATCACTTCATTCACAAAGGGATTAGAACTGGCTGCTCCGTTTTATAACTATTCGTCTGTTAAAAAGGATCCAGATATAATTTGATTGACGACACCAAAAAGAGCTTAGAATTAAAATATTAAAAAACAACAACAACAACAATAATAAGCTAATGTTTCCTTTATGGAAAATACGGATGTTGTGTACTTTCCAATAAGAGATCTTTTCGTTTAGCATCAACAAACATATCGTGACCTATCAGGACAACATGTTTACTACATACCTTTCCTTTACACTTATGCATGCTCTTTCTCTTTTATTCAAGGAAAATGGTTGCTGTCAATCTCGACAAGGGCTCAGGTATGTGACAAAAACACTTTTAAAATTGCTGCATTGTACGCAGCCAGCAGAAATCGCTAATCGACGAGAATGCTTATTGATTTTGAGACATTTGGTTGGAGTAGCGAAAACACCACAGATTTGTAACACTAACAACCAAGCGTTACCACTGGTTGGCTTTCATTGGACGAGATTAAGCGCTACTCTTGCCACGTGTTTCACAACCAACCTTAGTTGCGTTCCATAATTTCCAAAGGCGTCACATGCTTGCATTAAGGTCTGATCTTCTTTCCTATCTATTTCAGAGTTTAGTCATCGGGACGAAGACGAAGGTTCATCCCCAGACTCCGCACTAGGTACGTGTCCGTCGAGCAACTCCGAGCCTACACCAAGAGAAAACATCAAGCCAACGTACTTTACCTTTGAGTTTTAGGGAGAATCGCGGAATCTTTCCCCGAGGTAACCCCTCGCACACTTCTTTGCTTCTTTCTCGAGCCTGTTAATTTGTCGCTCCATCTTGTTGTGGTCTTTCAGGGCATGCTCGTCTGGAACTTCTTAGAAAGCAATATCTATCTGTCTTTCATACTGCAGGATCCCCAAAGGTCAGTGTCCTGCAATCCTCTTCTCTCTCCCTCTTTTATATTCTTTCCTTTCCTTTTCATTATCTTTCTATCTCCTTTTCTGGCTTGGCTCCTGTAGTCTCAACTCTTCTTTCAACCAATTTTCTCCTCTTATCTTTTCGTTTACCTTCTATTCTCTTCCTTCCTTTCTATTTTTGTTCTTTCAGTCGACTGTAAAAACTGTGTTAGCGCCATAGTTCCTTTCCTTTATCTTTGTTCACCGTTGTTTTTTACCATTATTTTCCTTCCTTGAGAAGGTCTGCTAGCGCGCATGAACTTTTAATTCAGGACACCGATTTACAAAAGAAAAGCCACAGCTACTGAGTTTGTATCTTCATCTTAGCTATATCCTTCACAAACTATTGAAACCTCATATCATTTCAACTATTGATGTGCTAACACCCGAGGGTGCTAACGTAAAAAGCAAACACTGGCCTTAGTCCGTTACTGATTCATTTTCGTCCGGCTAGCTCTCCCAATGCAATCTTAACAACACCGGTTGATACTGCGTCACATAGAATCTTACAATGGTTATTCAAAAGGGTTCTAACAATCCAGTCTTGATGTCTTTCTCTTAACCTGTCCTTTGCACCTAACCAATCTTGCTTCATCTCTTTCGAATCTTGTTTTCTTCTTCTTCCGGCAGACACCACCTAAAGGACTATGTAGGATGCAAGGTCGACCCGTTTAGATAGGTCAGTCCTTCAATTTCTACCTTTTGCTTCTCTCCATTGATTTTCTTGGTGCCACAGTAAAACCAACCCTTGCACTAGCCACAATTCAACATGGTTCCTGAAGTATAACTCAGGCCACTTCTTGTTCTGCAAGCTTTTGACTACATGTACCTAGTTTCTCTCTGAACACTCCAGCTGAAATTTGAATTGCAAGTTCGAGAACGAATCATTAGTCCGCACTTCATCCAACACATTGTTCCATTTAGCAACTCGCGGATTCACTTTCACCAATACCGACCTTATACGTTGACTCCTAACATATCTGTAGCATACTCTAAGTCCTCACATGAACTACGCACAACCACTCCCCTCATGGAAGCAAACATGTAAATTTAAAAAAATGTCGCTATTCGTGTAAAAAATACTCAATTATTTCCTCCATTTAAGTTCATCGTGCATAGTAAAGTGCATCCAGTTGATCATTAGATAAGTTAAAGCCCTCTCAATTTCGATTTAAAGATGGATTGGCATTCTTTAGTAAAATAAACTGCATTTGAATCATGAAATAAGACACCCTCTCGTTGAAACCACCATCACAATTCTCTTAAGCATTTGCCATAGCCTTACAACCTCTAAACTTATTATTATTATTATTATTATTATTATTTTTAAATTGAACTAGTATGTTGTCCAAAGTTTAAATTCGTAAGGGATTTAAAAGGTATCTTTTGCTTATTAAAATCATTTTGTAAACTGCTTACAGAGATAAGACAGAAAGAATCTTACAAACTACCACTATTCATCAGAAATAAATGTCAATTTGTAAACGCTTTTTTGATAGACGATTCCTTCGTGCACTTACTGAGGGGTTGTCACTAAATGGCATGCCTCGTAGGTAGGTAAATACCTCGCTTTCCCTAATCCTTTATAATTACTAACCCTAATAGTAACCACTACTCAACTGCAAATACTAAATTGTTACAATTTGACTGAAGTATTAAATACTGAATTTCAACCGATAAAACCTACCTACGAGATATCCCAAATCCATAGTGAAACCCTGTAAACTATGACCCTGTTGACTAATGACCTAAAACCCTAGAACATAACTAAATTGATTCGACTTATCAGAGCAATTTTCAATTGGGTGTCGAAATTAATTCGGCGTTGCTTTCTTTTTGCTTTACGTCATTCTTTGATTGGTCCAGAAAAATCGCGTCACTCTCTCAACCAATCAAATGCAAACTAAATCCAATCACAACTAGGTCACCCACGTTTTCCCGCGCTTTGGGCAGAATGCTTGTTTTCACTTCGAGATCTAATTGGACATCGTGATAAGTTTTGTTGTTGAATTACGACACTCAATCGAAAAGCGCTTTAAAAGTACAAGTAATTAGGTCGTTGAGCTTAAAACATTGATTAATAAATCAAAGTTCGCAATAAAAACTTCTCTGGCTACAACAACAAGATGTAATCACAACATTCAGGTGTTACTGAGTAAAATTAAGGATCGAGAAATGAACCCTCCAAATTACTTGCTAATAAATGTTGTTTGCGTTTTACAGATGAAAGTACAAGGCCATTACAGAGTAGAAGACGTCCAACATTACAGGAAGTGAGATTAAAAAATTACTTTAACTCCGTGGAGTCCTCGTCGTGTGCATCGTGTGACCACGTGAAAATTTACTGTGTGCAGGAGACAGTCACGTGATCGTACAATAGCCTGTCATCAAACTGACACTTGCCGGACAAAATCAGAGTAGGACACCTGTCTGATCACAAGGCAAGTTTACGACATAACACAGTTTTAAGATGAAGTTTGGTTCTGTTTTTAAAAACGAAGCATTATGTAAAATCTCAATCATAAGCTTAATTTTCATCGAAAGAAATTTCGGAATAAAGCTGTACTTGACCACGCTGGTTTTTCAGCAAGCTTCGCTTTAAAACGGAGCCAAAACTTAGCTCGCGAAGGCATTGTCAAAATGTGTCTTCCGTTGTTCTTTTCGTCAAGACAGTCATTGTTAGGAGGAATTTTCGGCAATTCAAAGGAATTGACACGTTATTTCACACAATCAGGCGACTCTAAACTAAAGACATAAAACTATGAGGGTATTCAAATTTGCTTTAAAAAACAAACTCAAGGGTAAAAATAAGTTATTAAGATTATGAGCACTTATTAGACACAATATAATTTTAAAAACGTAATATAACTGTTACTAGAGCGAGTTTTAAATAGTGTCAAAATTAATCCGAAATTGTGTGGGTTCTGCTGGTTCTCCTTTTCACACCAGCAAAACTGTATTGAATTTTGACCAATCAAAAACTTGTATTTCCAAACAAAAATATTCGGTTAAATAGTTTCTATGAAGAAAAAAAAAATTAAACTGTGTTTAACAAAACAACTTTTAAACATGTTTAAGCTTTGGTGTGAATGGGGCATTAGTCAGGCATTTTCCCGCGTCTTAACAGGTCACGTAAATTTAAGCGGTTCTAACCGTCCGAATGTATTGCTTCAACACAAGGATCTGCCCTAATGTTAAGAAACTTTACTCAAAAGTGCTCTTTTGCAAAAACAAAACTAAATATGTGGGTAAAATGCTAAAATGCTGAGATTTATCTTTCCAGTTGGAATGTTTAAAAGAAGTTATCTAGTTCAGATGAAATTATTTCCTAGGAAAGTTGTCCTAGCTGTATAGTATAAATATATATATATATATATATTACATAAATATGATAATCTTGTATGGATCATTTTAAGATTTTCTCCTTATTAACAAGGACCGAGTGGCGAAATTTTCATTGCCTTTCCATACTCCACTGGCTGGTTTAAAATTCTTAAGTTTTCTAATTAACCTTTTACAATTATATTAGATTTCGTCCCGTTGTTGTTTTTTTCTAGTCTCTCAGTACAACTTACAGTTTCCTCAAGTTTATGGAAAATTTTTTTCCTTGGGAACGCATCAGAGCGAATACAACAGTTGACAAACAAAGTAAGGTGTATCTCGGGTAATTCTAAATCTGCCGTAATTCGATTCGCATCTCTCCCTGTTGGCCGTTATATATTTTTCTTGTAAGTCTGGAAGTAATGTTTGGTTTTCACATCAAGAATAAGTACGTTCATTTCTCTTGCTTGTTTTCTGGGTAATTCAATACTGTAAGTAGTGGTTAGATTTCCCTAACATTTCTAACAATTTATGGGGTCTTACAACCATTTTTGGACCATAGTAACGTATTCGTAGTAACAAAGTAATCGCGCTCAGTCGATTGTAAATAAGGAAATGATTGGTTTGCAATATGTTTGAGGCAAAAAAAATTGTTGTAGAAGCAACGTGGTCGTGTAATTAAGAATTACCGTGAGACGAAGCTTCCTGCTTCGCGCAAAACGTCATTCTCTGACAGCTAGAGCGAAAACTCTGTAGTTTATTGGCTTAACTATGTCCCACGGCTTGCCTCATTCCTATAATATACAGACACTTGTGTTAACTAACGCGTGTAACAACTATGTCAATGGTAGTCCCGCTCTACTGAACCTCTTTGCTCTTCACAAGACTACACTGGTTCATTGTGATCAATTTTTTTATCACTGTAGCTACAGAATATTATCAGTTAGGCGTACTTTGCGCATGTTACCAAAAAAATTAAACTTATTGCAGATTTAAGCTTTGCGAGACAATTGAATTGAACCAAATTAATTTAAAGAAAATAATAAATTAGCCAGATCAGCTGACTTGAGGAAGAAATAAAAACTGCATTGTTGGTGACTTTATTTGGTTTCTCTTTGACCGTGGTTACGTTTTTTCGTGTTTTCTTCATAATGAAAACATGTGGTTTCAACAAAACAGAAAATGCGATAAGTATCCTTAGAGAGATTTCAAAGTAAAACGAAGTAAGAGAGAACGTTCGTGTCCTAACATTTTAACTTCACTTGTACCCACCTCGACGCTGTCTTAACCCTAAGCAACGCAAAGCTCCTGGCTGAAGACAATGTGATACCAAAGAAGACGCTGGTTAAAGTAAATCTCAGTAAATCGTCATGGCACACATTCAAGTTTTTCCGATAATTATTTACCAGGTCAAAGCTTCCTAGTCATGCAGCCTAGTAGCTAGTAGGTTCATTGAGTTTGAAGTATTCGCACTGAGCACAATCTGTGCTCTGATCTATGAAAACTACATGAATAAGTCCTACATGACCCAAGGATGTTGCCAACTTTGGAGATGGTTTATTCCAGGCAGCACAATTCATGAACATTAGTGTTCCTTAGGTGACATGAACAACAACATACGCAGTAAAGATAAACTGAAAAAACGAAAGCAGCTTTATTATTTACAATCGTTACAATAAATAACTTGGCAAAACATCAAAGAATTTTCTCAAGAAAATTCACTATATATTAAGTACCAAAAAGAATGTCTATTGGTAAATCTGTCATCTCGCAAGTAAGAAATCTAAAGGAAGTTCTGAGAGCGTATAAAAGTATTCAACATTTGCATGAACATTAGATATATATCCAAGACAAAAAGAACCACGACAGTTTGGGACATCAAAGTTCAATAAAATAATCTGAAAGGGAAAAAAAACAAACACCATTGTCAATGGAGCCGAATATATTAAGAACGCTCGGGTAACAAACGTTTTAAGAAAACCAAGAGACACTAACTGAATTTACGGAGCTGGGAGGCGGTTTTCGCCTCAGCTAATAGCTGGTGCCTAAAGGAAGAATGACTCTAAAGAAACTGTGGTGCTACGTCTCTGGGGGATATTACAAAACAATTTGGTTTTAGCAACAGAGTTGATCATGCAAATAGGCCACCGTAAAGAGTTTTTAGAGTCGACATTCCAATCGTTAGACCATCCTCATTCTCTCTGGCGATGGGCTAAGTTGATAAAAACCAAATTATTTTGTAATGGCTTATGCGTTATTTTAGGATACAATTAGCAAATACGGGTCACCAGAATCAAATTCAAACCAACCTTGAAATCACCCCTTGCGTTTTCTCGCGCTCAGGGCAGTTTCTTGCTCGTACTAAGAGTTTTCGTTGGCTTCTGGCTACCTGCGATCTGCGTTTCCTCGCGCTCAAGACAGTTTCTTGTTCGTACTAAGAGTTCCCCTTGGCTCCCAGCTACCTGCGATCTGCGTTTTCTCGCCCTCAAGACAGTTTTTTTGCTCGTACTAAGAATTTTCCCTGGCTTCTAGCTACCTGCGATCTGCGTTTTCTCGAGCTCAAGACAGTTTCTTGTTCGTACTAAGAGATCCCCTTGGCTCCCCGCTACCTGCGATTAGTTTAGTCGTTGTGATTGCTTTGGTTTCGGTTTGACGACATCTAATTTAAAAGCGCTCTATTTTGAACCCTCAAAAGTTCAAAATAGAAAAAAATGAATTGCTTCATAAACATACCTGATAAATAAGAATCATCTTGTTTACGACAGAATTTGAACTTCAACAGTACCCGCACTGTAACCTTTCTGCTCAAAGAGAAAAAAAAAGGAGTAAGGTTTTCATATTCAGAATTTGGTTTTATAAAACCAACAAAAGGAAATACCACAAGACGAAAACGACACTTACCACCAAAACTTGGAGCTTTTTGTTTCTTCTCACGAGTTTGGCGATTCGACTTTTTTCCTAAAAAGAAATGAAAACAGCTCAATGGCCACATCATCACCTAGTTAGAAGACGAAGTAGCCGAAAACAGCCGATTTGGGACACACCAATAGCCCCGAACGCAGTCGAATACAACTTGTCCAGCCGAATGCATTCGAATGAAGCCGAAAATAACAGATCTACGGAGTGGCGATGCAGGTCAGTTCTATTACGAACGAGCAATAAGAGAACTAAGAGCGTCATCTTCTGACAACAAAAGCCTTTTAAGATTTTCAGTAATTTAACGTTGCCCCATGGACCGCTACTCACCTAGCTACCTTTACAAAACGTTAAATAACAAAAAATGTCTCGTACCTTCTTGTTAGCAGAATTTGAGTACACTATGCAGCACTCAAAAGCCTTAAGTGGATATAAGAAAAAACGAAACGGTTATTTAGTATATTAATTCTAGGTATTTTTTTTGTGTAAATTTAGTAAATTAATTCTAAATATATTTTTGTGTGCAGTTTCCAATTTGAGTAAATTGCACACCGTATCTTGTCAACACAGCCCCTTCATATTTGCTCTAACAAAACAAATATGCAACATGTCCATGACTGACCTGTGCAGGAGGAGACGTGTAAAACTTATCATCAAGCACCCTCAGTGCTCTTTGATTCACTTCCCACACATCACCAATGTCCAGAAGTCGAACGCAAATCTGAAGATAACAAATAAATAGGTAATTTTCTAGAAAATTTTTTTTTTTCTCACCTTGCAGCTATTCAAATTGTCCGTTACAAATCAAGACTTAAACAGGAAAACCAATTTACCTTCCCCTTGTCCAGAGTTTTCTCTACAAGAGCTCGGTACCAGTGTCCATCTCGGCCTTTCACGGCACACTGCTTGTATATAAATATCTCACTTGGATCAAGGGTTTTGTTTCTGGCTTCTATGTGGGTCCTGTCAGAAAATAGCTGCTTCATTAATAACACTCTTTCACTGCTAAACGAACTCGATCAAGAGACGAGAAAGCCAGGAGACTGACTCCTCCACATAAACCTCTATTGAAAGGGGAATCATCTACTTAAGACCCTACATATCTTTCGTGAATAATGCTGCGCGCATTTCGTGTGGTGCTCCGTCATTCCTTTGAACTCATTTTCGCATGGGCGTCCGAAGAAGGCTTGGGAAATAGGAAAGACGCTACTCCCTGAGACACGGAACGAAACACAGAACTGCATGGACGCGTTTGAAAAACCCTAGCACGGAAAATGCTTACCCCATGCGCACCATGGCATCCACGAAGGCATCTTCCTCCTTCCTTGCCCGAGTAACTTTAGCCCAAAAAGTGCCACCGTCTGTCAAGTTCTCTTGAACTATAATAGAATGTTCTTTTCCTACAATAAAGATAAAACGTATAAACATATATCTAGGAAACAATTCTTTTTTTCCTAGTTCAGATGCAATCGTTTCGCATTGAAAAGTGGCACATATCAATCCTATGAGCTTCTTTGATGGGCTTTCCACGTATAACACTTTCTCGGGTATTGAGGTATTTGCCAAACTCTCACACCCCCCCCCCTCCTTCCTCGGTCCGAAGATGCCCATACGCCTATGTTTACGACAAGAGTGGTACTCTCAGGCCTGTTTAAAATTTTAAAACTCATGTAAAAAGTTACAAGGCTGTGACTTCCAAACCTATCTCAAGGGGTACGTAGTCAGATATCACTAATTCCTCTGAGCTCTCTTGAGACAGTAGTTCTGGTGATAACAAGCACCCTGAGGCCACTTCTAGACACGAGTCGCTATCAGTCATTCCTGCAATGCCTGGTGCGTCATCTGACCTGCCTGCGATAGTAAAAAACTAATTATTGATGCACAGTTACATTTATTTAATACCAATTACCGTGTTGCCGGTGAAGGCGACATATGCCTCAAGCGTGCAGCTTGACAGCAATGATGCAAAAAAAGGCAAAAAAGGAAATGATATGCAGTTTTAGCGTTTTATCACAATTACTTCAATTTAGAAGGCTATGCAACTCTTTAACTATTCCGTGATACATATTGAGTAGCCTAACATGTGTGCAGGTGTAAAACAAAATAAAGATATGACACTCTCCCGTTTTGTTAAGAAGAACGCTTAGGTTTAGATTAGATTAATAGCTCTCGATTCCTAGAACACGACAGAAATCGAGAGCGAATAACCTATTTGTTAAGTAGAAAGATATTTGTTATAAAATTTAAAAATTCATTTTAAAAAACCACAAGGCTGTGACTATGAAATGAGATCCAACACATTTAAAAAGAAAAATTTTAGAAAGGAAAGGTAAAAACGTTTGTTTGACCCATCGCTCATCACCTTCCACGACTAATAATCATGGCTCAGTTGTTCGAAAGCCGATTAGCGCTAACCCAGGGTTAAATTTCAATCTAGGTTTCTATTTTTCTCTGTTCAAAAGCTGTTTGAGGATAATTTTCTCCATTTATTTTCAGAGCATTCAATCAACAAATTGAAGACAAAAATATTTAAGCTGAATTTTTTCTTCAAGCTTTCAGATCTTAAATAAAATTTTATACTAACCCTGGGTTATCTTAACCCAGCTTTGAACAACCCGGCCCATATCTCTAGTTGCTTCAAATATTGTTGAAGCTTGTGCGCAAGAAGCTCGTGTGATGTAATTTTTTTTGTGGGTAAAGCACTGTCAGTACACTACCCATTATCGTCGTCAGCTGTGAGTGAGTAATTGAGTTTAAGAAAGAAGGCCCGTAAAGCATACATGAATTACGACATCATGGTTAACATCAAAACTCTATGGTACACTCCACAAACCGTTCTTGAAGCAATGGATAACCCTTCACCACACGAGCCCAAAGGAACATAACGAACTGAACGCACTGCATTTCCTAGAATTAATTTCATTCTTGAAACAAAAGAAATTGATATCATGAAAAAACTCTTCTCACCATTAGCCGCGGAGGTTGTCTGAATCAGAATCGAATTGGTGGGTCCTCCAGGTTCCAGATCACTTGAACCACCGGGGTACTCTGCCATTTCGTCCTTAAGGCTGTTTTTGAAATGAGTCTCTTCATTGCCTTCGCTAAAGGGCAGCGGCTGGGCTAATGAGTCTGTGTCAAGACTTGTTTTGGAGGGTGTTCCAGTTTCCCAGTCACTCTCGCCAGAGGGCCCGACCGCAGTTCCTTCAACAAGACTTGTTTTAGAAGGAGTGCCAGTCTCCCAGTCACTCCCACCTGCGAACTGAGATGCTGATTCTTCGTCAAGACTTGTTCTGGACATAGATGGCACAACTTCTGTTTGTTCTTGGGGAAGAGTCTTATCCAAGTCACTTGTGGCACTTGGTGGTGCCAATGTATTAACTCTTTCACCTGTCATGGGTGATGTTTCCAGAGAACGTATAGCAGAGGACTTAACTGCTGTTTCAGTTTCAACGCAAGTCTTGGAAAGAGAACTTGACGTACTGTTTGGTCCTCCTACATTCCTCTCAAGACTTGTTTCGGAGGGTTTTCTAACCTCCCAATCACTCCCATCATTGGAAAGAACAGTTTTACCTTCTATGAGACTTGTTTTTGAAGGCGTTCTAGTCTCCCAGTCACTTCCATCAGTCGACGGGACAGTTTTCACTTCTTCAAGACTTGTTTTGGAAGGCGTTCTAGTCTCCCAGTCACTTCCATCATTAGACGGGACAGTTTCCGCTTCTTTAAGACTTGTTTTGGAAGGCGTTGTAGTCTCCCAGTCGCTTCCATCATTAGACGGGACAGTTTCCGAACCTTTAAGACTTGTTCTGGAAGGCGTTGTAGTCTCCCAGTCACTTCCATCATTAGACGGTACAGTTTCCGCTTGTTTAAGACTTGTTTTAGAAGGCGTTCTAGTCTCCCAGTCACTTCCATCATGGGATGGGACAGTTTCCGCTTCTTCAAGACTTGTTTTGGAAGGCGTTCTAGTCTCCCAGTCACTTCCATCACTAGACGGGACAGTTTCCGCTCCTTTAAGACTTGTTCTGGAAGGCGTTGTAGTCTCCCAGTCACTTCCATCATTAGACGGGACAGTTTCCGCTTCTTTAAGACTTGTTTTAGAAGGCGTTCTAGTCTCCCAGTCGCTTCCATCATAGGATGGGACAGTTTCCGCTTCTTCAAGACTTGTTTTGGAAGGCGTTCTAGTCTCCCAGTCACTCCCATCATTGGACGGGACAGTTTCTGCTTCCTCAAGACTTGCCTTGGAAGGCGTTTTACTTGCCCAATCAGTTGGGTCACCGGGAACTTCAGCCGTTTCCTCAGCAAGACTTTTCTCGGAAGAGGAACGATTCTTGACACTGGATTGAAAGTGAGCACGATTGTTGTTTTTACTTAACGAGTCCCTGTTTTCCGTGGGAATTTCCTCTTCACTTTTCAAGGACTGAGAGGTTAGATCATTGACCACTGCAATGTCTTTATTTTTAATACTGCCATCAGGTTCCTTATCAGTAGAGATGGCGTCCTTCCCAATTTCGATTTGATCAGCACCCTGGTGACTGTCAAGAGCATGACTAAGTCCATCATCACTGATATGTGTGGCATCGATAGACAAGTTTTCACAGCCACTGCTGTGAAACTCAGCAGATGCATCTGTTTTGTCTTTATCAGTACCTGACCTTTCAGAAGTTTTCAGGTTGTCTTCAATCTGATAAGAAAGTACAATAATGAGCCTTAGTCTATAATGACACAAACAAAAACTCTAAGTGTTTGGAATCAAACCAGTTTTCTCGGCATTACCAATCCCTACTACCGAACTATAGGGTGCTTGTGGTGAGTTAGACAGTACAACGGAAAACAAGTTCATAAAAACAAGACCTTAGAAATTTATCACAGAAATTTGTTACTAAAAGTTCAATTCCCAACAAAAATTTATTCAAGGCTGGCACCATTCTATACAGTCTTGTTCTTTTGATAGTCCATTTTGCATTTGGGAAAAAAAGTAAACATGTGAAAAAAAAAACTAGACAGACATTTTATGATGACAGTTTGTCACTCGAGAGAGAAGCACTCGACTCTTGATGATCCCGAAGTTAGAGAATGTCCGTATTCTACTCATTTGTGCGAGTAAGTAGTCTGAGTTTCTGTAATGGCATTATTAAAGAGGTAAAGAGCGTTAAGTTACAGATTTTTATTATCCTACGACGTCTAGTTCGCTGCTTGTACATGCATGTCCATACGGTCAAAGAGGCTAAACTACATGAAAGTCTCAAGTAATAAGTGAACCGGACAAAAGAAACAACAATTTGTAAGTCGGTCCAAATAAAAGAAACATTATCCTAGCCAAACATGTTGTCCCTTTTCCAGCGTTTTGAGCACTTTAGGCAGTGCAAGCCACTCATGTTTAAGTACATGTATGTACTTACTTCTTGGTCCCAGTCTTCTTGAGATGCTGGTGAATCATCGCTCAACTCTTCTCTGGTAACTTTCCACCAAGGCAGCTCAGTATCACTCCTTGGCTGTTTCTCTTTTTGATTATCTAAGTATGACTGGTGAGTTTTGATAGCATGTTGCAAAATAGAGTTGAAGTAAGTGATACTTTCATAAGCCTTCACAATGCTCCGTCCCACATCATTAGCAATTTCCAAGCCGTCTGCAGCATCCATGAGATATCTGACAGAGAAACGACTTTCAGGTTTAAACTTTATATCCTTAAATTGAAGGTTGTTTACATATATCCACCTAATGTCGCATCTCCCGATCATCTTTCCACCAAATTTAAATGGCTCATTAAGCATAGGACAGCTCTGTGTCGGGTCAACAGACGTTAACATTTCAGCCAAACCGCAGAAGTTGACGAATTTATGTCCTGCAAACAGGAGGAACACTGAACCCCTGCCGCCTCCATTTCTCACACTATTGAAGGCAATATTTAAGCTTCTGTTGGTTTTCATATTCGAACACCAAACATCAAACTTCATGGCTTCGATGATTCGCCTGGGGTCTGATTTGATCATTACAAAACGAGCATATGTTAGTTCCTCCATGCCAATCATATTCACAGAGCATTTGTTCAAGATGTAGTTGTACATTGCCACATCAACACCGCCAACAGGTAAGTGGTTATCTGGCACTGTGTTGCGATAATGCTCGATTGGAAACACTTTAGTGCCTCCTTCTTCCAGATGCCTTGAGACAGATGCTTTATTGACCACAAGCACAGAAGCAGGCACATCGCTGACCTGATGCTCAAAGGTCTGTAACTTTGTAGCTGCGCCCTCATAGGGAGAAATTTCCTTGACTGAGTGTTCAGGAGTAAGGACGTTTTGGCTTTCAAAACCTGCAACGTTTTCAGCTACATCCTTGAGCCCTAACATCTGATTCTCCTGATGGTCATACACAGGCACATCTTTGGCTTGGAGCTCAGATGCTTGCATTTCATTGGGCAGGTGGTCAGAACTGGGTACATTATCGACCTTACTCTCAGGCGCAAACAACGCTTTGGAAAATGAACCTTGCGCAGGAAGGTGCAGTATACCAGGGATTCTGGCTTGTTTAGATGCAGGCTGAGCAGATAACTTGTCTGACACTTTAACCCTTTCTGGGGATAGAGGGACAAACTCCTCAGCTTCCGGACGAAGTGCTTGCCTGCCTTCCTTTTTGCTATTGGCATCAACCGAAATTTTGTCTTTACAGGTGGTATTCTCATCAGAAACACTGTCCTCACTGACTATCTTTGCCATTTTCCCTACAACGGACACAGCATGTTCATTGTCCATCTCTTGAGCAGCATTGCATGCTGCCCCACTGTCTGCAGTCTGTGCTATATTGGGATTGATTTGAACTACAGGTGCTTCGGCATCTGCCTTTGCTTCTCTTGGCTGAACAGGACGGTTCTGAAGCAAGACAATCAATTACAAACGAGCCATCAAATCTACCGCTGATACACAATTCTTGTAAGAGCTCTGCCTTCATACAAATGAACAATTACCAGGACTACATGGGCATGAAAAGTGGGTCAATGGAAAAAAACCAATTCCACTAATTGCATATAAGTACTTTTTGATTGTCTGTCTAAATTTATTTAATCTCATAGTTAATTTGAAAAAAAAAAAAGGTAAAGCAGCCTTTAATTGGCATGTTTGAGACTGTTTACCACTCTATCATGGTGAACCTCTCAATTCCCAGGGAAAGGAACAAAATTGACAGTCTGCATTACTAACTGGAGGTAATAAAACTGTAATAGTAATATAAAGTAAATAAAACAAAATTGTACATATACTATCTTCTATTTGTTGACATTATGTGGGAAAATTCAATGCACATGCATGTGTTTATACTCTCACCTCTACTGCAAGCTTTTGCTCATCCACTAAAATGATGAATACAACAAAAAAACTACACTTCAAACTCTAGCAAAATAGAATTACTACACTAACATTTGAGGAGTTACCATGCAAGGTTTATTTAGGAACAGTACCTCCTTTATTCTTTCCTAGTTGGATCTTGCTAAAGTTTTTGATACGTTTCCTCAACAATTTATTTCAAGGAGCATAAACTTAAAAAACCTCTTGTATCACAGAACTGATTTTTCAAACTGCTGTTTTACTTATGAGAGTGTCAGGGTGCTCTGAGAGACGAAGTTAAAGACCCTTTTGCATGGTCAGGGAAACTTACATAACCTTTTAATTCATTTTAGAGAAGCAGAAAATCTATCCTAACAAACCTAATTGAGCCACTTTGCTGTTGATACACACAGAATTGTCCCCACAAGTAGACAACAACACATGATAGATCACAGTGCCATTCTTATCAGTGACCTGTTGAATAATAAAAATGAATGAACAAAGATACAACCTGTAAGTAATTGTGCTTGATGTTTCACCAGCAATTACATGTATATTAAATGTAGAGTAAACTGAGGTGAAAGTAGCCACCCAAAGATGGTAGGCTGCCCAGAAGTTCATACTGGCCTCCAGCTTTTAATGGAAGCTTTACACACTACCCTTCTGAAAAATGAATGCTGAGGACAGATATTACTGACATGCCCTTGTCCTTAAGAAGTGCTACACAAGGAGTTATTCACATTCAAAGGCCAAAAGCCATATGATGCTTCCAAAATGTATTTCCTGAAGAGAAAAACAGTGGAGTTTACACTGGCAAAGAGTAGCATGAATAAAACTATGCCTTTTTTCACGCTGCAATCAATTTGACTAAGCTTAATTTAAAAACAAGTGCCAGAAATGAATTGTTTGCGAATCAGTCTTTGTCCTGGTGACAATGGAAAATGGAAAAAAATTTAATGATAAAATGCTTAACAATATTTCCTGCAGTGAAAAGTACTTACCTGGCCTTGAACTGCTGCCATCAATTCTCTGTTGAAGGTCAGATCTTTGAAGCACCACTTTGCCTGCAATAAAAAAATTAAAAAAAGGTTAAATCTGACCACTAGCTGCTGTAGCCTTTAGAGGTAATCTTCCATCTCTCTCTAGATGGAAGGCTTTTCCTTTGGAGGAAACTTCCAAGGAATTCTCCAAGTTTCCTTAGAAGGTTTTTGGTACCCATTTCAACTCCTGGTGGAGCACTCCTAGAGAACACTGCTCAAGAACACAACATGATGACCAACTTGGATGGAAAGATACAGCTGCTGAGAAGTTAATTTATAAAGCAAACCTTATCCCTTCTCCTAATCAAACCTCTGGCTACTAAGCTACAAACAAACCAACAGACAAACTAAAGATCTCCTGTAGTTTTGTGTAAAACTAAATTGAAAATCTGACAGGAATGAAAAAAATACTGGTTAAACAGTACCAGATTAAGATTAAACAAAAGAGTATGTCAGTACATATGATGTCCATCCTATTACAGCTGCTTAAGTTATAGGTAAAGATTCAAAGTACTATATATATTTTCCATATTATTGAGAAGCAACCTAAAAAAAGCAACTTTCTCAGGAAACCCCTCATGATTTCCTTCCTTTTTTCAAAATTTTTTTCCTCCAAAATTAGACTTGCTAAACTCAGGGTGTGGCTTATCTGCCTATGTCACTGATCTCCCTAAGAGGATTAATTGCCAGTGTGGCTTACATGCCCTACTTAAAGTCGATGCCTACATTGTTAACCCTTCAACTCCCAGATCAAATTTGTAATTCTCCTTACTGTCAACCATACATTTCTTGTGACATTAGTTCAGAAAATTTAGTATTGGATCAATCAATTATCCCCAAATTGATCTCTTTCTTTATTCTCATCACTAACTGGTTGATATTGCATGGATAATTTAAGGAGAAATTCTGTCTTGGTCACTAAAGGGAGTTAAAGGATTAACAAAAAATACTCATTACCTCATATGGCAATTGGGTATCCAAATCTGAAAAAAGAGAAGCTTGAAATGCCTAACAAGAAGGAAAACAAACAAACAAAATCATGTAGGTTAGTTTTGTCTTCTGAAGGCTGAGTTGCTCAAAACAGAATTTACATGTACTGGTAAATTGTTACTTCACTTGAGCAATAAAGACTCATCTAAAATGTGTCCACCAATATACCTGTAAAGTGTCAGACCTTACCTGATACAGGATAAATTTATCATCCAATTCACAAGAAAGTTCACAAAGAACTGAAGATGCACATTCCTCAACAAATCCATAATCAAGGAATCGGATCTTGCACTAAAAAAACAATAAACAAAATGTATGTTCAATATATTGCTAAGTAACTTTCAAAGTAAGCTTTAAATTGGAAAATGACTCAAGTCACCATGATTCAACAGATTTTCAATTCAATTGCCACAAGCAGTCCACTCCAAGCATTTAAAGACACCAGAACCATTTGGATTATCTGATCTCCCCATGGGAAATTGTGATTAGTAATCATAAATTGGTCACCAGTAAATCAAAATCCAATTTAGTCACTAATTTTTTTGCTCTACTCTCTGAGGTGACTTAAAACAGCTGCAGCTTGGTGTGTGGACTCAGTGCAACATGGGGGTGAATTTGAGCTGGCCATGCCAGCAAATTAACATAACATCAATAAGATGCAGTGCTGTAATTCAAGTCTATTGGACATCATCATGTAAAGTATATCTACCGAGTAACATTAATCACAATCCAACAGTGACACATTGTGTATTCCTTGAGAAGAAGAAAACTGTGCAAAAATATATAGATATGTATTGCATAATAATATATCATCCTGCAAATTGGCAATTTTTTTGTGTTTTGAAAGAATAAATTGTTGCTGCATGAGATGACCAAAACTTCTGCACAGAACTTATTTGTGTGATTTTTGTTCAAGAGGCAGAGCATTTCCTACTTTGGAAAGGTAGCATGTTCAACTTTTATCATTTATTTTGGTGAACTGATACTAACTGTAGACATGACAAACATGTTAGTAAATTCTAGTAAAGGGTACCATACTTCATATGAGGACTTTCACAACAAAAATAAAATGGAAAAAAGGCCAACTCTCCTGGGGTTTTTCCATTGGACTGTAGATGGTAAATTTGTAAATAATTTTATGATGGCATATATTTTTCTTTTGGAACTTACTTTTGCAGATCAAGTAAAACCATAAAACTGCACCAAACACTAAAACTCACAAACATTTCATGGCACATGGCACCTATCATACAGCCAATCTTAAGCACTCAGTTGTGAGATAAACAAAGGCTAGAGATAAAATCTTGGAAACTACATATGTACAGTGTACAATATGTCCACATTTGAACGATATATAGTGTAATACTCTAACCTTTTCAGGGGAAGATACACTTTCAACCCTGGTACGACAGAACTCCTTGTTTTGCCTGTTCAGAGCTGCACAGAATAAACCTTCTTTTGGTACTACAGGGTTTCCAAACCCATGCTTTTTAAAATAATTACTAGAAGAAAAACAAAAGCTTCTTATCATGAATAATACTAGCAAAGACCAATGCTGCTTAAATACACAAAACAAAATATATTTTATAGAGTATCTACATGTACATGTGACTGGAAAACTAAAACAGTATTCTAGTTTTTCCTCTTATTGCTCCAGTTGACAATTGTGAGTATGAGGACATATATTTCTCAACCATAATGATTTTCTCCAGATATCCCTTGCAGTTTGATTGAGAATCTAGGGCTGAAATTAAAGCCAAGAAAGAGGCTACTTAAGAACCATCTAGTAGAATTAGGAGTTCAGGAAATAACTCTTTACATCTAAACAGTGTTCGAGGTACTGGCAAGGAGAATATGTTTAACAGTCAAGTGCTTCTTCAGTTGTGATCATTTCCTTTGCTCTCATGACCTTGTTGCTTGATTCAGGGTTAATATTGTTAGGAGAAATTAGATGTTAGTCACTCTTGGCAGTCAAAGGGTAAAAGAAGTAGTCATACTTTAAGGCCATTGCAGTCTCCTTCCTCGTTTCCATTGCTGGTTCTCCTGTCTTGGAAATCCAAAAAGATCCATTTCTGGCCAATGATCCAATTATGCTGACTGGGAAAACATCTTTGCCTTCAAAAAATTAATAACATATATAAAATTATTCCACTATCTCTTGATTAAGTCTCTCTCTCAGATAATTTGAAAATAACAATATTAAAACATTGAAGAGTCAACTGTACCTTCCATCTCCTTACTGAGTTGAACTTTAGGTTCCTCAGGCACATCTTGTTTTTCACTGCCAAGTGGTGTCTCCTGCACAGGGACAGGAGTTGGCTGATGGGGGGAATTTGACTCAGAGCTGTCTGGTTGCTCCATAGGCACTGCTGCATCAGTATCAGCACCTGCCACAGCTTGATTAAGTTTGCTGCTACTTCTTTCATCTTGAGTACTACACTGTATTAGCATGCTGGACACCTAAAAAATTAAAAGATACAAATTTGGACAAAAATAAACTTGATAATGCATTCCCAAGTGAATAACACCACAGAGCAAAAAATTAATAAACCTAAGCACTACTGCAAATAGAGGCTTGTTATGGGACCAGACAGTTTATCAAATGTACATATCCTGCATACATAAAGCACTAGACAATTACATCAAAGGTACTGGACAGTTACATAATGGTCAAGTGATCAGGAATAAATTACAAAGTAACACTAATGAAATATAGAGACAATAAAAACTGTCAATGTTGTGGGTGGGAAGGAAACAAAACTTTCTTAAAAGCTAGAAATAAACTTATTACTTGCTTGCTTGAGTGCAAACAACACACACAGATACCTAATTGGTAATGTACTAAAATAATTTTGCAAATAAAATGCATGATGCATAGCCATTGGCTCCATCTAAGTCCTATGACTTGTATGCTAAACAACTTGCTCAATCTTAAGGAAAAGACTTATATGTAACCTGCCTGTACCCAGTCTAGCCTATTCAAATTTATTTAATATCCACAATAAAAGCTATCTACTACTACAAACTGTCAGCTCTCAAATTTATTTGCAAGTTTTTCTTCCCAGTCAAAAATACATTCACCAGATCATTTTTGACTTACTGTAATTACATGCTTAACAAAAAGATCTACCTTTACATGTATATTCAATTGCAAATCTTGCAGAGAGTGCTATCAAAATGGAAGTTGTATTACCTTTGCCAGATACTGAAAGGCTTTTTCAACTGCTCCTGCACAACCTCTTATTTCAGCAACTCTCTTTTTGGTAGCTGATTGCATTTGCACCAACTGGCTTAAGGTTTCCTGCAAGCAAAATTAATTACAGTCCAGAGCCACCTAAATTTTTCACTTATCTAAGGAAGCCATAAACCACAGGTACATATCTTTTCAAAACCTGGGAGGAAGATAAATACTGATAATTTATGCTGATCACAACTTGTTTGTAAAAATGGGGGTTGCTGAGAGTGAGTGAGATCATTGAGGATTTTTTGGGTTTCTGTTTGTAAACAATAATATATAAGACAAACTACCTAGTTGTAAAACAAGTCTTGCGTTACTGGCAGTCACTCTGTTAAGAGACAAATAAAATTATACCTTCTCTTCTTCTTCTGTGTACTTTAACCTTGTAAGCACACTCTGAAGCAATTCATTCTCCACCTCAAGTAACCTGGTTGAAAAATAGCATGTCATGAAACAGAAAAGTTCTCCATCTTTGCAAGACAAAAAAACGCTTTTCTCTAAAAAAAAAAATTGATTCAAACCTAAGAGATGTTCACAAGAATAAAAGTAAACCCTTCTTGAAGTACAATGCTACGTTGATAAATCCAATTACCATGACAACATACATGAAAAATCTTTTCATATCAACATACAAATGGCATGTTTACTTTTCAAAAAAGAAATTCCAGTATTTCATGAATATATAAAAATAATAAAAACAAGATTTTCTATACACTGCTGAGCCTACAGCCTTTGTGGGGACAAAATAACATACGTACTTTTCGATGTCTTGGACATCTTGTGACAATCGTCGTTGTTTCTGCTAAGGAAGAATTATGCCCATCTTTCATTTCTTTGATTGTAATAGTATATGCAAAGCCTATTACCATGCTTTTTTTGTACATGCAGCCTCAAACTTAATTCAGGAAAAGTGATACCTTACCCTAACTCATTCTGTTGTTTTTTAAAACCTGAACTCAGCTCAGAATTACTTCCTCTTTATGTAAGTGAACAACCAGACAAAATGTCCGGCAATCCAAGGAGTTGACCAGACAAAACCTACATTTTATTTCTAGCCCTGCATGGGGATTGGCAAAGTGACCACTTAATACAAGTTGACCTGCAAATTACTTGCATGATGTTCGTATCTAACAATTGTCCTATAGGTCCAAAAAAGACAGATGTTCTGTAATGCATTGAGGACTTTAAACTCAAAGTACTAAAATTGATTCATGGAGATTAAATTGGAATATGTTTCAGCTGAGAGATTACTCTTAATTTTATTCAAGTGGTCCAGCTTTAAGTGTCAGCTCAATACAAGTAGAAGACAATACAAACATGCCATTGAGACTCAGTCAAGGGTAACCACAACCACAACCACTTAACCCTTTACCCCCTAACATCAGTATCCATACTCTCCATACTATTCACTAAACATTTCCTGAGGTGCTGACAAAGAGAATTTGTATAATAATCAAGAGCTGCTTAAGTTGGTGATCATTTCCTCAATTCTCATGACCTTAAAGTTTGATTCAAGGGTGATATTGTAAGGAGAAATTAGATGCTAGACACTATTAGGGGGTAAAGGGTTAATAGAGGTGAAAATGTCAGAACTTAGCAAAATAAAAAAGCTTAATGCCAAGGAACTTGATACAGGTTTGACTGTATTACTGTAATAAAAATTTTAGATGCCTTACCATGACTTCTATCTGTTCATATCTGTGTGCCTTGAAAACATCCAGGCTGTGCACTTGAATATTACATTGAGGACACAGACAGATAATACTCTCTGTAAGATAAAAAACACATAATTCACACACATGTAGCTATCATTAAAATAGTGTCTCCTGATTTCACATTTATCCTGAAACAGAGGTACAAAATATATAGTATATACATCTACTAAATCCATGTTGGCACTAGTTAATCCTGCTTCAATCAACCTTGCAATTGTTTACAACCTAAAGGACCAAGTTTAAATGGATTAAATATATGCTTAGATGGCAAAAGTCATATCCCAGATCACCAACCAGACAGATTCTGGATAATACTTTTCTAAATTTTTTGTGTCAACAGCCATTCAGATTTTAAAAACCTGATGAGATAAGTGTTGACCTGAGCATGTGTCTCTAAAGAATTACAAAATCCAGAGGGTAATTTGGCTGTACAACAAGATCATACATCTACATTTGAAGCTGAAACCTTGTCAGTTAAAAGATGATGCAAAACGTTGAGCGACATGTAACAAAGAGTTAGTCTGTTGACCTTATTTACTCGCATTCAGGTACAGTGTCATGGTAAGTTACCCAGAAGGCTTACATCTTTCATGCATATTGGTTCAAGTCTAAATTCTTTACTAATGTTGAAGCTTAATTTCTAGGCGCGAAGATGTTAAGTAATAAGTCTAACATTTTATTGTCAATTTGTTTTTCTTTGTTTATTTGTTTGTTTTTTTTATCCCTCTTTAACATTGTACTCGTTATTACTACTGTCATTATAATCTTTACCGGGCGCAAATCACGTGCCATGTGTTTTCTACACCATAACATGTTTACACGCTTTGTTTGCATTGATACAGGTACATAGAACTCTAGTGGAAAACAAATCTTTCCAAATGTGCTTACAGAAAGGAATTTTAGGAGATGAACTCACCATATTTGCAATCAAAACACTTGAAATCCGCTCGCTTCTCGGGATGATTGTAGCACACAGGCGCAATAAGCGACAAGCTCGCAGCGGCCATGGCCGCTAACTTCTCTCAAGAAGCTAGTTTATGTGACCTTCTTTAGCGTTTTCTCCAGAAATAAAACTTAACTGCTGACACGAAAATAACTTGCATACGAGAATTCGCGCTAGTCTCACTGACAACCCAATGAGAACCGACTGGTGATTACTTTCTCTTGTTACGCATGCTTCGAAGTCTCGCGCGTTTTTCTGCCCGAAGATGACGATTCTTCGCCTAAATCTTCGGAAAAGTCTTCGCCAACGTTAAAGATTCCCGACGCGACGAATACTCGTTGCTATGGTGGTTCAGTTGCTACCATGTCCGCTGGTCGAGAGGAACGAGTGCTCGTCAGTGTTGATATCGACCAATAATGGTCAATAGTGCACAATCATCGTTTATAAAAAAAGAAAGCTTAATTATGCCGTCGATACCTCGACAAATTCTTCTCAATATTCTCAGCAAGTGAAGACTACACAGCAGCGAGACGATGACAATTTTTTCTGCTTGATTACTGGTTGTCCCTATTGAGTTTCTTTAGTATATTTGCATATTTGTATCTCGCGTGTGGCCACATGGGTGACGCAGAACAAAACAATTGTTTAAACCGAACAATGGCTCACCATAAAAACCTATAATCGAAAATAGAAGAGACCACCTTTTAGGCTTAAAAATTTGCATTCAAATAGGTAGTATTTATGTCATTGTTCCGATAAGCTCGCGCGGTCTTCTGGGTCTATTGTTAATTAAGTCATACGGATAATTGAGTATAATGTATTTATTAGTCAATTGTCGATCCAGTTGAATCTGAGTGCTTTAGTAGATTATGCCTTTGTAAGATCACGCTTTAAACGGCGGTGAATCTCGACAGCGCACTAAAATGAGAGGAACTAGGAAATCTACGCTTATGACTCCGGATCCATACCACATACCGGGGTAGGTAATATCTGGCAGGATTTTATAATCTGTCGCGCGCTGTGCAAATCGCTTACTCCTCGCAAATACTTTTAAATAGAATACGAACTTCATTTTTGCCAGCGAGAATTTATGTCTTTATGATTGCTTTGCTTACGCAGTTATTGCGGTTATTGCCCACAATTCAAGTACCAAATTGGCGAAACTTTCGGAAGAACAACCTCTCAGCTTTTGACAACATCTAGTGTGGCTAGCTCCGGCAGGCCTGTACTGTCCGACATAACTCCACATCCCCGACCGCCGAAGGACAACAGGAGATCTTTGATAGCGGCGCGTTGCAAAAATCTCGGCGATCAGAAATTGTGCGATGAAATGGTGCCAAACTACACAGGTAGGAAGTAGAAGCGATTTTTTTTCTTCCTTTAAGCTCTAACACATATCCTAAAGCTATGTTTTGAAGCGATTATCTAATCGTATATTATAATCCTTGGTACACAAACGAGTGTCAAAGAAGTTTATTGCGGTTTGCTTTGCTAAAGAAATGAAAACAAATCGCTGCTTGTGGAGGGATTCGTGAAAAGATGTTGAAATATAGTGATGTTTCACGACAAAATCTAGAACAACTTTTATCCCTTCCGCTATAAACGATAGAAAATAAATTGAAAGAATTTAAAGGTGACAGGCACGAACACAAGAGTAGCGAGGGCTTTATTCTCGTTTAGAGAAGGAGCAGAAACACCAGAAAGGCCGACAATGTTCAATTAAAAAACTTGAACCGTGTCTGAGCCTAGAAAAAGTGGTTTGAAATCATTTAATTCGTTTTCGAGAGATATGGAAGAATCAGGCGTCCCAGTGTTTTCCTGTCTTGTGACTCTTGTGGTGAATAGTTTACAGCTGTAACCAAGGGAGCAGACGAGTCTCGATTTCATGAGCTTTAAAATTTATGTAATGTATGCGTTGCCCACCAGATAACTGAATATTGCGTTACCTTTGTTTGTCATATTATGATATGCCGCTGGAACATACACCAGTTTAGGCATAACAGAATCAAAATCGGATAAAATTGCTTTTTTGGTAATCAACGTACTCGTGAAAGGAACAATATATATAAAAGAAACCGAGCGATCGAAAAAGCTACCTTTCATCCAATTTGTGAAGGCACAATCTATTTCCAAAATCTAATCCAATTCATTAAAACTACAAACAGACAAATATACCAACACAGACGGTTTACATAAATGCAATCGAAGTTTAGTCCTTTGGAGGATATCGAAATAGAAGTCAAGATTGAAACATCTCCACTTAAAAGGAAAATCTAATACTCGGTGAGGCTTGTTAAACAAGAAAAAAAAACTATATTTAATCTGAAAAATTGTAAGGGTTTCCTTATATTGGTGATGAAAAAAGGAATGGAAATATTATACTACTTTCAGCCATTCGATACAATATATTCTTTGATTTTGCTGTTTTGCTTGGTTTTCCTGGCTTTTCTCTTGGTAGCCTGGTTTCTCCTGGTTTTTCTTTCACAACCACAATGAGAAGAAGGTCGAAGAGATGGTACCTAGATGAGACCGCCAAAAGGAATATGAAATGATCAACCTGGCTATTATAATTTTTTTGTATCGAATGGCTTAAAGTAGTATAATATTTCCATTTCTTTTTCCATCACCAATCTAAGGAAACCCTTGCAGTATTTCAGGTTAAATATAGTTCTATTTTTATTGTTTAACAGGCTTAAACAATTTCTTAAAGCGCTCAAGAGGATTTTTTTAGCTGTTAAAAAGTTACTTCAGCAAAAAAAATTCAGGTGTATCTGTGATGATATTTGCCCACTAAAAAGGGCAGATATTTCGGCTTAAGTATTGCTCTTAGTCAAACAAATAACTGAATTTGGCCGAAGGTTTTAACCTTCCCGTGTGTATCAGAACTTAGTAAAATAGGCTTGTCAGGGACCGCGCAGCAAGTTTTCGAGTGGGGGGGCTAAAGAAAAATGCGTGAAAGAAAATTTTTTTGTTAGATTATTTTTTGTTTAATTTATTTTTATTCTTGCAAAAAGTGGGGGGGGGCTAAAGCCCCCCCAGCCCCTCCCTCTGCGCGGTCCCTGCTTGTAATGAAGTATGTCGGTGCCTTAAGAACTTTCAGTTTCCTCAATCCTCTCTTTTATCGAGAAGGAGTTAAGGACTCCAGCCAGAGACACGAGACTGCCTCGGTAAATGATTCGAGCATATTTAACAACAATTCACTGAAGTGAAGGTGGCTAGTGGTGGACAGTTACCAAGCTGCAAAGCGGCGAGGTAAATACTCATTGCCAGACAACGACTCTGAGGTGAATAGTTGTTTTAGTATATACTAGAATAGTGAGATAACATAGCAAAAAAAAGTTGATTTTAATTTATTTAGTCCTGCGACAATTAAATTATTTTCGAGCGTAAATCCCGTGTGTGCTGCTCGAAGGTGTATAGCAAAGAATATTCGGAGCTTAAATCGCCAATCAGAGCGCGCCTTCCGCAGTATTTACTCCTAATTATGTACTAAATGAGTAAATAAAGCGGTGCCGCAAATTTCTAGCAAACGCACGCGGATGACGTGACTTGATATGCCACCGACAGTTTTTTCATATGAGAAAAGTAAGTTGCAGATGGAGGTACGTTTGGGCCCCGTACCCACCCCACAAGGGACACAGGGAAATGTTTTCGTCGTCCCCTCACCACAATCCCCCGATGCGCGAAACAAAAACCCCACCCATTTGGACATGCTCAAAGCCATCACAGCATTTACCTCTCCCCCTTTTTTTTGATCATCAGGTTATATACCAAAAGGAGAGCATTACTTTGGAAAACCTTACGCAGACACGTGTTTAAGCGCCATTGCAAGTTTCCAGGAAGACCAAGTGAAAAATAATCGTAAGATCCGCGACCTAAGAACAATCGCAGAGTTGCAAAAAGGCAAAGACGTTCCCAAAGAAATGCTATCCAGTGATACCTTGATTACAGCCAAGTACAAGACTCCGCTCAAGTCAATAACTATTCGACCTAAGGCGTATTATTCCCCATTCGCTTTACAACATTCACTTTCCCCATTCATAATGAGTAACGACGACCCGAAGAAGTTCCTCATGTCGGGATACACGGGATTCGTCCCGCGAGCTAGGGGCGAAATGGGAATGGGCTATCCCCTGTTGACGAATAAAGCGCTGTGTGATTTCACGGTTGAAAGTGACAGGCTGAAGCGTGTCAAGGAGCTACCGATAACGGTCGATCGACCCGAGATCAAAATCGTCGACACCAAGCCGATTTACATCCGAGGTTCGGGACAGGTCCCTCATTACACTGGACATGTGCCAGGTACAGTATCCATTCTCTACCAGTTTCCCTGGAAATAGGATTTCCTAAGGCGTTTGTAACGCCCGACAACTTTAAGTCGTACAGAACAACACTCTATTATATCCTGTTGCTTAACGAACAAGTATGTTGATATCTAAAACCCATTACTAGAAGCAAAATTACATTGGAATCGCTAAAGCTCGTTAGATCTGCACATCAAAGAAGATCGCGCATATGAAAATGAAGCAGCAAAACAAAAAGCAAATTAGCGCCGGCCGAAACTTCATAAATGTCCAAAAGTTTGAAAAAACTCTGAAAAAACTTTGAACTCTTTCCTAACAAAGCTCTCTTCATCAGTGAGAGATCTGGGTGCGAGATTATTGACAGATTTCCCCTATTCTCGTAGCTCGCTGGAAGAGTTTACTGAACGTGTCACTTTTATTTGGTTTTCAGGTGAGAAGTTCCGTTATGGGATGACATTTGGGTACAGCACCCAGAACGCAGCGCCAATGAAAGCCCTGACCGCCTAAAGACTTAACTTTCTGTGTTTATGCAATATGTGTATGAAATAATTTTGGTTAAAACTGAAGAAGTAATGAAGATAGTACCAAATATCTCATCGACAGCCGCGCAAGTTTAATTCAAAACATTTATTTTGTATTCACGCAAAGATCACTATCATTTGGATAATCTGTTAATGTCAATAAAAATTTTAATAAGGAAAGGCTGGCTGTAAGATTCTGGGATATTGGTCTTGAAAGAAATTGTTTCCCTTCTTCCGATGCTGGAAGAGGAAGAGAAAAGTCCTTTTGGCCTCGAGCGCCGTCGAGTGCCCAAAGAACTTCGTGTCACGTATGTACAGGCCAGTTTCCTTATAAAGTATCAAATAAAACACTCTGATTACAGGAAGCCAACTCCCTTTCGACAGATGGAATTAGACTCAAACTCATGCTAAAGTGAATCTGATTTATATTACCAATTTAAAGAAAACCTAAAATGAATGAGAACCAAATGTTCAAATAGAGCGGAGGTTTATCAACGTCTAGTTCCATTTTGGCATTGGACACCAATCAAGGGTAACTCATTATATGATCTAAACACCTTGAGAGTCGGCATTTGAGAGACTCTCAATGAGAGTGCCATAGTCTCAAATTAGTCCTGATCTCGAGCTCTATAAATTTTCATTTACGTGTCAAAAATAATACTAGATTTCGTTGGTTTCCAGTACTTCACTTCACTACCTGAGAAACGTCTCTCTCCCACCCCATCAAATTCTTTACTGAGATCAACCGCGACTTGGCTACCAGCGCACTTCTGGCACTTGAATTGTTTTCACTTGAAGTTCCCAATTTGTTCTGATTCGCTGACAGAAAAACTGTCTTGGTTTAACGGACCACAATAGAAAAGCACTATTTGCACCATTAATGTAAACCATGGTAGTTTTTGGCCTCGTGTACCTACAGTTTTTCCAACGTTCCATGTTGCGCGCGATAGTGTATCATGAAACAGGCATTCGAGTTCCCTGTTCGGATGAAATTGAAAAATATCGCAGAAGAAATAGAAAATTTAATGTGATGTTAGTAAGAATTCGCAGAAACAACTTTCTTACCCGCATTCATAGAATAGACAACACTTACAGCTTGAAAATGATCTTTATTTCACTAACAAGTAAATTTATTACAGCCAGAAGCAAGGAACGTTAAAGAGATGTTTGTTTTTTATAGTTAAATTAAAATGTCTTATTAAAAAAATTTGTGAAGAAGACCTTTCGTGTGAGCATGGAGACATGGCTTGGAATCTGCTTGCAGCCTTTACCTGTCGCATATTTAATCATTTCTTGATTCACCTTAGTCAGCATTGTCATCAAGTCGTCCTTGTGTGAATTTTCTCGTAGAACTCTCATTAATGTGAAGATGAACCAGGAGCCGAGCGTTTCACTGGGTGGTGCACCTGCTGTGGCCATGGTGAACCTCCTGTATGACTTGTAACCCGTGGTGGTAGAGTAACTAATCAAAAAATCTGCATCAGAAGGAAGCGTCAGAGACGTTCTCTCAGAAGAAAAGCTATCAGCAACAACATCGTCTTCTTGCCAACTGGATCGATGCAAATACCCTCTATCGTCGACTATTCCTCTGCATGCTTGAAGGAAGAATAGTTTAGGTTTTCCCGCTAGCTGTGGACACGATTCATCGCTACCACGGAATTTAGAGGTTATTTCGTCAACTGGAATGGTTTCACCGTTCGTGCACTTGATTCCTTTGTCATCGCCGTGACTCATGATAATGCATATGAGGCCGTCATGTTTACCTGTGCAATGAAATTATTCGATTAGAATTGAATTTGTAACAGCTCTTCTTATTATTTACATACCAGACCTTATAAAACAGGAGCCCGAATTAAAAGATAACTTTGTCATTTGCTCTCGTCCTTTGAGGGCGGAGAGAGCATGTGCTGTAGGGCTTCGACGGCGATAAGTGACTGAACCTCGTACAATGATCTCCTTTCCATTTTAAGGAGAGCATGTTGCGTGACAAGACCAAACAAAGGCAATGGAGTAGACGCTCATCGGATCAGCTTCCATCGCTGAGAGCAAAACAGGTAGAAATTCGGTGTAAAGCCACTTACCTGATTCAATACTTTTTCGAGTTTCGTCAAAAGCTGCCATCATCTCTTTTTTTTCCAGATCGCAACGCTTCTCCACAGACTCGAAACCAGCTTCTCGTAAAAATGTTTCCACGTTTTCAAGATCGTGTTCGGCTCCATTCCTTGGTATTGGGTCGTCTTTAAAGTTCACGTTGTTTATCACTAACACATACGGATTCTGCACCCCTTCGTAGACTTGATCCTTTGGCAGGTCTTTTACACGATTGACGTTTCGACTCGTATCTGCCATTTGAAGAGTGGGTGTCAACTGAATCGAATCATCGGCATCATACGCCTTGCCTGTAAACACGAAAACGAACGCGTTAATATTTGTTTAATTTTCTGTGAATAATGCAAAGTTTACTCAGTTTGATTTCACAAAGCCTTTTCAAAAGGACTTGAAAATGGAAGGCCAGTAACAGTTGAGGGTGAGAACAACGCTGCTCAAAGTTAGGGCGAGAACATCCTGACAAAGAGCAGTCTTTTTGTGCGTTTTCTCACATTGAGACTGAACACATCAATTAATGTTTACTTCGGTCAGTTGGTTCAACATCACGGATTGAGATGTCAGTACGTATTTTGCACGATTAGTTGAAAGAGGCATTGGATCTTATGACTAAAAAAAATTAAGGACCGCTTCATAATGCATCTTGATTGGAATCCAGTCTGAAACTTACCGAGACGGGCGATTTCCTCCCGGAGATCTTCGCTCACACCGTTACCTAAATAGTTAAACAAAACGTTGCCCATTGTTCTGTAGTTTGATTCACCTACAAATTCTGACTATCCAGCGTGAACTCTTGTCCTTAAAAAGCCAAGCCTTCTTACGCAAATCCAAAGATGAAAGGTTTGCAGACCGGAAATCCAAAGCGCATTCTTCCTTTTTGGGTTAGCTACTATTGATAAAAATTGTGTTATTGAATAATTTACGTCAGTGTTGCCGAAGCATCTGAATATAACTACGTATTATAGTTTAAAACCATCGTAAGTTTCATTTGAAATCCTTTTTCTTCACAACATTGAATGGTTTTTTTTTATTAAAATGCTTTGTTACCCTGAATAATGATAATCTCGGGCGTTCTTGACGGTCATTTGGCGAGTCCATTTGTTTAATTCTCCCACACATTATTGTGTGTTATTCCTAACAAATACACGTGGCTCACATGGCTAGAAAGAATTTCGGTTTCAACTTAAACGAGTACCACGTCAGTGCAATGTCTTTGTAATCCTTTCATTTGGTTCGAAATTCCTTTAAATATCTCTGGAATATTCACCCACGGTTTTAAAACAACTAGATCAACTGTTGAAGGCGGTAGTCGCCTACGAGAAAACGATCAAATAAAACACCATTCGAGTCCCAAAAAAAAAAAATGGATAATTATTAACAAAGATGCAAAATTAGAATACTGTTCATTTTGTATCAGGAAGTACGAAGGTCACTGTCACGCAACGACAAAAAATTTGTTCAAAGCCATTTCTGGTAGTACCAAAACTGTAACAACACTGATACGTAATATTTGAGTCCAAGAATACACTTTAAGGCGCTGCTAAATCTTTCATCTATGAATAACTATTTTAAAATAGCTTCTGTAACTCGTTGCTCGACGAGAATAGAATGCTATTTATAAAAATCCGAATCAAAGAGTCAAAAAGTATTTTAGGTCCTTGATTTGTATGGATTTTTACGTATATTTATTTACTGCAAATTGTAAAACATTTATCCATTGAAGCACGTACATGGTACAGGTGTAAACAGTTCCAAAAATGTGTTAGAAACACACAGGATGTTTCTCAAGACGGGTTGGCTTCAAAACGCATAACACCAAGGTATTTTTCGAAAACAAAAACTAAGCCCTGATCTTTAAATTTTCGAGACCAAGAGAGCGAGACCAGCAAACCGCTGTGATACTCGAAGAAAATGCGAGACCCCTTACTTTCGGGACCACTTTCTTTACCTATCTTAACACGTATCTCACCTTTGCAGTCGGTCGTTTTTCCCTACTCCTTACGTGATTGGTGTGTCGCCTGTATTCTCATTAGCATTACGAAAGAGGTAATCGTACGGGGCCGAGTAAAATTAAGGATTAATATCACGAGTGTTTTCAGAAGTTGCATAAATTGTATTGCCCTCGTCAATGTTCTCAATTTCAAGTAATTGTGTCCTGGGAAATTACCAAAATTAATGAAGCTGTCTCAGCCGATCAGCGTCTAAAATTTCCCCTGTATGTTATGTAATGGTAATAGCAATGAGTAATACTCAGTAATATTCGTGATAAACAAATCTGACGACCGGACAGCATTCCAATTTAGTCCCCAATTTAGGAGTCTGTACTAAATCATAACGCATTCTTTCGAAGTCGTGAAAATTGCTTATTGGATATTCGCGATTTGATTCATGATATACAAAGTGAAATTTGATTCCATTTCAGACTCTTTGGTGTCCTCGCAAAGAGTCATCATCATCTCTTTCAAATTAGCACGTTCATGTCATCGCTGTCGACTGAGTTTTGAAATTTTTTACCTGCATATTTCATCCATCTGAATCTCAAGAACGTGCTGCAGTGTACATGGTTCATTTTCAAAGGAAAAGCTCTTTTTCCTTGTTTGCATTCAAATGAATCAAAACGGGCAATTTTCAATTACAATCAGTTTGAAATCCCTCGCCTACTGTTGATTAATTAGCACCAAAACAGTGTGCTTCTTTAAAGCGAGCTAATCAGGTGAAGAACCGAACCCAGTCCCTTCTCCGTCACACACGCATTCCCTCTCTCGAAACCTGTGGCCTTGCGCTTTTACGTTTGTTTAGGTTGGCGGCCACTGCAATGATGTCTTTTGAACTTATTCCCTCAGGGGGGGAACCTCATTCTGAATATTGTAAATGATGACGAGGGAGAAGGTGCTACAGCCTCTACTATGGCATTCGCTTAAGGTTAGACGTTTCAGTCTTCTCGGATAAGGACGATAAACCGCAGGCCCCCTCTCCTGCATCTTCACTGCACTAGTTGAGAGGGGACGTTAAAGAATCCACGCTCTGTTTGAAAAGAGTAGGGAACGTAGGTCTGGCTAAGTTTCCAAAAGTTCTAAAAATTAGGGGCACCTGCAAAATTTCCTTTCAAAAATTGTAAACTGCTTAATGCAGTCTGGCCATAGTCCCCCGCAGGGTGTTGTAAAGCGTATTAGAGGGTAGTTATATGAAGGTTGCGCTGCATGAATGCATCACCATCATAATCATTAAACTAACATTATTCATTTTCACTCTTTATTTCAGCCCCATTGAGGTAAAAGAAAAAATACTGTGCGAGAGCTTTGGTATTTTTTTACGCAAATGCAACAACCTGGCGAGAATTTTTCCCCGGTAAAGATAACCAATAAAATGCGTTAAGTGATTCCGAAAGTTATCCCACAAACCGCTGTTCACAAATGATGAGTGATTCATGTTACATTTTTTGGTAATTTTTTCAGTTTAGAGAATTAGACATCCCTTTTGTCTCTTTCCCATATTCTGAGATGTTTCTTTCATCATCAAGCGGCGTCAAGCGACGAACAAGCTAAAAGCGGATTTATGAATTGAGTGCAATGTGCTCCACTGCAAATCATCTCGCGTCACTTCTCGAGGGCGCAATCAATTGACACTTCGTAACAGCGGTGGCACGAATTCCTTCGTTATATACTTCACTCGTCTGACAGAAGTGCAAACGGGTTTGAGGACATGACTTCGCTTTCCTCCCCCTCCTGTTCGTCATCGCCATCACTACTCGGTCTCTCATCTCTCTTGCTCCAGCCCGGAGGGGTAAGCAGATGCAATGACAGCTCGTCCACCTCGTTTTCCTGAAGTCGCAGTCGTTTGCTTTCTGAGTGTCTGTCTTGTAGAAGGGCAATCTCTTCCGTTTCAGGATGTTGCTGCCATTCATCTGTTGAGCCATGGCAAGATTCAAGATTCAGGCGTAACACCAAAAGCGATGATGACAACATAAGCTATTCTGAACATGGAAGAGATCTTGGGCAGTAGTGAAAATAAGGCCTGAAAAAAATTCAGGCCTGCACGGGATTTGAACACGTGACCTCTGCGATACCGGTGCAGTGCTCTACCAACCAAGTTAACAAGTCAATTGGAAGCTGGTCACTATGTTAGCTCGTAATAAACCCGTGAAGTGATGAATAATTGACTGTGTTAAAATGAAAATCACATATGTGAACTGCGGGTTAAGAAATGAATATGACAGCATTCTTCACAGTAATGAACACTACTTGAGCAGTGGGATCAATATCAGTATCTAGGCAACTGCTCAACTACCCCTCCCCTGCCTCAACAACAGTCAATTGACAACAAGTTAAGGTTAATGTTGGGTTAGGGGAGGGGTAGGTGGGCAGTTGCCCAGATACTGATATTGATCCGAGCAGTGCAGTAGACTATTTTCTGATTGGCTCCTTGTGACGTCTTTGTTATTAGCTTTACCTCACTCAGGCGAAATTCGTCCGTCGTTTCCTTCCCACATTTGTCACAAGAGTCGTTTAATTGTGCGCCAACGCCAGGTTTACAAGCTCTTTTTTTTGCTTTTTTCATCTCACAAAAAAGTTATATAGAGCCACCCACCTTCACTGGTAAACTGTAATTGGCAATTGCTTATCAATTCCATGTCATTGACACGAAAATCATTGGGGAAAAGATTCCGATTGACTTACCTCTTTTGTTTATGAAGCCTGGTGGATATACACACATAACAATCTTGCCATCCACAGCCAGTCTCAAAAGACTGTTGGCTAAGATGTAAAGTACAGAAAATAAACCAAACATTAAAAAAGTACATATATATATATATATATATATATAGAAAGTCTGCAGGTCGATTTTCGCGTGGAAGAGTGCTCAATACGTTGAAGTAGAGCAGAATAAATATTATGAGAGGAAAAAACGACGCAACTACATATCCCGACAAGCCTGTTTCGTGAATCGCTTCACTCTTCAGGGGTTTAATTAAACCCCTGAAGAGTGAAGCGATTCACGAAACAGGCTTGTCGGGATATGTAGTTGCGTCGTTTTTTCCTCTCGTAATATTTATTTATATATATAGATATATATATATATATATATATATAGAGAGAGAGTATCGTTTCAGGATCATGTCAATTGCAGAATTTTCAAGCTAAAAGTTAAAAATTCTCTACCCTGATGCTCTTCACAAATTTTAATCGAGCGTTTAGTTGAATGGTTGACGGAGAAGCGCGCGAGAAGATGCTGCATTCTCTTACCGGCGTCTCAAAACCGTCTGTGCATCAGTTCTATGACATAGCAACTGCACCTTGCCACTGACACGCTTCATAAATTCTTAGCAAGCTCTGTTTGTCTGATCTCCTTTCTAAGATAAGGCGTCTGCATCTAGGTACAGGTAGTTCAACCCAAATCTTTCCTAGATGATGTTAGCAACGCCAAATACCTGCTCGATATACATCGGGGCGGCCTGCTTTTGCTGTTAGAAAACTTCTCTTATGAGCCCAGGCTGAAAGAATCATCAAAACAAGAGCACGGTTAGAGACTTAGACTGCAATCACGTTCAGAAAAGTTATTTAACAGCGAAATGTTGTAAGAAGCAGTTTAGATCTGGAGAGTATTCATCTCACCGTCACAAACATCCCATGCTGACCAAGGATGGTTTTCCTCTCCCACCCCTCCCTCTCCACCAGAATCAGCTCTATTTTCGGGGTGGACCAGCTGTAGTAGATCAACCAGGGGTACTCTGGCAGCTAAATACCCCACAGAGGTGTATGGTTCCTGAACTTGTGAAATAGGATACATTCCTGATAAGATCTAAGGGCAGGAAAACACGGCAACAACGTTGAGTACATCTGCTGAGGATGTCTTGACATCTGTGGCTGAATTGTGACAGCTGGGTACCAGTGAAACAAAGAGGTAAGAGGGCAAAGTTTAGGTACAGGTAGGTAATCATACGAATGGATCAGATATATCTTTCGGATAGGGTGTCTTTATCCGCTCTTTTAATCTCGATAAGAGAACAAAAAAAAATTGCCGCACAGGAACTAGGGAGAGTTTTTTCGTTTATATTACTGAAGGGTTGCATCATTACCTTTCAGAATAAGTACTCCTTCTGTTGACGATACGAGCGTGAAGTACGATCGACTCGAAATCCCCATGAAACGAAATCAGAAACCCAGTAACAACTTGTCTACGTATTCATGAGTTTTAAATTCGGCTGACATATAAAAGTGTACAGAATTGTGTCCACACCCTTTTAAACCACACCAGCAGACGTAATATTCGCGACTTAATTAAAGAAAATTCGCTCTGAGCTACCACTTAGGGTGTTTTTAGTCCCACTTTGGGAAAGAAACGCACAACCAAAGTTATCGCAACATAGAAAAAACCAAAGCTTACCTGAAGCTGTTTACCAACGACAGAAGGAAACACCAATCCGGGGCAGTCACAGAGTCTCACGTTGGGCGTAAGAAATATAGTCTGAAAATGTTTGGTGTGGCCAGGCGTACGAGAGGTGCTCACAACCTGTTTGGAGCAAATATGCGAAAAAGAGTATTCGAAACGTGTACGGAAGAGGTGGGTTCTAAGAGCCAAGACTCTAACAGAGGTCAGTTTAAATAGCGTAAGGCGAAACAAAAGGTGCTCTTAACCTGTTGGGAAGAAATATATGAAAAAGAACATCCAAAACGTGTATGGAAGAGGTGGGTTCTACTATTTTAAGAGCCAAGACTCTTACAGGGGTCAGTTTCAATAGCGTAAGGCGAAACCCAAAAACGAGAGCCCGCTGGCTAAAAAGACGGCGGTGAGTGGTCGTACAGTCGGCTGCAGACCAACGGTAACCGGCTTTTATTGAAATCAGGTAATCTGGTTTCATCGACTGTATTGATTATGTAAATTGGCCACCCTATAGAGTTTCTAAAGCTGACGTTTCGAGCGTTACTACTTCGTCAAAGCCAATGGCGAAATCCCTACCCTTATGATATATTCGCACACCCGCTAAAAAGGGCTCAAAAGTAAACTTCAAAGTAAGGAAAGTACAACTTGTAGAACCCTGCTACAAACCTTGTGTCCGATGAGACCATTAAGAAGGGAGGACTTTCCAACATTTGGGTGACCTAAAATAAGAGCCGAGCAGACTTTAATGAACGCGTTGTCAGAGCAATTTAACTCGTACAAGATGGCTTTGTATTTGTTTTAAGCAACTTTAATTGGGCAACGCACGCGTCGGGCGCGCTGCAAATACAATGTACTAGCAGCCCCTTAGTATCAACTTTTCTTCTAGAACACGGCTCCACTTACCTACGAGACCCAACGTTAGTATATCTTCGTTATGCTCGACATCTTCAAAACTACTACCTTCCTCTTCTGTCGAAACGAAAAATGGAATATATCTACTTAGAATAAAAAGTGTTACTGATTTCTCGCAAGTATAGCGGTAGCAAGGGTACACGCAAGCGCTTAAATTTTACGCCTCCCGAAACGGGACGTTCTCTCGAGTATTCCTTTGTTGAACGCGAATGGCGCCCGAATGTATTCTCTGTTCCTTAGCAAACTTTTAGAGACATGTAGGATGGCTCGCAGTCTTGATGAACCGGTGGATGTCCTATTTCTTGCAAATTGAGGGGGCTGGGCCCAGGTCCTTGCCGGGGATCGAAGCATTGTCTGGTGCCTTTCTCCGCCCAAGCCCATGTTTTCTAAAGGGTGGATAACACATACCCACTGGATAAATCGCCATGTGATGGATAGCGCAGTTCGTTTTAATAACACATATCCGCTATATAGCGATGCGAATTACTAGTTGGATAGCGTCATCTGTCCTTTGAAAAACTGGGCCAGCTCAAGTATAGCTGGAGATTAGCGAGCTGTTACGCCCAATGGGAACCTGAAAAAGAAAGGGGTGAACCGCGCAGACTACAAGCATGTAACGGTAAAATGAAATACTCTCTGCCAGTCGCCAAACGCTGAGGAAATTAGGATAAGCTCACCCGGTATGTAATCGATTGTTTATGATCATTCAACAGTACTTAGTTGAATACACACCATTGTGAATTGATTGACTTTTGCATTTCACTGAGTAGTATTGAGGCATAGCATTGTACCTTCAGACTCCTCAGAGCTACCGTAGTCATCATAAATGATGCCCTCTTCTTCTCCTTTTTCTTGCTGACTGAGTTTTCTGGCCCAGTTGCTAAAGTCAACTAAAATAAAGGTGATAGATTAAAAATATTTAACAAAAAGACAATGGAAATTGTTTTCATTTTCCACTTGCTTATTACGAAATATCGTTCGAACGACCTCGGCAGTTTGACTCTAGTTTTATTTAGATTATGTCAATCTGCTTTCCTTCAAAATATGCAGATTTTGACTCAGAATTCCAGCTCAACAATTAAACAGCATCAAATAGTGTTAACACACTATACTCTAACATCAGTATGCATATTCTCCATACTGTTCAGAGCTGATAAGGATAATTTGAGTTTCTATTTTTGGCGATCATTTCCTTTACCCTTGTGACCTCACTGTAACGATTCAGGGATGATATTGTCGGGAAAAATTAGATGCTACTCACTCTTAGGAGTCTAAGAGTTAACAAAATTGTGGGAAAACTAAGTTAACTTAATCATCATACCTTTGTCTCCACGTAAGTTCTCACAAGCTTCAAGAAGAGCCCTTGGTCCAACAGGAAAGAAACATCTCTTGCGGCGACGGCGCTTTGATAAAACTGGCGTTGAAAACAATTCAGCATATCATCAAAAATCAATACAAGTTAAAATCACGGTGAAATGTTCTTCAGGAGTTCATCTTTGATGATTTTAATTCTATAATTTAACGCTCTCACAAAGTTAATAATTGTACCTTTACTTGGGTCTTTATTACGTTCATTTTCATCTTTAGGGAAGGATGTAAAGCATACAACCCTGAGCTTTTCAAACTTGGATGTGAAGTAATACTTCCAGGCTGTTACTACTTCTGGAGGAACAAGATCTATCTGCAGCAACAAGACAAAACAGTACATCACACACAAAAAAACAAAAAACAAAAAACAAAATATAAAAACCAATCAAACAAAACAAAACAAAAAGAGATGTACAAAATAATTTGCAAAACTAATAATCAAAATGAACATACAGCTTTGAGTTACCATGCAGTTTTAAGTAGCTACAATTATTTTACATAGAAATAGAAGAGATGGTAAGTTTTGAGCTCAGTGAAGAATTAAGAAAGATCTTATTTCATTCTTCAACAAGCTCAAAACTTACCATCTCTACTATTTCTATCAAAAACATTACGCTATCAACATTGCGAATTCTAGCAGTATGCAGGACGCGTGTTATAAAAACTTCATAATAGACCTTGCTCACCAAAGAGTCTTTGTGGCTCAGTGGTAGAGCATCAGAGCACAAATCCGAAGTTCTGAGGTTCGATTCCTCACGGGGACTCAGAATTTTTCTGTATCCCACGCTCGTGACAAGACGAAAAAACATATTTCTTAATTATTTTACAATACATTATGAGAAAATCTGATGAGAAAGTTAAGCCTTTGCCCCCTATTTCACGAGCATCTACTTTCTTCTTACAGTTTCTCCCTGGAATCACATGTTAAGGTTATGAGAATAGAGGAAATGATCATTAAGTAAGGAGGCCTGTTGATTGTCAAACAAATTCTCCTTATCAGTACTTTAGAAAATGTACAGAGAACAGTATGGAGAATATACATACTGATGGTATGGGGTGCAGAGGGTTAATTACTTATTTTTCTTGGCCATGCAGGTTATTAGGCTTTTGCGTTCATCCTGGGTTGACAAGCATGGAGCAAATCAGAATAATGCTACCTTTCTTCTGAATTGAGGAAAGTCTAGCCAGCATTTTACAAGCTCTAACGAAAAGGCTAATTGAAAGTCCAGGAACACAAATTCAGTGGACTTAATTCTATAGAATCTCTGATGAAGCCTGGTTGTTGCATAATATTTAAAAAAAGAATAGTGATAATGTATAACATGGTACATACCTTATTTAAAACCAACACTAAATCTTTCTTTAAGTCTTGCACAACATGATTGTAGACAGTTGGAGGGAAATGAAGTACCTTGAAGTATATCATTATAGAGATGTAAAATGATCATGGATATCGTTTTGGGATTGGGGATTACTAGTAACATATCAGATCAGTTATGGAAATTAATAAGGCCCAAAAATTCTTGGGGAGGAGGGGACATTTACCCTGTTGTTTTCATTGGTTTGACCTGGTTCACCTATGGTCATTGTGTTAGCCTGATGGGTAGTATGCTGGACACAGTGGGTCGGGAAGTCCAAATTTGAGATCTGGCCAGGTCACTGTGTTGTGTTCCCGGGCAAAACACTTCTTTTATGGTACATCTCTCCACCCAAGAGTATAAATGGGTACCTTAAATTGTCAGGAAAGTCTGATGAAATGCTGCAATGAACTGGCATCATAATCAGGGAGGATTAGTGATACTTCTGGTCAAATCATGCTTGGGAAAACAAGATAAGGTCCAATTGGGTAAACAGTTGGCTCTAGAAATAGAGTCAATAGCTGCTTCTAATTAGCTCTTTTAAAGGATGATATTAGCTCCTTCCCCATTGAATACAATAGTGAAGACCATCTGAAACCTTCAGGGAAAATGCACTCAAAACATGTATCACCTTTAATTTAGGATCTTTAACATTAAAAGCCAGATAATGATACAGCTTTACAGAAGTATGGAATGTAGCTTTGTCTAACCATCAACTTACTGGATGTCGAATATCTGATATAAGAACAACAATATCAGAAACTTCTAAAACTCGCCACAGCTGTCTCCATGTCTGCAATATAAAAATATAAATTAGCTATTCCAGTTACACAAAATTTACATTACATTATATTTACATTAAAAACTCCTTCCAATAACAATAAAAATATAACATTAATTCAATTTAGCAAATATTCAACTGTTTGGATTTTCAATTTTCACCAAATGGATCCACCATACATAATGGAGGACTTCCCTATGTTTAGTGCTATTCAATCATCAACTCTGATTTGAGGAATTATACAGTGACAAATTATATTACCTCTAAGTTTCGCTCAAAGTAACTGAGTTCTGAGTGCTTGTATTCATCATAAATCTTGTCCAAGAAATTTTCAAACTTTTCTTGCTCTGCTTGTTCTACTTGTTCCTTGCTCATGCTATATTTCCAAGGGGGCCTTTTAGGCATGTCCAGTACTACAGAATCATAAACAACACAAAACTTATTTTTCTTTATTTTTCCAGCTAGTTATGGTAAAGTTTGTACTGGAGCCTATTGGCCCTCTCAGCCTCAGCTTATCCCTGTTTCCAAGTGGCTGAAGAGATTAGAGCTTGCTACTACTCCTCCCTGGATTAGAAGCTACTCCATTGCAAGGTTCCCCCTTAGCATTTTATCAGGCTTCCCTGACAATTTGCTGGTACCATTTAAACTTCAAGTACATGGATATGATCTCCCTTGAATTTCTCAAATATTTCAACCATATTTTAAACAACATCTAAAATATTGCACATTCAATTATCAAGCTTTGGGTAGTTCCCATATTCTGATAACACATTCACTTTTGATTTCATATAACAAGTTAACAGATGCTCTGACTCCCATGAGTGACTAAGGCAAAATTTCTCCTTACAATATCAAATTATAATCTTCTGCAAGCAAGTGATGAGAATAAAGGGAAAAATTGTCATTAAGAGGATTCTCAGTTGATCCAAAAAAAAATTCTTCAAACTAATATCAGAAAATTGTTTGGCAGACAGTACGGAGAACTACTCTCAAGATCTTGGGAGTGAAAAGTTTAATTAATGAGCATTTATTCCTAAAGTACCAACATACTATTTTAATCTATTTATACCTGATCCAGGATTGTAGGTACTTTCAAGGCTCACCTCAAGAATTTCCTAGAGTTTAGACAATAAACATCATATTCATTTAAATGAACCACAAAAACAAATTCAATAATTGACTAATTTGGTGCAATTTTATTATTCAATCTATTGGATCAACAGAGGATAAATGCATCATTCCAAAACCAATTTCCATAACCTCATAGACTGAAATGGTAAGATTATTAACCCTTAACCCCTTAGAGAAACAAGCATCTAATTTCTCCTTACAATATCACCTCTGAATCAAACATGAAGGTCATGAGAATAGAGGAAATGATCATCAACTGTCAAGCAGCTCTTGATAATGTTAACAAATTTTCCTTATCAGTGCCTTTATAATAAATATCTTATGCGACAAGATAAAAATGAGAACTTAGCATACCTCAGTGACATACTCTAGTGGTTCTTGAGCAGCCTTTTTCCTAGCTTCAATTTCAGCCTTTGATTCACGATCAAACTGCAAGCGATATCTGAAGAAAATCATAAAGGTAATTATAAATTATTGATTAAGTGCAGTCAATTCAAGGTAAGGGTTTGTGTTTTTGATCCTAAAAATTAAAATAGAAATATAAAATTCAACAATGAAATGTCAGCAAGGGTGGTTGTTTCTCATTCCAATGGCATATTGCAAAACTTTAAAAATAGCTTTTATTCACATCTAAGTATAACAAAAGTTCCTCAAGCTGATAATCTGAAAACTTAGTGGCTATGGCCTGTCTGAATGTATTCAAGCAGTAGGTCACAATTTCTTCAGATGTACTTAAGTGTAACAAAAACCTGCATGGGATGGGAGAACAGCAAGTCATTGTACGATTTACTTCATTGTCCGTTAGAAGAATTAGGAACTTGTATGGTTTTACAATAACTCAAGCAAAGAACATTTATACAGAACAAAATTAAAGGAAATGATGCCTCTTTTCTTTCAAGAACATACGTGTAAGGGTTTCGTTCTTCTGTTTAGGGAAGAATTGAATAGCGATTGATTATCTTATGTAAAAATATTTGGGGGGACGTATTTCAATTTCATTTTCTGTGCACAACTAAAAGCATAGATGAGTTTAAAATATTCCCAAGATAACCTGTACCTGTTTGGATCGTGTTTTCGGTTTTTCTCCTGCCGGTGGGTGAGGGGCTGATGATGTAATTTATCGACAGCTGCTCTCCTTTCGTCCAAAGATTTTTCGAGCCCTCCAATCTCGGACTCTTCATCGCCTTCTGTGTCAGCTGAATTCCCGTTTGAAGATTTGCTCCCTTCATCTGAAAAAAAAATATACATATATACATATTTTGACCGATAAATGAAAAACACCTTTCACACCAACGATGTAGCACTATTTAAAAACAGACATCCATGCTGCTTATAATGATACAACCGTTTTGAAGATATCCGGCATATAGAGTAAGTTAGCGTAAATTCAATATACCTAGATTTTTCAAACGATTTTTTTCTCTTTTTTCCTGCAGTTGTTTCTTTTTCTGCTTGTTGCTAAAGGGTTTTTTGCGCGGCATTTCCAGCTCGTCCGTCTATCATAGCAATGGTGTGGAGATTTAAATTATATTTAGAATCACAACACTGGAAATCATGAAAACATTAGCACTAACACTGTCATATAAGAACCATCGAAGCTTGGTAGCCTGCCAGTCCACTTCGAGGCTTCGAAGACAAACATGGCGGATTAGTGTGCAAATGTTCACCGTTGAACTTTGAATGCCAGAAACATGGTGAGTGGGCAGTGATTTAGTCAAGATGTCCTTATAGCCCCATAAATAATTACTTTTATAGATCTTCGATAAAAGAAAATGATACCGAAAACGAAAGCTTGCCTTTAGGACCAAGACTTCTTCTATGGGGTTATAGGGAAAATATTTATCTCTCCATGATTTATAATGCAACAGTCTCAGTTTTAAAACCTTAGTTGAATTAGATCAATGATTTGATCAGTAACTAGGATACTCGAATGAAGCAAATAATTTCGAAGAGTTTCGAGGGAGACATGGGAGAAAAACTGGCTTTGTCGCTAGGTGAGCCAACTCGTGCGATTAGGAAGCTTTGAGAATTGACCCTTTACACCCTACATTTATTAATTAATTTAATTAAATACATTTATATAGCGCCATCTTCCATTAATTGTCCATGGCACTTTACAATACTCCAACAACCGTAAAAATTAAAATCCTAAGAATTAAATACACTATAACTACTAGTAAAAACTACAAATCAAATGCATGCTTAAAAAGTCTTAAGATTAGCCTTAAAAACTGCCTCTGATGATGAAAGCTTGATCCGGAGTGGTAGTTTATTCCAGAGCCTTGGTGCTGCCACGGAAAAAGCCCTTTCACCATACATTTTAAGATTCACTCTAGGCTCATCAAGCAACCTGTTGTTTGAAGATCTTAGTGTAAGACAAGAGTCATTATACTTCAATAGGTCTTTAATGTAATCTGGGGCCAGTCCATTCAGAGCTCTGTAAGTCAGCAACAATACTTTAAAAACTATCCTATAATGAACTGGCAGCCAATGTAAGCTCCTTATAGGCAGTATATCACTATAGATATCTCTATAGGCTGTACATCAGTATAGATATTCTCCATACTGTTTTCCATATATTTCCTAAGGTGCTAAAAGGAGAATTTATTTAACAGTCAAGTGCTTGTACCAGTTAATTTGCCATTTTTATTTACGTCATCATTGCGCTAAATCAGGAGCTTCCTTAGTTGGTGATCATTTCCTTCTTTCTTGTGACCTTAATGTGTGATTTAGGAGAGTTATAAGATTCACTGGTGATATTTTATGGAGAGGTTAGATGCTAGTCTTCCTAAGAGGGTCAAAGGATGAAGAGATGTGACATTTCCCAGCATTCCTATAGTTACTGGTATATTGAGCAATATTGCTAGCGTGTTGATTCACCATTTATCAGAGCAAAGTTTGTTCACAAAGTTGTCATCTGTGATTGTAACTTGCAGGCTGTGACTTTGCACACTGATGTAGGAGACTTAAAAATTGAACTTAATTGTGAGGACACTCCAAAAGCATGTGAGGTAGGAGTGAGGTAGTAATATTCGATGGTATGAAGTTTTTGTTAATCACTGAAAAGTACCAACTTTTACTCTTACATTCACAGAATTTTCTTGCTCTGTGTGCAAGCAGTTACTATGATAATTGTGTTTTTCATCGGTAAGTGAACCTTACAAGCAATTTTTGTATTCAGTCAACTTCTGTGTACTCTGTATGTATGAACCGTATTCTGTTGTTCAAAATTATTTCATTTGTCTTTTGGTTATGAAGTATACATACTAGTGAGTATAATGAAAAAGAAATTAGAATCTTCTTCTTTTCAACAGAAACATCAAAGGTTTTATGGTACAAACAGGTGATCCTACAGGTGTGTAGTTAACCCTTTACACTCTAACATCAGTATGCATATTCTCCATACTGTTCTCTATACATTTCCCAAGGTGCTGATAAGGAGAATTTGTTTAAATAACAGTCACAAGCTTCTTTAGTTGGTGATCATTTCCTTTATTCTTGTGACCTTAATGTTTGATTCAGGGGGATATTGTAAGGACAACCTCCTACTCACTCTTAGGGGTTAAAGGTTTAAGGAGGATAACAGATATTATTCAGTTAATAAGTAACCAATAAGTTTCCTTATTTAAGTGTCATCCAATTTTTCATTTTAGGAACAGGAAAAGGAGGTAAAAGCATCTGGGGAAAAAAGTTTGGTGATGAGCTGAGTCCGTCACTGAGGGTTAGTGTCAGTGGATATCACAACGAACCTTAGAGGACAGAATACTATTTAGGAGTAAATCTGGTACCCTAACCCTTTTACTCCCACAAGTGATTGACATGCAACTTCTCCCTATAATATCCATACCTTATCCAGCAAACAGGTAATGAGAATACTCAAACTTATCAGGAAGAATTTTTATCTTGATATAACACCAAATTCTCATAATTAATTTACAAGGAGGTGTGTAGCAGCAAGAGAGGAGAATTAACAATCAGATCTCAGAAATTAAAGGGTTAAATTTTTTCTTTTTTTTTTTTGGTTTGGCAAGTCTTGTCAAAAGATTGTTGTAGCCAATTGAAGTATGTCATTCATTATCACAACAAAGGATGCTGTTTACTTTTATTGTTCACAAATGACCCATGCATCTACAAATTCTTTTTTTGTAAGAAAACTGATGACCTTGGCCTGATTTTGTTTCCAGTCTGTAATAGCAATAACTCATGGGCATTTCAAATGCACTATTGAATAATGCTCATGTCTTCTGATTAATTAAAGATACAATCATGTATTGTATCAAATTTACCATTATTCTTTCTTATTCTGTTTACATACATGATGCTATTGACATTGCTAATCCTAGCTGTATGCAGGATGCATGTCATATCTGAACTTTGTAATGTCCTTGGACACCATAGTATCTGTAGAATTGAGGCCCACAATTTAAAGGTCTGAGGTTTTGATTCCTCATGGGGACTCAGGATTTTTTATTTGTCCTGCGCTTGTGACAAGAGAAAAAACATCTTTCTCTATTTCTTCACTGAGCTCAAAATTTATCATGGTTCATATTGTAATTATGTAACATCTTTATGTTAGCATAATGCAAGAGGAACAGTATCAATGGCAAATAGTGGACAAGATACAAATGGATCACAGTTTTTTATCTGCTATGGCAAACAACCTCATCTTGACATGAAATACACAGTATTTGGAAAGTAAGTAACTGTGTATGTGGAAGATACAGTAAGTCATTTCTGTAAAATAAACTTAAGGTGATCATTTAGGAGAAATGTAACAACCAAAATGAAAGCCGGGGATCCTATACTTATTGTCCTTTTTCCCTAATTTTTCCTTCCTCTGTGTTTGCAATCAATTACATGTACTATTTCTTAATGCAGCAAACTTGAAGCATTTGCTTGTGTTGATGACAATCCCCAAATTTCTCCAGTTTTAACAAATCCTAATTGTTACAACTTGTTTAAAAGAAACACTGACTTTGAGATAATTATCAAATGGAATTTAGCCCTTTAGTCCCCAACATCATTTTTCATATTATCCACACTGTTTTATGGACCAGGACAATACCTCTAACAATTTAAATTGTAAGGAAATGAAAATCGCCTTAAAGGTTAAAGAGTTAAGAGTTTCAGGGACATAATCCTTAGATTTTCACTATTTTAATTTAAATTTATTTGCAGAGTGATTGATGGGTTAGAGACCCTTGATGATTTAGAGAAACTCCCTGTAAATGAGAAGACATACCGCCCAATCACTGAGGTGCGAATAAAGAATGTGACCATCCATGCAAACCCTATTGCAGATAAGAGTGGATGAATCAATCCAACAGGAAAGTTACAGTGTAAGCCTGCCACTACTTACTGCTTACTGCCGAACACGGATGATGGTGTGTGTTATCAGACCAGCAACACTGGAAGGAACAACTTCACAATTAAACAACTCCAGATGCAACAGAAAACAATCCCAAGAGACTGATAAAGAAAACATTTTATTTTGAGACAAATTTTGTAAAAAATTTTTTTGTCTTTGTCTTTACAGTATAGTTCTCATACCTTCCATTCTCAAAAAACCATGAATTATGCAGAGTACAGAGTAAATCTTGTCAATCATGTGCATTAAGTCCAATTAAAATAGTATATTTGTGTTCCCAGTGAGTCTTGATCTTGTTGCCACTGAAAATACCAGCGTTTAAGCTTTTACACATGAACATTTATGCATTGGATGGTAAGGTATTTAAAATACTTTACCATTCACTGCATACATGTTCATGAAATAACAGACAACAACATTCCCTTTCATAAATCATCCTGTTGTGCCACTTAAGCCTCAAGGCAGTTAAGAAAGTTGAAACCTCAAAGAAAAATACCATGCTGTTGATGGAAATGTGTAAAGAATCAACCCTGCTCTTTCCTTTGCTGACAGCCCTCCATCTTGTGCGTATGCATTGGATTCACACACCCTCAAATCTGTCCTTGTTGTTGAAACATTGATTCAGGTGGACCTCTTTGTACGTTCTTGTACAGTTTCCCAAGCACATGATCATGCACCTTACAACATATTCTTAGAACTGGCCTGATGTTCAAATCTCCTTCACACTGCTGCCTGACAGTGGTTTATTAATTCCTCACAGTACCTAAAGAGTTGAAAAGCATTAGTTTAGCTTTTTGAGAAAAAAATGAGTGGCTTTACAAGTGTATGAATGATTGGGCTTATACAGAACATCTTCTGGTCTCCCCTTTTGTGAATCAACTGTCTTTCTGCATGCCAGATCATAACATCCCCTTATTTTCCAACTTCACAAAGTAGAGTAAAAATAAAGCATGATTAGAGAACAAATAGCCTGTGATATTATACAGTTGGTTATATTATAATGTAAGAGAACCTGTTTAACCAGTAAGCAGTGTGTGCTATGCTTCTCTATTCGCTTTGCTTTTCTTGCCATATGAAAAATGATTAGAAACACTTAGCATAGAAAAAGCAGTTGGATAACAAATAACACATTTTAGATGTTTTTGTGTGCTGTATTGCTTAGTATTTTTACTCTTTGTTTTTATTTTGACTTGCCCTACAGGCTTGTCAAATACAGCACAACTTGTAAAAATACTCAGTAATATTACCCACCAAAACTTGTAATAGGATATATATTCTTTGAGTTTGTTCATGATTTTATATAGTTTGTGATACACTTCCCAATTACATGCACGTTGCACATTCACAGAAAAAAAATGTGTTTTGTCGTGATACAAGACAACCACATCTGTCACAAAATTCCAAGGTGACAATTATGGTGTGATTTTTTTAATTTTTGGAAATGTTAACATGGTCACATTCTAGATTTTTAATTGATAAATTTGATCTGTTATGTTTACTTTTGCCCTGAGATCTTCATTGAGGGAAGTATGAAACATGCATTAAGTCATAAGTTGAGCAATTAAGTTAACAAGCTTAATATTAAGGAAAACCCAGGAAAGGTCTACCTGGCCACTCTGTGTTTATGCCTTACAGCCTCCACCTGTTCTTTAAGTAGCAAAGGTTGCACCTTTGCTGCATCTTTTAGCACATTAAGCGTTGCTTCCTGCAAAATAAGAAGAGTACAGTATACAAAACTCCATTTTCAAATGAAGCACTTTTTGATTGAATGTTGAAACACTAAAACCAAAGTAATCAAAACAGCCAATTAGAAGAAAGGAAGTACTTTAACAACCAATGAGAAGTCACTGTAAAACCAACCAAACTGCCTAAAGTGTGGGAAAATGGTAGCAGCCAAGTCATGATTAGTTTTAGTTTGATTTGCATCTGATTGGTTGAGAGAATGGTGCAAGTTTTCTAGATCAATCACAGAATGAGGTAAAGCAAAACCAAAGCAATCCATGAATAAAGGGGTAAGTTTCTAAAGAAACTGTGGTGCTGCGTTGGTGGGAGAGCATAGCAGGTAATTTAGTGTTAACATCTGAGTGGAAAACGTAAATTAGCCACTGTAAAGGGTAAAAAAGCTGACATTTTGAGTGTTAGCCCTTCGTTAGAGGAATCAATTGATTAATTGCTCTCGCGAAGGGCTAACGCTCGAAAGGTCAGCTTTTTTACCCTTTACGATGGCTAATTTACGTTTTCAACTCAGTTGTTAACACTAAATTACCTGCAAAGCAATCCATGGATTTTTTTTGACAAAATTGTTAATTGCTTTAAGGTGCAGTTAGTTTCACCATCTAAGGTTGTTATTCTGGCTCTGATCTTTCATGAGATGACTGATTGCATTCAGCACCTCAGTGTATAAAGTACCCTTTGATGCATCTTCATTGTTTTTTCTCTGTACATGTAGTGAAATGCCCTTAAAAGTTAACATAGATGATGATGCCTGTTTTAATTTGATGGCTTTTTTCTCCATTTTGAGCAGTATTGAGTTCTGTTAAGGAATATAGGAAATCACAATGACTAGAAATAGGTGATGAAATATGTGAAGTGTCCTGACAGAAGACAGACATGATGATAATTTTGGTGATTGAAGGAGCTTTTAATTTATCAGCATTTATTGAATCTCTAAAATTTAAAACTAGCACCTAGAGGTGTTCATAAATTTACTTACCTGTATTGAAGCTGAAGGGTCATCTAAATGTACTAAAAGACCTTTGAACATGGCTTGAAGGTGTAACTTGTATAAGTCACAATCGTAGTCAGATGGAAATGCTCTAAGGGAAATTGATAAACAAAAAGAATAATATGATAAAGACAAGGTCAAAAATTGTTTAATAATGTTTGTCCAAGTCCAGGAGTATTTAGTAAAGCATCAGTGATGATGCTACACTGATCTTGTACAGGACTGGAAACAGATTCCTACCAAACCATTAAAATTGCTGAATTTTATCAGTTTTGGCTGAAAGAGTGACAATGAGGATAAAATAAAGGCTGTTCATGTCCACAAATGGTATTGAGAAGTGCTTTTAGTTTAATTTGTGATATATTGTTGAGGGTAGTCCAGGAGACAGAGTTGCTGCAGAATGTTATGTCAGTAAAATGAACTTGAGTTAAACTCAAGATTGTTAATTTCTTTCCTCATTATAAACTGCTACACTTTAAAGATCTGTTCATGAAAATACATAAAAAACATTCCATTTGTTACAGGCAGACATGCACTTTTACAATTGACCTCATTTAATTTTGCACAGTATTTCACACAAATGATAAATATAGTTTTATAAAATAATTCAAATAGTACGCACACTCAGATTGGCCATAAAACCATTTTACATGAGCATATATATGTAAACACGGTTTTCGTTCCTCTTTCATTAGTTATTTTATAAAAGAAATGTAAAATGGTTTCCATGTTTACATAGCCTGATGTAAACACTTGGGAGGTTGGGAGAACACTCGATAAGCTGGAAACCACTCCGCTTTGTGTCGCGGTTTCCTACGCTTATCTGGTGTTCTCCCAACCTCCCGCGTGTTTACATCAGGCTATGTAAACACAGAAACCATTTTACAATTCTTCAGTATAAACTCAACTGCACTAACCTAAAGTAAGCAAGAAATGTTTTGGTGACAACAATTCTTATCTCATCACTGCTATCATCCATTCTCTTCAGTAACTCAGGGTAAACCTGATGAAGCATATCAGCTAAACAAGGGTGGAATGAAGGAATTACATTATAACAATGCCTCAGACAACAAAAAAAGGATAATTATAATTAAAATTACTTGTCGTGAATTGTACTATCTTTTGAAAAGTCACAGGCAGATGTTATACCAATGCAGGGTAAAAGGAAACTGCAGCACACTCACAAATGAAACCAAAGCACCTTTGGTGAAACCATATCTTTCTTTAACATAGGCTTGCCTAAAAATCATTTTTCTTCAGTTCATTCCATAATACTGAAACTGAAACAACACAAAGATGATGCAACCCACCATTAAGACTTTCTTTACAAGACATAAGGAGTCTCTGGAGGGCTTTACAAGATACAAGTCTTGTGGTTTGGTTGTGGTCATCAAGGCAAGAGGTGAGCTGCAAAGAAGAAGAGAGACTCAGACAAGATTAGAAGAAGTCAGGGACAACAGTAAATCAAACTGCCCAAAAGGTTACCAGAATATTCTGTACAACATATTTCAAGTTAAAAAAAGAAAAGAACAAAATGATAAAAATTACACAAATATGCCCCGTTTGAACTTTTCAATATTTTTATCATACAAAACAAGTAAAACAAATGGTTTCCATAATGTTGTATGTCCGCTGAGGAGATACTTGGTATCACCCAGATGTACATGCATAATGAACATAGAATTTCTTAATTTGATTTCTACAAGTTGAGAATCAAAGCCTAACAAAATAGCTGATTTACTCACACACAATTAACCCATTACTGGACAACAAATCTCTTTTTTTCAGGTGTTAAAATGAAATATAATAGTAAATCTATAGCTTGTGTACCTGAGTTAGAAGATCCTTCATTATTTGTCCAGCATCTTGCAAAGACAACAAGTTGGATTGCAGCAAAGCCCAAAGGCAAGAGATTGCTGCAGAGCGAACAGCAGCAGCAGTTCTTAAAAAAAAAATTAGGTTTCAGGCTTTCATAACATGAGTCATTAAATCACTAATTAAGCATGAATTCCTATCAACACAAAAGGGACATGCATCATGCAGCTCCTTTTGAAATTTTTGCAGGTTTGGAACCTTCCCAAGCATTCAAGACATATACTCTGACCTATGTGAGAGAGCATAGACATGACACTGCTTTCACTACTAACTTTGTATCCTGGAAACAACAAGAGAACATGTAAAGTCAAAAAGGATTTATTGGTTACTACAGCACCTACCTTCCTGCTTGCCATACACAGTTAGGAATGATCAGTTTTTGAACAGCTTGTACTGAGAAAGGATTGAAAGCTTGCTGTAAATCCACTGATTCAGATGCACTCATGAAGAGCCGCGACAACAGTGAAAACATTCTGCAAATCACAAAGGGTAAAAATTGAAACATAAAAATGGACACTGTTATTGTGAATATCTGTTATCCAACATGACTGATGGAGTGCTCCACTGTAACCTAAAGATTTACCCTCCAATTTTCAGAGAAATGACATATGAAAATCATATATAGGCACTGCAGTTAAAGTAATGAATATAGAAGCAATCCTTGCAATTATGAACACTACTGAGCTTGTAGTTGAAATAAGGCCTGTCTGGAAAAAAAAAATTCATGCCTGTATGGACCTTATTTCAACTACTAGCTCAGTAGTGTTCAATATTGTGGGAATCGCTTTCTTACTTCAGCCTTAGTTCAGGATCTTTTTTCTGACTGTCTAAGCATTCAGTGAAAATCTCCATGACATCCTGAAGGTGCAGACCAATGATTGGTCCAGAGTCAGTCAATAACACATCAAACAGACAGCACTCTGGAGAATGATGGGTCCAAGAGGTGTGGTTTTCCTAAAACAGAAAAAAAAATGTGTTAAATCATTCCTCTTTTTTCTTTAAACAGTACAGTATCACAAATCCCCATCCATAGTTCCCCACTTCAACTCACTCCTGTCTTGAACAAGCCATTTAGCGCCATCATTTATACTGACTGCAGTATAATTATAATTGTTTCCTTGGTTCAGGAAGATCACATCAAAAAATCCATCAAACACACCAGAGGACAAATCAAAAGAATATTGTCTAAAGTCTTCTTTCTTTGAGATACTGAAAATTGTAATAACCTATTATAACCAAAAATCAACAACTTTTGCTTCCCCTATAGCATTCAGCACTGTTAAGAGCTAGCTCATAGATATCAACGTTTTTCAAATTGTTCTTTATATCAATGTTAAACAACTTCCTCAAGTGAGAATTACAGTAATCATTATTATCTAAATTTGGGCAAGAAATATTGAAACACCAAACTAACAGCTTGTTCTCCATCACACTACTTACTTTTAATTTTTTCAAGAAGTCTTGGATGTGATTCTCATACAGCTTACTTGAACTTGCTAAACTCTGTGCTGTTGCAAGTTTGGTTAAAACAGAATTGACCTGGTTAAATAAAGAATAATCAAATAAACATGATATTAACCCTTTGAAAAGAAAAATGCCAAGACACCTCAAGTCTTGCTTGGCTTGACTCTAAAAGTACCTCAGTCAAATTTATTTCTGACTCTCTCTCTTCTAATGTATTTAGTTTTAGCTCAAAATGTTTTCTTGTGAATGTAATGTTCAATACCACTCTCAACTAACTTAATAGGCCATTTTCAATATATTAAAATTCTAACATGGCTCCAAGGCTAGGGATAATAAAACAAAATTAATTAATTATTCGTCCCTCAACCTCGATGCCACTGGTTTCTTTTGTTTTACTCCCCCAAGTTTCTGAGCCAAGTTTGAATTTTAATATATCCACAATTGCCAATTGTGTCTCCACCATTGTTAATAATGGCGTCAAGAATTTGTGTTTGCACTGGTTCTGCCTTGGTAAAAAAAGTTGGAGTCTGGCAAATTACTGAGAAGCTCAGTTGTGGAAGAAAGGGTAACAAGCAGCCAAAATTCCTTCAGTCTATGTGAACTGTTGGCTGCATGGGCCAGAAGCAGACTTTTATTACAATTTTATAAGCACAAGGAAGTTAAGATGGCTGAAATAACTCTAAGTTAACTTTTTTAGAATATTAATGAAGTATATGAAATGTACCTCAAGTTCAAGGCTTCCCTCCCGCTGTAGCGCCTTGACGTGTAACAAGACATAAAACAACTTAAAGCTGTGAACACTGCTCTCTTCACCGGCCTTATCAATAACTGCTGAAACAGTTGCCAAGAGATGTCGCTGAGATGATAAATGTTCTGTACAGCAGACATCAGCAAGGGATATTGTGCCACAAACATCCTGGCATAATAAACAAAAAGTCAACTCAGTCAGGTTTAGCATACTGAATTACGTGTACTAATTCAACAGTCTCACAAAGGTTATCATTTGTTTGAATATTTGTTTGAATATTTGTTTGAATATTTGTTTGAATATTTGTTTGTCTTATCAATTAATGAAATAGGTAGATTCCATTTCAGTGTCACTATGAAAGAAAACAGTAAGCAAACATCAAAACAGGGATCTCAGTAAACTATGCATCAAATCACTGGACAGTCCATTAAACTTCAAACTAAGGAGACCATTCAAGTAACAAAGGCATATTAAGCTCCACAAGAAGGGGGTCTGGGTGCATACTCTGCCAGAAAATGTTTAGAGAATTGAAAAGCTTTTCATTCTCATGAACACAAAGCAATGTGGTTCTAGAAAGGTAAAGGCAGATTTAAAAGACCTTGAGATTAAAAGAGAGCTCAAACAGTGAGGTTTAAAACCAATTTCATTGAGTAAGGTAAAAATGATTTTTAAGAAGAAGTCTGTTGAATACTTTATTCATCTAGGAAAGTTTTCTTTCAGTTGACTGTTGGCAACTTACAAGCAACATTTTAAGAATAGCAAGCTGCTAATAGCAAGTAGAAAACCGAAAACTCTCTTTCATATAATTATAAATTAAACTTCATTCCGACATCAATCCACACTTTGATGATTGACACATTTACATGCCAAGTCCCCACAAAAATTGTTGACTGTTCTACACAGATCCATGATAAGACAATGAACAGTATTAACTAGATCTGGTCAATGGATTCACAACTCAAACAAAAATTTGTCTGAGTGGTTAGCAGATAAGTAGGTATAACTTCCATAGTGACCATACCTTAAGATGGGGTTTAATAAGCTCTGGATTGCAGCCTCTTAGCAAGGCTGCTAGAATCATTAAACAACTACTACAGGCAGTTGTTGAACTTCCTGCAGAGGACTTCAGATGGGGTAGCACTAGCTTACAAAAAAGTGCAGGATCTACAAAACAGCCTGCAAGCTCAGCACTTGACACAACCTATTGAGAGAAGAAAAATGTTTAGGTAAAAAAAGCCCAACATGAAAGACAACAAAGCAGTTTGAAAGTGGTGGTAAGCTGGAGTACTTTATTTCAGAGAAACATTTTCTATGCAACAGGAAAGAGATCCAAGTCTCCTCCCTTCCATACCTCCACCTCTCATTACAATACCAAAGTGCTCTCAGGGAGAGGAGCCTCACCACATGTTATAGCTTATGATTTCTCTTTCATAAATTAAATACGATATACAAAATTGTACTCAAAGGGGTTTTAAATTTCTTACACTTTCTTAAATTTTCAAGGTTTTTTATTCTGCTTTTCCAAAGAAACTCACAAACAATTCACACCCAAATGTAAAGCATAGGGGACCACAACCCTTCCCAAATTTGCTCATATCTGAACCAAACCATTAAAATACATTTGTAGGTATAGAATCTTGCATATAGTACAGGTAGAAAGTTCAACCATCCTCTTTCCAGTTACCTCTTTTACAACTTGTTCATTTTCATCTTGGCTAGCCCTATATAAGCCTTGTAACAAGATCTCCATGTGTTGAGTTGTATTATCCTCAGCATAAAAGAGTAAAAAATAAACCAGAGATGAAGCCTGGTAGAAGACAAAAATAAATGACTAGTATTTAAAACCATATTAAATATATATATATATTTTTTAATACCAGTAGCAGCAGGTGCATGTTAATCTGAATTTGAAACTTAAGGGAACTTGATTTAAACTGTATACAAATATCCCAAAAAAATAAATGGAGATCAAAGATCTTTCAATATTTTTTCTGACATTTCCAAGAAGATACCCCAACATCCTGATAGACCCTGCGAGGTTATGTTTAATCAATTTTATGAAAATATTACACATTTTTCTATTAAAATCTCTGACTCCAGTGGAATTCATACCTGAGGCCTCAGTGAAACCTGAGTTTATGTTTATAGGGCTCTCTTTTACTAGCTTGTGCTTAATCAATTGGAAATTTTCAACAAAGATTTTTTAAATTTATCAAATAAATGTTTAATTTCCAAATCATTCTCTTCTGTTTGCATGTAAACTGATAATGCTAACAAACATGTGCATGAAAAATTTCAATTCTAAGCACACTAACGTGTGTATATGTATTTCCATGGATCAAAAACTACATTACTCTAGTTAGGATGACCCAAAATCACTCTCAGGAAAGTAATGGATCATCAAACATAAAACATTCTACTAACACACAATTTCTGCATCCACTAGCAAACTTGCAACAACATCTTTTTTTTCTGTTTTATTAGCCATGAAGAAGATTTTCGAGACATTTACAAGAAAAAGGCAGTTCTGGCACAAACCTTGATTCTTGTGTCAGTTGTCCAATCTGCCATATCACGTAATGCAGCTGGTAAAATTTTGGAAAGATTTCTTTGTACTAATATTCTGCATCCTAGACTAGGACGATCCATACCTTTTGAAACAAAATGATGATAAAGAGCTCTATCTACTGTAAAAGCCAACTTGTAAAGTTCACAAGCACAACATTCCCTGTAAGATCAAATGTTATAATTTGGTTTTCATTTCAATAATAAATAAATATGAAATACTCATTAACCACCTGTTTGAAGTCTGTAACTAGATTGCTCCTCAAAATTCATTCTATCCTTTAATTCTTCCTCATTTTCTAAAGCATATTGATCACCAACCTGTGAAGAAATGAATTCATAATTTAATGGTGTTAAATTACCACTAAAAAAATTTCAATAACAAAAAAACACTTTTTTGCACTACTGATTAGTAGTAGAACCATGTTGTATTATCTATTAAGAAATTGTGAGAAATTATGTGACATATATATTAGATACCTTGTTCATGAGCACTTTGGACTGCCTCTGAATATCAGGTAACTCATCAGATAGTCCTGTCATCAGTAGTGGCAGAAGTTTATGAAAATATGAATATCTACAAGAAAATGTAATATATTTTATCAAACTGAATACTCATGTTATCAGAACTAAGTTTAAACTTGTTCTGTACCAATTACGGTTGTAAGAATCTTTTTAATCATATTTATTAAAAGTACATTTTTTTTCTTGCCCAATGATACAACTCTCTCAACTGAAACAAAAGTTCTTAGAGTAGCATCTTATGATTTGATATATTGGCTTGTAATTTCATAATAACAATAATTATAATTTATTTATCCACTAAAAATAGTAATAGTAAGTTAAAAATTATAACACCAATAATGATTACACTAATTATGATTATAACAAAGACAGTGATAGTGAGAGTAACAGTGATGCTGGTTCAAATGAAAGACTTTAGGATGTATGTGACTAGGCTGTTGAAGATGTCCAGGGTAAAATCATAGTACTATCACTACTAAATTAGTCTGATACAAATTCAGATGACTTTGCCTAAAGTTTGAGAAAAGATATTAGCACAAGATATTCAGGATCCACAAATATGGGGCTCAGTGTGGTTCACATATTAATGAATATATGTATTAAATTTTTTTGAGTCAAAAGTTTTACTCCTACAGACCATTTGACTGACCTATCTCTCAGGTTTAAGAGCCAATCACCAACAACACCTGTCACTGCTGTTCTTACAGTTGGTGCACTGTCAAATGTTCTTTGTGCAAGATGCGACACCACATCATCAACATTTTTGCCATCACCACCTTTAATAACAATACCTAGGGTCTAAAATAATATCAAATTGAATAGTGATAAGTAACCAATTTATTTCACATATCTCATGATCCAATCTATAAATCAGGGCCCAGTTGTTCGAAGGCCGATTAGCGCTAACCCAGGGTTAGAATTTAATCTGGGTTTCTTTATTCCTTTACTCTAAACCCTTTTTGGGAAAGCTTTCAGTGTCCTTTTTAAAGCATCAAATAGTCATACTCTAGACAAAAAGAATTCAACTGAATTTTCTTTTACAGCTTTTAGATCTGAAATCGGATTTCACACTTACCCTGGGTTATCTTAGCCAACAATTGTTGATTGAGTTTTGTGGCTTTACAAACAGTTTTAATTGTCTGTGTTTTTCCTTCAGTTTAGACTTATGCTGAGGTGAAACCCCTCAAAACTTAAGACCTAATTTATGTTTTATTTCAAGAGAAATCAAGGACAAGGTAAACCTTGTATTTCTCATAATCTGTTGGCAAGATAATGTACCAAATCACAAGATGTTATATGTTAATCATTTCTGAGTTACAGGGTTAAATGACCTGTTATATGATAATCATAAATAAATGTATGTAATAAGGCCATCATTAACAATTAAAAAACACTTGACCAGCAAATGATGATCAAAAACCATTTAACTAAGATACCACTCAACAAATGTTGAAAGAAAAGTCTTGAAAAATGATGCCTAGTAAAACCTGCACCATTTAAGTAATAAGTTGGATGTTACAGTATCAACTTAGGTTTACAGTATGGGGAAGGAAAAAACCTACAACAGTGCTGTATAATTTTTGCAGTAACTGTAAAATAATATTTCTCACCTGTATACAAGATACTCTAACTTTGGAGTGTTGATGAGAGAGAGACTTGAGAAGAGGATTCACTAGAGAATTAGCTTGAAAATAAAACTGGTCAGGAACAGCCACAGCCAAGACATTGGTACAATGGCAACTTTCCTATGAACAAGAAGACAAGACCTGGTTTAAAATTAATTAACAGATTGCACTAAACCATTAGAGTATTAGGATGACTTTCTACAAGTTAATGACCAAAAACAATAAGCAACATGCAAAATTACATGAACAGAGTCTGAACACAAGCCAAGTTGTTCATCTCGCCTGCCAGAGTTATTCTAGTTTCTGTAGCATCAAAAGGCTATTGGTCTGAGAGGAAATAGGTTGGTAGTCCATTATAGAAAGATATCTCCACACATGTAACCCTGAGAATTTTGTCAGGTCTCCCTGGCAGTTCACCAAATGAATATACATTTAACAACTGTGCTTCTAAACAAGCAGTGTGAGAGCACAGTGGCTGACTCACAAACACAATAGAGTGACTTGACCAAGAGCCAAGCCCACTCACCATTACACCACTGCATCCTCCCCTCAGCATGTGTTATCATGAAACTTATTGTTATACTGTTTCTTGTGTATTGCATTACACGTTATTACATGTTAATTACCTGTGAGTGTTTGTAAATGTCATTAGCTGTATTGTGTACTTGTGGTTGATGTTTGCATCACTGTATAATGTTATGTAATTTATGTTGAGAAATTTGTCAGGTTTTGTGTTTATTTATCAAACACAATATTTTAATCCAGTGGATAAATGTTTACTTTCACTTTTTTAGAAGCAGGGTCTTTTTTTTTTAATGCATGTAAAGCTATGCACTGTTAAGACAAACATTTTTATTTACTGAGATTTTAATTTTTTTATTCTCTGGGTAGGTGGATATTTTAAATAATATATGAGCACAATTATATATGACTTCAGTTAAAGTATGTGTAAATTATACATTCAGAAAAAAACTATACAAATTTTCTTTGTTTGATTATAATTGTGTCAATTCATGAAATAGCTGCTATAATTAAAACTCAAATACAAAAAAAAGTAATTGAGTTCCTTAAAACATTAAAACTGACGTGATGCCTAAGAAATGCCCAAAGCTACTCTTGATCTAATTTCAAGATATACTCTTCTATTCACAAGGCAAACAGGAAAGAAAATCTATTATGTAAACAAAAGTATCTTTGGGCTTCATTCCAAGGGCATCTATAAATAGCCTTCAGACAAAACTAACCTTCCTCACATCATGAAATGGATCAACCAGAGTTCTCTGAAGAATCTTTACCATGTCATCAATATATACACCGATTTTTTCACCACAGATCTCTGTCACAGAACACAGCAGTTCAACTAAATACAACCTCAGTTCCTCGCAAGATTCCACTATCTCTGGCTGACCAAGTCTTTGTACCACAGTTGGGATGATGTATGGTAAAAATGACCATAAGTCTGTAACTTGCTTTGCAAATCTAAACAGAGAAAAAGACTCGCATCGAACTAAATACTGCTTGACCTTTTAACTCCCACCCTCCCTTCCCCCATTTCAGTGGATGAGATGGTTGACAGAGAGGAGCAAGTATATTTGAAGTTAATAAATTGGATGAAAAAGGGTTTTATTGTCTCTGTAAGTAAAATACACAACTCTTTGTTCAACAATATCATATGATGAACTGGTGGAGAAACAGTAGCATGACAATTTGAAGTGGGAGGAGCACAGTGTGAGGGATTCATTTAAGAGGGGATTAAACAATTAACTTCATCAAAAAGCATTTTACTCTGTCCTGTAGTTTTATATAGTCAGAAGAAATCATCAGAAATACAAATGCAGCTGTTGTAATTTGAAAATAACAAAAGGATATTCCATGTTCACTAAATTAAATTTGAGTTTAAAACTTTTAAATTCAAATTTAATTTAATCTTCATAAAACACTTCTATGACTTACTCAGAAACCATCTGGACAGAAAGCTCCCGACACTTTTCAGTTGGATCTGAGAACAGCTTCAAAATGGGTTTAAGTATTTCTTCAAAAGTAACTTGAAGTACTGCAGCTGAAAACTTGGCTTTTGAAAACACTTCTTTTGTTATCTTTTCCAGGGCTCTCTTTCTTGTTCCTCTATTATCATCACTAAGGCAGTTAATATCTCTTTGAAGGCCCTGCAATAAGTATATGTAATAAGAAGGCAGTGTAATTTAAACAGAAAAATTTCAATTGCTCTGATAAAGGCTAACACTCGAAACGCCAGCCTTTAAACATTTTACAACAGTCAATTTACATTTTCAATGCAGTTGATAACACTAAATTACCCTGATATACTCTCCTACTGACGCAGCAACACAGTTTCTCTAGAAACTTACCCCCTTTATTCATTTGAACAGAACCATTTATGGAAACAATGACACAATAAAATGCACCTTTTCTTTCTAGCATATTTATATATTAAACAGACAGTTATAATGTACTTTCATAAGTAAATAATATTTATTAAACAGCATTAAAAAAAAATTATAGTGATAGTGATTTACTGTACTTCCACACATATGTGCCTGGATACTTATTCAAAATTCAAGGGAGGGGGGGTGCTTATTGAAGGGGGTGCTTAATCAAGAGGGATCCTTGTTATTCTCCTTTACTGATCCCACTTTAACTGAAGCTTAAAAAGTTATAAATTAAGTGGCAATAGAAACAGGTTTTTCGTGTATCACTGCTATTTAAGAGAGCGAGGGGAGAGGGGGCATTTGTTTGACATCATGGCCTTGGGGATGGGCATTATTTGGGGGAGGGTGCTTATTAAAGCGACTGGGTACTAAGGAAAATGTCATATCCCTTTATCCAGTTATCCAATCTTCAAATAACCAGGCCTGGTGGTATCATATTACAGAAACTGGCCAAAGCTATGGTAGCATGCATGTAGGTGCAGGGTCCATCTTGTAGGCAGAGCTTTCAATGAAGGTATTTCAACAACTAAATATACATTAATTTCTACAGCAAACTGGCAATCATTTTCTCCCAGTTTTTCATGACAGCATCAGCTGAAATTATAGCTATTGAATGCCGTTGGGCATGGTTTTAGCTGTATCACATCTCCCACAGAAGTGTATGAGTAGATATTGAGGCACTAATTATGCAAACTGGATTTACAGATGTATTACAAGCCTAACATGGATGATTCTGCCGTCATTGTTCAAGTGAATGTCTGTCATATTAACAGACACTTAACTAACGGCCTTGTGTTATGCTTTACTGGTAGGCTTAAGTCTGTTAGGACATTAACTATGTTCAAACTCAATAGCTTTGTCTACTGCAAGCAGGATTGGGAAAAATCAATTTGATTTGCGTTTGAAATTGATGATAATGTTTGGCCTTATTTCAAACGTGTAAAAATTGACTCTCAAGAGTTCATTATATTCAATGTATGAGATATGATAGCACTGTAACCCATGTTTGTTGCTAAGCACGTTGCCATGTAAGTTTATTTAGTTTCTTCTCTTGTCTTTGTGCAGAAACGAGCATTAACACAATTTTCTGCAAGATCTGAAACTACTGCTAAGTCAAGAATGTGAATATAAAATCAAAACGTATCTGTTCTCAAAGAGCTAACCTGTAACAGCGCTTCCAAAGCATCGTTGTCAGTTGGACTCAAATCTGCCGCCATCTTTTCCGCCATCGTGTCATTACTTCTACCTTCAGGGAGGGGGTGGGGAAGATTTTGAATATAATTTCTTAAGATTTTATTTTTAATAATGCCGCTCATTCAAAACCTTTCGTTCTCACCTCTAATGATAATATATATATTTTCGTAACACTAAAACTAAATTATGGCGCAGACAACGTTTCTCTTTCGATGAAAGTATTAAGAATTTCCGAGGAAAGAAGTGTCATATAATTATTTCCCAGCGTGCTCTTCGTTCATAGTGACAACATGGCGTCTGAAACGTTACTTGAAACAGTCCGTCCTGCAGCAAACTCCCAGGTTCCAGAGCCAAGAAGCGGGCATAGATGTGCAGCTGATGATGGAAATATGTATGTTTTTGGAGGTTATTCTCCACATAACGAAAATTACCTTTACCGTGAGTTATGGCGCTTCAATATCGCTACCAAAACATGGCACTGCGTAAATACTACCGGTCCCTTTCCGAATGAGGTAGCCTCAAGTTGTCTTGTCTATGACAAAGGAAACCTCATCGTCTTTGGTGGATCTGGAGTTCCTTTTGGCGAGAGTAATAGCAAAAAGCTTCACGTGTGCTCTTTGAGGAGACATCAGTGGTTTGATCTCACGAAAACTTATTCTGATAGGGAAGAAAGTGATGGGGAAGGTGTTTCACCGATTGCTGGTTATGGACAGAGTATGGTTTTGTCCAGGGACAAGGAATTGTATGTTTTTGGTGGTACAACGGGACTAGAATTCAACTCGTATTTATATCGTTACAGCTTCTCCAATCACACTTGGGAGTATGTGAAAAGCCATAATCCTCCTGTGCCCCGATACAGACATGAATCTGTTTCCGACGGCGAAAGGTTTTATGTAATCGGTGGTGGAATGAGCAATCGAGACCCCGCAATTTTCTTCCAGTTGGAGAAAATTCAGTCCTTTAACTTTGGTTCTAAACAATGGGAGGAGCATGTTTGCTATCCTTCCCGAACTCATGGTTTTCCTAAGCGTAGAAGATGTCATGGTTGTGTAATTTTTAATTCAGTTGTGTACATTTGCGGAGGTTATGACGGGTCGAACATTTTTGATGATATATGGAGCCTTGATCTAGCGACGTTTCAATGGAAAAAACACCACAAGGTATTTAATACGAAAGAATGATTAATTTGCAACCGCATGTAGCCTGTGTACCGCACCAGGGAGCTTTGGAGTGTTTTCGGCGAACTTGGCTAAGGTGTTCACATGCTTTTCTCATTAAAGTTTTTTTTTAAGCTGGGCCTACCTCCTAGATTTGGTGCTTAAGAAGAAAAAGCTGGGTGAATAACCTATTTCTATAGTCCAGTGACCACTTGTAGATCCCTACAGTGTAGTTAACCCAAAACTGGAACAAGACGGCAAGGAGAATAACAAATGATATACAATGGCCAAGTGTTTGCATGAATAATATTCTCACAGGGTGTTGACATTTTAGATTTTTGTGTAAGATTACTGTATGTTGATCCTGTGGCCAAAATATGATAAAAAAGAATCAGGCAATATTTGGCACCATGACGAACATCATCAAAACTTATTTTTAGCCAGTTGTACTGAATTTTGAAAACAGTCAGATAAGGAAAAATATGATCTTATAAATGCTTCATTGTAGGAAGAAACAAAAGGCTTCTTTTGTTCATGCTTTGTCAACCATTCAAATAGACACCATCTAGAAAAACAGATTGAGGTTCTTTACCTTTAACCCTTCTTGAAACTCTTGTAATTGGCCAAAACAGAATTTCTCCCAACAGTATCAACATAATATGAAGCAGACAAGTGATGAGAATAGAGAGAAATATCAATTAACCCTTTAACTCTTAGAAGTGACTAACAAGTAACTTCTCCCTACAATATCCAGCAAATAAGTAATGAGAATTCTCAAATCCATCAGGTAGAATTTGTTATCTCAATCTAAAACCAAATTTTCGCTACTTATTTATAAGGAAATGTGTAGCAGCCAGAGGGGAGAATTAATAATCAGATCTTGGGAATGAAAGGGTTAAAATATACTGTGCTCCATATTGAACAATATGCATATGGTGTAATTTACAAAAGTTTGACACCTATTATGTTTTGTTCTACTTCTGGCTCTTGCTCAATTCTGAGAGGAATGATGCAGACCCTTGAGTATGCTGATTGTCTCTGTATTGAAGTTTAGTTTCTTTGATCCAAATGCAGGTTCTGCCTTACCCTGTTTACTTTCACTCGGCTGCAGTTACTCCGTCAGGCTGCATGTATGTGTTTGGAGGTGTGAAGACCATCAATTCTAATGAAGCCACCAGGTCAAATGATGTTTTTAGACTTTGTATAGCTTGGCAGCCTCTTGTGGAAAGATGCTGGGAAGTTGTCACAAGTTGTCTTCAAGGCAAAAGAAATTTCCATACAGATCTTAAGAATCTTGGTGTTCCGCACCATTTCTTAGAGAGGCTGAAATAATATACATACTTCTTACTAACTGTGTAAGAGATCTGTACTGAAAGTTAGAGACCAAATTTTTTCTGCTCAATTTTATGACCCTGGAGCAAAGCAAACCATATGTCTGAGTGGGAAAAAAAACAAGATTCCTTAGCTTACAGTAGAGACTGAGAAAATAAGGTTAGTAGTATCTCTATTATATCTCTGGGTTCAAATAGAGAGGGTAGATTTCAATTACCGGTAAAACAAGCTTTTTAATTTAGTAGGCTGTAGAGTTAAATACAGCTTACTAATTGTAAGGCAAATTGTAGTGCATTTAGTAATAGAGAGATGTAATAATTGACAAGATACTGTACATGTATATAATCCACTATGTTAATTCACCAAACTGGAAAGTGACCAACATGCATAATTTATAATAAAGTTCGGATATAACACATGCTGTCATTGGTTGAAAGAGCATGCTCTATGAGAGTATAGAGCATAGAACTGAGCTAAAGCTGTCACCCCATCTGCCAAATTGTAATGTTTGACCTTTTGCGGGACTTTTTTTTTAGCTTTTTTCAATAATTGAAAGTGAAATTTCAAAACCAGCAAGCTGGCAAGTAGCGACAGAAGAACCAAACAAACGTTTGTAAAAATACCAGGCGCTGTAATTTATGTTATTAAAACATGAGCAGATAGGAAAATCCTCAAAGGAAAAACAAAATAGACATTCCAAGTTTTAAAGATTTTCACGTTCAGTTAGATTGCAGGCTTACATATGGTAATAAAAATCAAACAGCTAACCCTCATATAGTATATAAAGTTCAGTGTTCAAAAAAAAAACAGAACAAAACAGAAATGATGAAAAATATAACCAAACTGGCATAACTGTTAAAATTCATGCTAATCATAACGGTGTCAAAGCGAATATGATCATGCTGAAGTCCATTGCGGCTTGCTCATCATGACGATCTCTGGTCATAACTACAGTAATCCCTGTCATCCCGAGCGATCTTCATGTTCTGGTGAATTCGGCTGTCGTTCATTCAAAAAACACTCGCCTTGCACAGTTTGTTTCTACCTTGTATTTTTTTGTTTTTTATTCGGCTGAAGTTCACTGAATGTTTCACTTCAAGATTCTATATTAGAGACTTAGAAACTTCAGGCAAAAGTGTTAAATTCAACTTGCCAAACTATTTAGTTTGTAAACTACCGCAGATTATGAACTTTGATGGTTTGACACTTTTGACAGCTTTTGTCTTGTGCAGCCAATCAGATTACTTGAACCACTATAACAGGGATTCTGATTGGCTTATTGTAGCGTGCTTTATGAGAGTATAGAGCATGCTGATGACATTGTTGTTCGCTTTGGAAATAAAGTTTGTTTTGAAAATTGAAAGTAATTCTTGGGGAATTTAATGAATTTTTTATTAAAAAAACAAATAGAGAAGCCTTGACTGACTCAAGAAATGGGGGAAACACTTGACTATGTCTCATGTTTCTCCCTACACTTCTTTCATACTCTAGCTGCTTCCTGCATGCTTTATAACAGAACAGAGCACAGTCAAGGCTTCTCTATTCGTAAAGTAAAATCATAGTTCTAAGCTTCCTTACTTATAAGCTTGCTAGTTTCAAGCTCATCTATCAGTAAAAAACATTTTATTCTGTTCTCAAAGATTTGAGTCGGCCAAAAACAGGGAACAACATTTTTTAAAACCACAATGGTATAGGCAGGAGTTTAGAGGTATTTAATCTTGTAATTTGGATGAGTCAGGGTTTGCTTACTTTCAAGAGGGCCACAGCTCAAGTTAGAGGTATACTTTTGTATAATGGTGTTGCATACACCAATTGCATACCTCTCCAAGCCTGTAACCTATGCTGCTTGCACTCACTCACTGAGGTACTACTGCATATGTTGTGGCAACAGTACATTAAAAAAAATATTATTATAATTTTTGCATAAGCCAAGTCCTTATCTAACCATTAGCTAAAACAAACATGTGGTATAGAAAGGTTGAATGAAGGGAAATAAACATGCAAGTTACTTATACTGGATGTCACACATTTACTATGAACTACAAGATTCCAAAGCCTTGAAGAATTTTTTTGTGAAACTAAGTTTGGGAAATATTGTCTATTGTAAAACAGAGGATACTGTTTTTCATGGAATAAGCACCTCTTCATTAACATTTTGGCCAAAATGGGGAAATGCTTATGGACAGAAGTGTGTCCATCTAAAACAAATTTTTTGTTTTGCGACAAAGAAAAAACCTTGTCTTGGAAATCTGAATTGTGTACCAAACGTTCAAAATATAATTTATGTATATGGCCTCATTTCATTTTCATACAGCCAGCCAAGGCAAGCCCCCCCCTTTCAAATTATAAATTAGATTTTGTGCTCAAATGATCCTTTTCTCACCCTTGTAAAGTTTTTGTGCCCTATGCAAAAGGTGTGATACTGTGCATTAGATTTCACCTAGCCTATTGGAATCAGGGTGCACAAAGTAGTTATTACCATTCTGTAATCATGTGGTTTTGAGCGAAATTCTCCATTATTTTTTGCTGAATTTGAGAAAAAGTATTTTCTGCTATCACATTATACCCATACCCAGTAAAGCTAGTGGAGGTAATGCCATGGTTGTTCGGTATTTGCTGAATGATATTTAATGCAGCTGTGGTCGAATATCATTGTTAGATTTGATCGCTAACTTCTTCCATCTTCCAGTTTTTATTGCTTTTCACTGCAGTTTTGAATATTATCCTCAAATGAGACAAACCTACTTGTTGACAGGCTGGCATATTGGAAAGCAACTCGAGGAAGTTTAACTTGTCACAAACCTTACATGTATGTTTAAAGCAATGCAGACATACATGCAGAAAACTCATCTGATGGATAAAGAACCTTTGTAAGGCTCAAGGGAGTCCACTGTTAAGAGGAATTTGGCTTGCAGAGGCTTGCCTTCTTTGTATGAGGTTCTACCCTTCTCCCCTCCTCCAAGAGATTTACAACATTCAACTCAACCAATAGTTTAATAACTGATGGTCTCTCTTTTTAACAAAAGCAACAGCCTCACTACAACTTTCTTTGTACAATTCTAAAGCATTAGCAGCATATTAACAATGCCATATTACATTAAAAATGAGCTAAAGAGTTATACTTAAAGAACTCAATGATTCTCTAAGGGAGACCTGTTAACAGACCAATCGCTATTTATAGCTTGGGGGGCATCAGAGGATTTTGGGAGGATCACTAGGTTTTCAGGGAGATAGAGAAGGAATCAGTTGTCTCTGACAGAATTTTGAGGGTGGCCATAGAAAATTGACTTCAAATTTTTTTTTTTTGGGGGGGGAGGGGGAAGGATGTTATAAGAATACCACACAGCCCTATGGGGGGGGGGAACAGGTAAGTTTTTATATTGTGATACACAAACCCTGTACCCTTCCCCCTCTCCCCCAAGCAATAATTAATGAACAGTCCCTAAAGGCGTTTAAACAGTCATCATAATCCTATTCTCCGAATAAGATTCAAACATGGTAAATGTTTTTTTCCCTGATTATAATATAGTGTGAGCCTCTTAGGCGTTATGAAAAAATCTAACAAATGCGTGACTACAATCGATGAAAGAAAATGATGTTAACAAATCCCTCAAGCCAGAATGTTCCGTCTTATTTTTCAAATTAGCTGCATTGTCTCATAGAACTTCTGCCCACTATCGAATAGTCTGGCTTTCCTACCCAGGCGTTTGTTAGTGGCTCATATCCATCGACCATAAAATCCCGGATGCAACCAATGAAATTAGGTTCCAGGTTCAAACTTGTTGGAGCTCCCAGGAAATATGCTGTTGCGGTCGGTATATCAAGACGATTGTAACCTCCTGGAGCTTGTCCAGAGACTGAAGAGACAAAATATAAAAGATTTTGTTGTCAATCAACGCAGAATGCGTGTGAAAGTAAAACATCCTATCGTTCGTTCTCTATGGCTTCAACCAAGGGAGAACTATTCTCATTTGTTTCAACCGAGAAGCGACGTGTGCGGCTTTCTTCACTCCTGAAGAGCAACAAGTGATTTGTACCTGCGGCCTTAAGAAAGAAAAACTTATCTGTCCAAGAATATTGTTTGTGCTAGACGATAACCTTGGGTTCTGCGCTTTTAAATAACTATGAAAACTGCAGTTTTCCTTGAATTTCCTTGAAGGTGTTTTCTGATGACATACTTTTGGGGCGCTTTTCGATTGAAAGTCTTTAAATCACGACGGCCAGGCAGAAGAAAGGAAAGTATTGCAAATGGCCAATGAGAACTCAAGGTAAAAATAACCAAATTTTCTAAAGCGCGGGAAAACGTAGGCGACCAAGTTGTGATTGGTTTAAGTTTTGAATCTGATTGGTTGAAAGGGTAGCACCAGTTTTCTAGACTAAGGAGCGAAGTAAAGCATATCCAATCCAATCTTGGATAACTTTCAACACTCAATTGAAAAATGCTCTTCTACTAATCTCGCAACCTGAAATATTCGGTATACTCTTGGCTTACAAGTTGGCTCACTGTTCTTTACAACTAGAAGCAATGAGAAAAGCAGTCTACTCACGAGTTACGTCGTCAATGCTGATGGTAAGCAATCGGTCGGCGCGGGTCAGGTGGACCTTGTGCCAGTTATCGTCGTTTAGTTTCAAGTTCTTTGTCTCCATCCTTTTTGTTCCTATGAAACAATTTGCCCAACGAATCAGCTTCTATTAAATACGAAACGTTTGTTGTACTAACAGATAAAAAGAAAATTTGGGAGAAAAGGTATACGAGCTGAAAAAACTTGATTCTCGTGGTGGGTAAACAAATCAACTCTTCTGTAAAATTTTTTAAATATTCTGCTTTCCCAATGAACAAAGAACCAAGAGTCATTCTGTATAATTAAAATAATCAAGATACGTATTTTACAATTTATCCCTTCACTTGCTTGCAAAAGGTCTTGAGGGTCATCCTACATTTATCTGTATAAGTTGTGTGTATCTTAACTCAGCTATAATCTGGTTTGTCAACTGATCATGACGCATGAGTTATTATGTAAAAATTGACCACCGTAAAAAGTTTTGTGAAGCTGACGTCTCGAGCGTTAGCCTCTTACTCTTCAACCTAGCACTGTGCTATCGCTCGAAACGTCAGCTTTATAAACACTTCACGGTGGCTAGTTTACATTAAAAACAAACGATCTTGTAATTCCCCCCCCCTCCCACCGAAGTAGCATGAAAGTTTCTTTGACTCAGTACTCCTTCATAAACAGCCATCCACACTTTCAAACTGGACAATGCTGAAAAATGCTAAAAAAGTGACTAGCATCTAAAAATCTCCTTACAGTATCACCCATGAGGGTCACGAGAGTAACGGAACTAATCACCAACTAAAGAAGCTCTTGATTATCAAACAAATTCTCCTTATCAGCTCCTTAGGGAATGTATAGAGAACAGAATGGAGATTATGCATACTGATGTTAGGGTGTAAAAGGATTAAGGCTTAGGTACCTGTGCCCAGCTCAATGTGGTACATAAAAACATTGCTATCCTTGTAACCAATGTAAATATAATCCTTGTAGTATCCTTTGGCATACATGATCATTCCACTCGATTGAGTACTTTTAAACTCAAAGCGGATATCATCGTGCTTTCTGTCATTTCTTGGTTTGAAGTTTGCAATGGTTGTATAACCCAATCCAGTGGTACACACACACCGACCTGTTCAGCCAACAAAAATTTAGGAATCTGTCATTATTTATCGCAGGGGAGGGGGTCGGGGGATTTTCTTTGATATCACATGATTTCCGGGGGGGGAGGGCGGAAGAGAAGTCAGTCAGAGTATGAAGGTGGAACGGTAGATACATGAGAGCTTCTTTCATCCCTATCACACACCAGCCTCTCTTTTCTTACTCCCTTTAGGAGCCTCGCTATACAGGCTGCGCTTCTCTGATAGAGTCAATTGTTAATATTGCAGAATATAGAAAACATGTATTCAAAGCGAAAGTTGCACTTGAATAAGATCAGTAGTTGTACTGTTATAAAATGAACTTGATCTAAAGTAGTTGTTCACGTCTATTTAAAAGTTTTTTTCATGAGGCGGTAAATACTATGCTATAAAACATAATTATACCACCTACATAGATTTTGATATTGGTATTTGCGCATAACCACCATGGTAGGGGGATCATGAACAACCCAACTGCCAGTAAGGGGAGATCGTTAGAATACTTCAGAGTCTAATAGGGGATCAGGTAAATTTTTTTAGTCACAAACAAAATCCTCGTTATCCCCCCCTCAGGCAAAAGAAAATGTACTTGGCCGCAGACAACGAAAAGTGTCAAGTCACGCGCGCAAAAGCCGGCCCGCGAGTGTGCTATTGGTGTGCTTTGCCATGCAAGCCCTTGCTACGCAGCTTAGATCGCAGACGAACCTTTCCGGTATTTCACCTTCTTCAAGACGAGTGATGTTATATTCCAACTGGAATCCTGTTGATGTTGTTGAACTATCAGTGGTGAAAGAAAACTTGACTTCCCTTCCTTTTTTCTCTATTAAAGGAGGGAGCCGGTCTGCGCCCCCCCCGCACTGTGTATCACTGTCGCTCTCGTCACTAACCACTAACTTGTCAAAATCGCACGTCTCAGAATCTACGGAGCAAAACGATAACATATATATGAGAAACTTGCTAAGTTTTTTTCAGGAAAAATACTCGTTGCAAAGTTTTTTACATACTGGTAACAAAGCAGGAATTGTTCTTACATTGCAAAGCAAACTTCTGGAACGTGACAACAGCCTTGTAGTTATCAGGTACGTCCAAAGTTAATGTGCAGCTCTGGTCGTTTGGATAAAAGTTGGGAAAATTTGGTGAATAAAGCGCTCCTTTCATTGTTTCTGGCGAGTCAGGCTTGATCTTAATTTCTCTTGTGGGACAAATGTCAGAGCCTTTTGGTGCTGAAAAATACAATGAAGGAAAAACATTATCCAAATCAGAAACTTCGGAATAGAGTAGTATTCAATTGAGCATTGAAGGTGATCCTGGTTGACTTGTTTTTGCTTTTTGTTTGATATCGTAGCATGCCATAACACATAGTTCGCTGAGCGCGCCTTATTATTCCATACCTGGACGTATTGCGCCGAAACGAGCCGAACCATAACCTACTACACCACATCGCACTGAAATATACCCGTATCGTACCAAGCCATACCATATCGCACCGAAATATACCCGTATCGTACCGAACCGTATCCGTATCGTACCGAACCGTACCACATCGTACCGAAACATACCCGTGTCATTCAGAACCGTACCGTATCGTACCGATACATACCCATATCGTACCGAATCGTACCTTATCGGACCAAAACATACCCGTATCGTACCGAACCCTACCATATTGTACCGAAACATATCCACATCGTACCGAATCGTACCATATCGGACCGAAACATATCCATATCGTACCGAACCGTACCATATCGTACCGAAACATACCCTTATCGTACCAAATAGTACCATATCATATCGAAAGATACCCGTATCGCACCAAAACGAAGCCATATCGTACTGAACCGTACCACACTATATTATACCATACACTACAATATCAGCTTCTCCATACCCACAAGAGAGTGTTCCCTCATGCCCAAGCTTCTCAGTTAAAACATTTAATCTTGAATGTTAAGGAAATGAAGCGTTTGGCAGATGTTCATTTTGAGCATTTGTCACCTCGCCGACATGTCAACCCGCCGATAACCAACTCGGCGACACCATTGGTCGACTCGCCGACACCTTTGGTCAACTCGAAGTGGCCGGGTACTCAACTTGCCAACTGAGGGCGAGTTGATTAAAGGCGTGGGCGAGTTGATTAAAGGCGTGGGCGAGTCGACCAAAGGTGTTCGCGAGTTGGTTGTCGTTGAAGTGACCGGTTACCCTCACAAATCAATTTTACTTACGATCTGTCTCAACAGCGAAGGAGGTGAACGAGATGTTGAAACCTTTAATCTCAAAAGATTCGTCCGACTTAAAGCCGATGGAAATCTTATTTCCTGTCGATGTATACTCCGGGGGAGTTCTTCTGCCACAGTATCGAGAGGTTCTTGGGCCATCGATGATGATCACAGCGTCATAGTTACACTCGTTTGGATCTACGAAATAAGTTATATGTTTACAGTTTAAATCTTCGCTCGCGTAAAAAATGTTTACTCTCAGAAGCTCACACATAAGTTATTAGAGGAGTGCGCAGCGCGCCTCAAAGCGACGCAAAAGCCAATTGTTTGCTGTGCTGTCGGCCACGGTATTAATTCCATGTATGCGAGGAATATTACATCTAAATTGGAAATTTCTACGAAGAAATTGAGCCATGCTATTAGCGATACGTTCTTGATTAGCCCCCTAACTACCAGATTTGATTAACATTTAACTTCTCCCTGTAGTGTTCATACATTATTCAGCTAACAGGTAATGAGAATGCTTAAACTTATAATGTAGAAATTGCTCTGTTGATCTAACACCAATTTCTGGTAACTAATTTACAAGGAAATGCACAGCAGCTAGAGGGGAGAATTCACAACCAGATCTTGGGAGTTTAAGGGTTAACAATACCTTTAGAAAGTTATGCGAACATTAGAAATTTAGCACAACTTGATATTTAAAAGACTTTTAACAAATAATGCAAATGAAAAAGTTTAGTTTATAACGCACTTACCATTATCGTCTTCTTCAACTTCAAAATGTTCAAACTTCAGCTTGATTTTAACACTGTTTCCACCATCAATGGTCAGAACACAGTTTACATCAGAAGGGTAGGCATTTGGAAAATTCGGTGAAGTGACTTCCCCTCGAGTGGCCTGAATCTCACGAGAAGGACATACAGAGATCCCTAAGAGCAATTATCACAAGTTGTAAGTAGTTCTTACTCACCGAATTAGAGGTTCCGTTTCTTACAGTATGGACCGAGAAAAACGAGGTTAGTAAGATATTTATTATATGTATTCAATTTAGCGGGCCGGACAGTGAAATACGGCAGGTTGAATTGACCAATCTAAGTGCGCATACTAACTGCGAGATACGGGTGATCTACTTTTAAACTCATATGGATACTTTTTCATGCATTCGATAGGTTTTGATAACACATCATTTAAGAACGTTTCATCATTTAAGAACTTTTCTAAAAAAATACGCTACAGATGTACCATTCAGTTCTCAACTTCAAAAATACATTTCAAGCTAAAAATTTAGTCCGTGGCGATAGCAGAAACATCAACGAGAGCAGGAATGCAAGACTTTGTTCGTTACAGGGTAATATTTTATAAAAAAGTCAACATAACTTGACCATCAAGTCCATTAATATGGATGGTAGATTATAGATTATAGACATTGTACAACTGGAACCCACAATAGAAAACATTTATCCGTAATTAAATCGGACACTTTGCGTGACTATGAAAGGAAAAAATAACCGACCATTAGGGGTCAGCAATTTACAATACCTAAGTTTGGATCAGGGAAGAAATCGGTTCGACTGTTTAGTTCATTAATATGTTAATAACTAGTGGTAACTACCATTCGAAAATTCTAGAATCCCTCTATGGTTTACATTTCGCAATTAACAGTTAATTTTAAGTGTTTCCGGAAATGACATATGGCGCTCGACTAAAATATCTTTTCTTAATTCAATTTTTCATTAATTACATATTTCTTAAATGAAAAACAGATTTGATATTTTTTATAAATTGGGTAGGGGGGGGGGAGATGAATGTGAACGAATGACGAACTTACAAGTTATAAGGAAAACCTATTGCAGAGTTCTTGATCAATTTGATAAGAAACCCTGGAGAAAGGCGTGAAATTGAAAATTAATAGCGTGGAAGAGCTCTACCAGAGAAATATTAGCTCGTATAAATGAAGTGGAACAAAGAAAAGGTTTTTGTACGTACAACTTAGAGGCTTCTTTTCTGAGCTCATTCCAGTGGCGTTAAGTTTTCCGAGTTCGCTTTTTATGCTGACTAATTTTCTACTCACCCATGATTTGGTCCACCAACGCAACAAGTGAAAGACACAGAAATATCCTCTTCGTCATGGTTTTTGTCGCCTGAAATCAGAATGAAAGCAATGTATTTTAACTTTCGAGTGTGTTGGACGCCCACGATTATGCTCTCCTCAAAACTCCCAAACACAAGTGGTCTAAACTCAACCAGGCTAATTTAATTTCATTCACAAGAGGCGTTAACATCAATATCTGCCAAAACTTCATTTAAGAGGCAATATTGGCTTACAAAGCAGACGGTGTTAAATTGCCGTGACTGATGTTGTGGTTGGTATTCAAAGACGGCGAAATTAAAAACATGCAGTCTGAAGCAACATTGATCACCTTTGCAAAAATAAGATTGCTTCCATCAACTATTCTCGACACCAGAAGACAAACTTGTTTTAGTCATAAGGTGATTTTCTAAGAGGGTCTCAATGGGGTTAACCGCTAGCCGTAAAACAGCCATAAAGTTTAACCGTTAGGCGTTAAAAAAGTTCACACAAAAACATATTTCTGGTGACAACAATGGAAAGATGTTGACTGTTAGCCAAAAATTGGCCAAAATTTTAACCTTTAGCCGTAAAAGCTGTCACCCGATTGAAATCCACTTCTCTCGGAGCTGTTGTCGCACACTCACAATATCGAACAGTATTTTTTTTTTTTTTGGCAATTTAGAGATACTGTACTAGAAATCTTTGTAAGTATTACGTGATGCGGTGTTGTAATTTTTCACCCGGGATATTGACCGTATGATTTCCTGTTTAACTAAGTTAATTAAATTTTCTGAGCCCCACATTAAGATAATATTTCAAAGAAAATTGTTACTTCAGCCAGCTCGATCAAAATGATCCCTCCCGGCAGACTGAGCACAACCATTTCTTTAGAAACTACTTGATAATTTGCTGCAGTCTTGTATCTCACAGGAAAACTTGACACGAGCTAAGCTCAATATCTAGTACTTCTCCCTAATGTTAGCAACGATGATGAGAGTTTTAGGTTAAAGAGAACCATGTTCAGATTGTTTCCTCTGCCAGCCACCAACCGCATTAAAGTGTGATGTGTCGATCTTGTGTTAGGCACCGACTGTTTACTCATCAACCCTGAGGCATCACACAAATCTCCTGACCGAACGTATTAGAATATATTGTTAACTGTTTACTTAACCATCGGTTAAGGGGCCAAAGGAAGTACAAATCATTATGACATGAACCATTTATGTTTTTCTGCGGGCCTCTCACAGAGAAATGATCATGAGTGAAAATACCTCACACGGGGACCGTCAAATTAAAAGCTTTCGTGTTGGGCTGTCATTAGTTTGATTTTTGTCAGAATATAACAAATCACCTTAAACTAGGACAGAACAACTTAACCCTTTAATTACCATGTGTGACCAAGACAGAATTTCTCCTTCCAGTATCATTACAATATCAAGCAGACAAGTGATGAGAATAAAGAAAAATATGAATTAGGGGATTATTAATTGATCCAATACCAAATTCTCTAAACTGGCATCACAAGAACTATATGGTAGAGAGTAAGAAGAATTACTAATGAGATCTTGGGAGTTAAAGGAATAAAGGAGCAAGTAAACAAAGCTATTTTCCTTATTTTCAATATGAACGCGACAAACGCTGTTAGTTTTTTTGCATCTGTCAATGAATCTAAGTGGCACTGTTAAATTTGTCTACTTTCAATGAGAATGCATCAGACTAACTGTAGAATTCAGGCTTCAAAGACTTTTTTATTCGTGTAATCAGTGTAATCCTTACTCGAGATTGATTACACGGTATCGTAGGTTGGAACAAAGTGATGGAAAAAGTTTACCAATAGTTTCTTAACAAAGACATCTCATTCAAAGACTAGAAGCTGACCATGAAACGAGCAATAATTGAAACCAAACACACTGTAGTTGATTTCAGGAAGCAATTTTGCTGCTCCGTGGTATGATTTTACAATAATCATTAAAAACCATAGAGGTGAAGAGTTGGAGTTATGGCCAATTAAATGAAGAGAATTTTTCGACGATATACAATATCAGTGAGATGATTTTAAAAGCATAAATACCAAGAAACCACAGAGGACCTGACCTAAATGAAAATAGTCTTCTCACTCTTCCTTCACTAACTTTCATCAAGAAAAATCATCAAAGCCGCAATGATATCCATCATTCGTCCGCTAGCCGAGCATATGGCTTTTCCGAAGTATTTTCCAGCATGAAATAGCCTTTAGTTGTCCAGTTTTGAAAAAAAGAGGAAGAATGAAAGAGATGAAGAAAGAAAGAAAAACGCTTCTCTCAAGAAATAACCGAAAATCTGTGAATCTTCTTTGGAAAGAACAAATTCGCTGTGGAGTTACTTCATGCGAAAAATTAGTGTTTATTGATAGCTCAGGTAAGGTGGTTATGAGGATATACGCGCTCTGATTGGTCGAGGATTAAGACATATTTTGCGGTGAAACAATTATAACGTGAACAGGAAAGCACTACTCTTCAAACGACCACCACGCGAGTTGTTGATATTTCTGAAGAGGGAATGTACAAAGTGAGAGAAAGAGCAGTTTATCTCATAATCTTTCAGTAACTGCACCTCACTATTCTTCTCGTGCTGAGCGAATTTTATCAAGGAGCATCTGTAATAAAATTACAGTGATGGCAACAAGCTCTTAATCTTGGCGTGGATTTGCTAACTGTACCACACGTAAATAGTTTTACATTCAATTTGTAGGAATTATGTGGCATAACCTTTTTTTCGCTTTCATTGTTTAATTAATGAAATTAATTAAAGCGTATACCTACTTTTCGGTTCTTAAAGAAACTCTAAAACCGAGCTGGCTAAAACTAAAAAAGTAATTGACAGTGCCAATTACTAAATATGGTAGGAATTTTTTGCAAAAATTTTGTAAATCAACATTTTTTGAAATAGCGATAGTCTATACAAGTCTTGAAACATGTCATTGTTTAATTACTGCCATGTTGTTCGGGTGTTGGCACCCCTCCCCTCCCCCGAACCGAAACGCTGGAATTTAATTCTTACGGCTGCATTGCAAAATTGTCAACATAAAAACCCCAAAGCACACCTATTTTACGATACATAAGATAACCCAGAAAAGACAAAAACTGATGAAATTTGTTGCTGCCATGCACACCAGTAAGTGCATTAAATCCGGATCAATTTTCGAAAAACATTGAGTCGTGGACCATAGGAGCCATCCTCTCCTATGGTACAAGCGTCAACTATGCGACTGGCCCACCCATCCTCTCCCATGGTACAAGCGTCAGCTATGCGACTGGCTCCTTAAAGTCTCCTAAAAAAGCAAGAATTTCCTGTTCTTCCATTCAGACACAGCGGGCGCGGAGAAAAATAGCGTTGTTTCAACTTTCAGCGGAAGAGTAAATAAGCTTATTTCTGTAAAGGATACCGAACTGGTAATGTTTTCATGGGGTGCAATAGAAATAAATAAGATAGTTTAGGAGGACATGGATCATCTTTTGATAGTCGGTTTCAACTTAACTAAAGTTTTTTGAGTGAAAGTGATGCTGAAAAAGTTAAATGAAAACTTACGAAAAACTATTTGAGACTTTGCTACTGAGGAATACCAATTGAAATCAGCGAAAATCATCTCGTTCCACAAATTGAATTACAAAAACAGAAAGGCGTCGTCATTTCTATTTATATTCCAAGCACCATTTGTTTTTGATCTTCGTACAAAGGCCGAACAAGGTATCAAGTTACAAGTGCACTTTCACCCACACGATCAAGTTTGTTGTACAACCACATCGGCATTATAGAAAGAAATGACCCCCGATTTTACTTTCAGTCAGGTGGATTTCTCTCACACTCCCTACAGATAAGTTTAATTTTTTGGCACCCCTGTAATTGCTATTTTAAGTAAAGAGGAAGTACCTTTGTTTTTAGCGTTAAAACGTTCCTCCCATCTATGACTCTAAAAGAATTCATTTTTGACCATGGCGCTCTAAGTGAACACAAACACAGACATATAGTTTTTCCTTCCGATTTTCAGCCGTTTTTGCTTTGGTCTTGCGACTTTAGGTTGAATATCAAACAAGTCGTAAAATTTCGCTCTGACGAAGGGCTAACCCTCGAAATGTCAACTCTGAAACTCTGCAAGATGGCCTATAGATACATCATCAACTCAGTTGATAGAGCCAAATTATCTAGTCCTAAAATGGACGTTATAAGGAGATGTTTCATAGAAAGTTTTCAGTATTATGATCACCTCATTTTAATATCACTCGTTTCCGTGCAGGAATGTTTTCTCAAAAAAACAAAAGCAAAGAAAAAATGAGACTCGAGCAGAAGCATAAATATGTCGTTATATACTTAAAATAATTAACAAATATGAATTAAATGACTGACCGGTGAGACTGAAGGGCGAAACGTGTCCCGCTAGTTAGCAGAACTTTCCTTCGAACGGATGCACCCAAAACAAACTCCAGGTTTGATTACAGTTGCGTAATGCTCGTGAGCTGACAGGAAATTCATACTAGTTAGACAGCGGCACACGGTAAGCCGGAAATAACGCAGTGAAAGAGATGACAAATTATCATTGTCACGCCATCTAACCTCAGTTTTCTGTAAAAGCTCGACAACTCAGTACGAACTTTATAACAAGAATATAGTAGCAAGGCCATGAAATGAAAGTTTGGCATTAAAATCTAAAATGAAACCTAACTTTGTACACTAAATGTCCTGGCGCAAAAATCTATACTTTGGATCTGTTAGGAAAAGCATTGAAGTCCGAAACTGTTCGCGTTTCCCTGTCTGCTCAAAATATTGCCTTGTCAATGACACCAAAAAATATTTTTATACTGATTTAACTTTGAATACTTCACGACGGTGACAGTGGGATGCGAGAAGGTTATATAATTTGAAATTCACCCTGACGCCAAAACAATGCAACTTTAGCGTATTGTTTAGAGAAGATATGAACAAATGATCTCTTTGAATGCCATAATACTAACCTTTACAGCATAGTTATTACGAGATTACAGTATTACACAAAATCGAACCCAGCTTGGGGATTCGTATACAAATGTGAAAAACTTAATGAAACTCGCATAGTACGAGTGCAGTACAGAGATTTATGGAGTCGTTACGCAATTAAATAACATCAAATGCAGTTAAACATTATTTTCTCTTGACGTAAATAGATCTTTACTTCAGGGTTCATTTAGTGTCATTTATATTCAAATTTCTGTTATTGGTACTATCATTACACCAGACGCCACGCAGTTAAGTTAAAAACAACGCGATGAATAACAAGTTGCAATTATTAAACCCGGTGATGTTTTCGTAAGCAACAAACCCAGCCATAAAACTTCCTAAACACTAAATGTCAACTTTACAGTGTGGTGAGTTCTTGGAGATGAAAATTTTTAAAGCATTCTACCAAACAACTGCACTATGAATAAATTCTAACTGGTTGAAGGATGGTGTAGGAACGCCCTTCCTGACATGCTTCCCTTTAGAATTTATTTGTCCCGCGGAAAGACAACGACAAACTAGTTTGGCATCCAGAAACATCTTTAGAGTAACCTAGGATTTCTGTTATCGACACAAGTTTGTTTATTCAGCTCGACATATGAGAGAGGAACAATGCTCTAACTAGATCTACCACAGTCGGATACTACAGGATACGCAGGAAACTTAGAGACGCGATCATTACTGACAACCAATATTACTCAACTGAAGGCATGAAGGGCAAAACAATAGCGATTTCACTAAACATTTGTAAGACTACGTACTAACCTTTTATCGGCTTCACCACAGATTCTCCAAACGTCTGAAGGCTAAATTGTCTTGTCGTGTCAGCCTCTGAATGAACTCTTTCTTCACGGCTCTTTTCGGGTACTTTTAAACAACTAACACCAAATATAACTTTCAGTCCAAATTGAACTTTATGGAGTGATGAGGGCGTTATGAAACTTACCGGAAAGCGGGGTCAAAACTCGAGCAACGGGCAAGGCTCACGGCAGACTAAATGTTTTGTTATGTAAATCACAAATTTTTATGGTCTTGTCTTATTGTTTTGAATCTTTTGAAGCTTACCACAGACTTTGAATAACATAGAAGTGTACTTATAGGTTTAGAAAAGCAATTTGTTTCCAAATTTGGTCAGGTTCCTCCAGTCTTCAGATTGTTTTTTTTTCTTCTTTACAGGAAACACTCAAATCTTATTATAACCTGTATTACTTGGTGTTCAAAAAAGTATACCTTTCTGGAACTTTAAAATGAAGAGAAAATGCTGTTAAACCGGAAAAGATTAACTCAAGCTAACAAGCGCACTAGCTGATTTTACAGGACTGCCATGCTGAACAGGACTTCCATGCAATCAAACAGACGGTCGGAATACTTGATCATAATCACTAACAATCACTAACAACGTCTTGATGTAGGATAAATATGATGATCGGGAGTTGTATTCTTGATCTACAAGCTGAATAAACTTAATCAGTAGCCCGTGACTCCGAAAGGACACAAAAACTGATCATGAACTTCGCCCCTTTTACACGCAAGCGTCATCAACCTCTTCCCACAATCCACGCCTTCTTCTTTCAATCACAAGAATCTGAGTCAAGAGGCCAAAGTACAAACTTTCGCCATCTAGAGAAGGAAGAAGATAAAAATTGGAGAACATTCCATTCCTCCCTGTTATTTTGCTGTATTCTGCGAATGAAGTAATTTTGTCGCACACATTCTGCATATGTTTATCTCTGAACATTTTCCTAGAGAAGTCTAACAGCTCTCCTTCGGTTCTTGCATTAAATTGCACTAAGCACCAGTAGCAACTGAGGACCGAACTCTTTCTTAGATTAGGAAAAAAATAAACAAAAAAAAGAATACTCCGAAAACAAAATTTTATTTATCATCCTCCAAAACTTATGTGACATGAGCCCTAGGCTGTCAATGGAGGAATATTGATTTCGGGTTGGAATATCAGTGAAATATAAGCTGATAAATATTCATCCTCTGTAAACGGAATTACAAAATCAAAATTGCTGAACAGCAATAACTGGGATCTAACTGATAATTAACGAAAGATACCAACAATTTTTATTCTATTGGATGCCTCTTGTGATAGCTACTCGATGAATTTCAGTTTCCCATATCTCTTGTAATTCTGCTCCTCTGAGTTCCGGTCCTCTTTCAATATTTATGTTTTTCTTACATTTTTAATCACCGAGCTAAATGCATTTGACCTAATTAGCTATCACGCCCAGTGTAATGGATTCCAATTTGACTCCTCAGCAGGAGGTAGTTAGGAATCCGTGGGGAACGAAAATAAATAAAGCGTGCAAGTGATTTTTGCAGCGTTTCAAAACAACAAAAGTTATCAGTTTTTTTCTCTGAGATGTTCCACAGATTTGACGTCTATGCTTATCCATTGGCTGCTATATACAAATATCCGGTGAAAAATTAAATAGAAATTAAATTAAAAAATGATCCGAAACAAAGCACAATAAAACTTAACAAAAAATAAGAAATATGATAATATTGAAAAAAAAATCCTGAACATGAACAGCAAGGAAATCGAAATGTGTTGAATGTTTTATCTTTGTTTGCTAAACTAGTTTATTTGTCCAATTTTTTAAATATCCCTTGGCACTTATGGAAAAAAATCAATCACTCTTCTGTACAGCAAATTTTAATCTTTTATATCAGTCGATCCCTTTAGAAAAATGTAAGTCTTGTTCTATTTTTCATGAGTTTTATAGAACGCTGATTTGTAGCTTCTGCTTTAGGATTAGAAAAAAAATTGTCAAAAGGAAAACATAAAACATCCGGACAGTTTTCATACATCACGCAATTCACTGAAAAAAAAACTATTAAAGGTTAATTGAAGAGGATATGGGAACCAAAACAGCTGAACTGATAGAAGAGTATGAGATATTCTGGGCCGTGCTTGGGACAGAGGGAGGGGAGGGGGAGGGGAGAAAGGGGGGAGGGGAGGCTCTCCGAGGCCTCTTAACCTTGTCCCAGTGAGAAAATTCTCGCTTCTCTTTTAAGAAATAAGTCGCGTAAATGGTTGCAAGTGAAGAATTTTCATAACAAGATTTAAAAATAAATAAAGAGGGCAATTTTCTAAAGAAACTGTGGTGCTGCGTCGGTGGGAGAGTATAACAGAGTAATTTAGTGCATAGTTTCAAAACTTGGAAACTCTTTACGGAGGCCAATTTACGTTATCAAGTAAGTTACTACTAACAAATTGCTAAAGATTTAGAAATAGTTGAGTGCCACTCATGCATACCAAGTACCGCCACGTTGATACCTTGTTCACGACTCAAGAAAAAAAAAACCGCTGAGCCAATATCATAAGCCAATTTGGCATATACCTGTAGTCTTGATCATGTTAAATGAATTATTTACAACAATCAAATCATAGCATAGATTAGTAGCTTTTATTACATTGCTTTCGTTGCAAAGAATCATGCACAATTGCAACAAATTTCCTGCTGGATCACTTGTCTTTCGGCTACATTTACAATTACAATTACATATTCTCAGTTTACTTTAAAATCAGTTGCCTTGTGGCAGTGCTTAGTCTTACTCTTGGTCACTTTCGGTGCATAATTTCATTTCATCCTTGTTTGTAACTGAGTAGCCGCTTGCTCCCCCCACAGCATTTGCAATTATTGCTTCTCCATCAACCTTGAGATCCCGAATGCAGCCAATAAAATTTGGAAAATTCGGCGCGCCCAGGAAATAACCCTTTGATTTTGGTATATCGAGATGGTTGTAGTCTCCGGGAACTTCTCCAATAGCTGAAAAAAATAATAGTAATAATAATACTGAAAAGAGTCAAATGAGGCAGAAGTTTGTTTCTTACCGATTTATTTAAAATGGGTTGAGTAAGATACAATCTCTTACTTCGTGGAAATCCCTTGATTTATATTCAATCATTATCTTCTCTATCTGATCCTAAGACTCATGTATAAAATGCATGACAATGCAAAAATTGAAAGATTACAAATACAACTATTTCAAATAGATCAAATTTGAAAGTGAAATGTATTATTACAGAATTAACATCTGCACCAAGTGCTGAGTTACAACGATCAGACAGTTCAGATCAGATCAACGATCAGTTCTTGAGACACGTGTTGTTAATGTTCAAATGCATTCATGCACAATTACATTACGGCACGAACACGATGGACGCTGATCAGTTTGCTGATCGAAAGTAGAAATACAGACTAACACGATCTTTTCGAAACAGTTCTTTATTCTTAATCGCTTCTCCAATGAAGAAATTTATTAAAAAAGTCTGAATAAATCATAGCAACTGATTTCTGTCTGGATGATATGATAAACAATAGTGATTCGTGGAGACCTTTCGAATCTATGCATCAGTGAAAAACGAAAACTAAGCGTCAAAAGGGCTTACGCTTGATGTTATTTTTTTAAAAACTAGACCTCATAACATGAACTATATCTCTTATACCTTGTGGTTTACTTGCATTGTCGATGGTTATGTTGAACGAACGTCCAACTCGCTCAAGTCGAAATGTGTGCCATTTGTTGTCGTCCAGCTTCACGCCCTTTGCCATTATTTTTCTTCCCTGAAACAAATCACAGTGACCACGTCAACCAGTTTTAAAATTGAAAGTTGAAGCATCTTGTTTCAAGCTCTTTAAAATCAGTACTTTTTCTTCTCATTTCTTTTTTCTAAGTTGCTCTAAGAACGATTTGCTGAGAGTGGATCGCATGCAAATATATATTTAATGTTTATTTAATCTCATACAATACAAGTTCGGTCGATTACATCTCGGTTACAAAATCTCCTTACCTCTTCCGAGGTCCACAAGGTACGTCAGTTCGTCGTTATGATTATATTCCACGTGAATATGGTCGTCATAGGTACCCTTAACGAACATGATTGTTCCAAACGGCTTGGAGCTCTTGAATTCAAAGTGGATGTCGTCTTGTTCTCCGGCCTTTTCATCCTCGTAGTTTTCAACGGTAATATATGATGAGCCGCTGAAGCAAGCACAGTTACCTACGAAGAGGTCAAACAATGATGCAACATCTCCAACATTTTTGCATCAATGATCTGCCATCCTCTCTGGATTTTCCTTAATCTCTTTTCTTTCATAGATTGTTGTTTTAAGATTGAGAATTTATTATGAATTTCAGAGGCACGTCAGGGAAAAATCGTGGTACAAACATATGTACTTTCCCGTATAATTTTGTAGTCTATATATAGAGCTCTGTCCGTTTATCTAAAATGTTTTCTTGAACTGCATAAAAATAGATTCCAAGAACAAGAAACATTCGATACTGCCTTATCACATATCTTTCAACATAAAGCGAATGCATGAAATAGTCAGGGTTTGGCATATCATGATGATCATCTTTCCCGCGTTTCAAACTTTAGATCGATCGGGCATTTAACAAAGAATTGCTTTGGCATGCCCAGAATGGTAAGTTGTTGGGGCGTCTCGAATTTCACCCTCCTCGGGCTAAAGGATTATCGAAATTGCAGGAAAATACGAAATAGTACACAACATTTGTTTAAATTTTTGGGGAGTGTTCTGACTATAGAAATTATGTTTGTGACACTCTCATAAATTCCATTTCAATATGTATAAAATTTCCCTCAAGCAATAACCGTTGAGAATTCACATTCCCCTTTTGAACACTGTCTTTATTCTTACTACATGTTTGTCAAACAGTGTTCTGATTTTATGAGAAAATTTCCTGATTGATCACTTGTGAATTTAAAGAGTTAATATATGATGGACTTACCCTCATCACAGGCAATGCTGATTATGCTCAGAAGTTTATTTTGCAGGTCTGTATAGTTCTTAGTTATTACCACATCGTTCTCGCTCTTAGCTATCTTCTTCAGTTCAGTTTTTTCCACGCTGTCGCCAATACCAACGGCTATCGTAACGACCTTTTCGTCGTGTAAAGGCTTAGATGCTTCTTCTAGGTCTGTCCCCGGATCGTTTGTTTGTTTCCCATCAGTAAGAAGGAGTGCAACCTTCTTTACGCCCTTTCTTTCTTTCGACTCGGGAATAAATAGATCCTTTGCCAATTTCAGGGCTTTGTCGATTAGTGTAGCACGACCTTGCTGGTGCTTCAATTTATCCACTTTTGCCTGAAAGCTTTTCAGGGTTGGGGCGTCACCAAATTTTATATTGACTTCAGCATTCTCACTGAATAGTATAACTGCTGCGCGACTCTTGCCCGGTGCAACGCCGAATTCCGCTGCTGACCTCTTCACAAAGTCCTTTATTTGATTATTGAAATTGTTCATACGAATGCTTGACGAGGAATCCACTATGAACACTACATCTGTTTCACTAGTGCATATGCTTTGTTCTGAAAGAGGATGCTAGTCATAATAAGTACCATTGCTTGGTCATGCTTGTTATTATTTTGACTGTTTCAACCTAATTCTAGATCGCTGTCGGTTTCGCTATTCAAAAGAATAAAATGCATGAATATTCTTCCAGAATGTCTTGTCATAGGACTTTACAGGTAGGTTTACTGATTTCGGGATGGTAATTTCCATTCCAAAAACACAGTTACATCTTCTAGCTGAGAATAACTGCAAAAAACTTGTTCGTGCGATTATCTTGCCTAGGGAAAACATTCCCACATTAACGCGGTTACACTTCGAAGCTACACTTCGACGAGTTATCACAAGTAATCAAAGTGCTCTGTGAGCAAACTCGTGAATTGACACATGATTTTTTAGATTATGTTTAATGTTATCTGGTTTAGGGAATTTTGTGGTTGATTGTCATATCTAGAGTACGAGCAGTAGTTCAGTGTTCGCTAATGTAGCAAAGAAACAAAGTAACGTTGGGATAAGAAGGCATTACAATTGAAATGATCATGCTATTACATTTGACAAGGTGGATGATGTCATGTGTTTTAAACGTCTATCATTTTTGTTTCTGGTTCAAAAGAAAAGGTTGGAAGTAAATGTGGGTGAAAAGTGAAATTTACTGTCTTTCGTTGTAAATATTAGAAAATCAAGGCAATATTGTCTTAATGAAAACATTAACGATTCCCTCTTTATCAAATGAGACAAACGGGAACGAGTTTTGAGTGATATAACTAAGCCAAGCCTGCCACCGTCATTTTGGATCTCCGCCTGGGTAGATTTAAGTCACGTGCTAGGCAACGTATAATCAATAACAAGATAGAATTTCATTTCAGGCCTATTTATCAATTTTGTGGTGTGTAACTTTCGCATTTTAGTACGTTGTATGTATGTTGAATCTTCAAATTGTCTTGAAACTTAAAAGAAAATTGTTCTTTAAAAATTCACTGAAAATCGGTAGCTAAAATTGTTTGTTTAGGTGTTATTTGATTTTCGTGTTAACTTGTTATTTCGTCAGTCGCCGGCATCTTCTGTTGCTTCACACAGGAAAAACACACGCGACGAAACGTAATGATCAATTTTGTCCTCAACTCACGCCATAACAGAAAAAGCTTTTGAACATCTGTAAACTCCGAGCGCTTCGCAGTAACTGATATTTTCAATGAATCTTCGGATTGTTTTCAAGTTCAAGGATTGTAAATTACAATTTTATGAAAAACGAAGGTTGTTCTGTTATTTCAGTGTGAATCCTTGCATGCCTGCCAGTCGCTGGCGCCGCTTGTTGAAACTAAAATGAAAAAAAAAAACTCTTTTAAGATTATCATTGGCTTCTCTTTCACCCCACCACTATTCTTAGCAACAAAGGTCGCCATTTCGTCTGTTTATTGCTCGCCAAAAACTATCAAATGCACTCAAAAGCCTAAAATCTAAAAAATGTTTACAGGAATCGACCAATCGAGCGAGCGAGCGAGCGAATGCCATTCCCCATACCGTATCTATAACTCGCTCTTGCGCATGCGCGCAATTCACGAGTTAAAAATGAACAACGTGATTATTTTCAACTACATGTGACTGCACGCTTTAATTCAAGATCAAATGGAGAGATTTGAAGCTCTTCTTTGTGACTAAAGAACTTAAAAAAAGAAATCTATTACAGAATACTATTCCCACTGCTCGTACTACAGCGTACTACAACCAGGAACTGACATATTAGAGGAATTTGCTGATGGGCTCGCCGGTCACAATACGGAATTTTCTTATTTGCAGAGATAGTCAGAGCAATAGTATTACCGGTGATACCTTCTGAGGGTTTTCACTTTACGGTGAGGCATAGAAACTGAACTTTCCATCATGAGCATGATCTCACTACCTCCCCCCGTTCCTCAGTTATCAGGATATACGAAGGCACTTTATCATTTCTGATCAAGCGAGCGGGCTTATCAAAATTATTTCCACACAGAGCCACACTTGAGGGGCTCAAAAATACTAAGGAGTAACGGTTTTACTTTCCAAATGATATTTTTCATAAGTTTATCGGTGTTAGGCCACCTTATAATTTTATCTGAAAACAACCATAAACATTCACATTAGCCAATTTTCTGTGCATTATTTGTTACCTTCGAAGCTTTTCTGCACCAAAGCTGACAGCGAAAGAAACAGAACAATCCAGGTCGTCATAGCCATATTCAAGTTCTGGAAATAAGATTTGAAAGAAAAAAGAAAAACAATAAAATATATATCAGTCGACGAAGGTTGAGCTTCAGTAGATCGATTTGTGAGTCCTACAATAATACAGAAGGTTACCCAAAAATCTATTTTCATCCTCTAGAAAATTAGCCACGGGATTTCATCGAGTTGAAATTTCTGGCGCTGTCACTTACGCTAGCTCCTTCGACGGAAAACGATTTTGCCTCGGGAAAATCTAACTCTCTCGTGTTCTAAAAACTTACTGCGTGCATTTAAATCTCGATATTCCACGAAACTGGCAGCCTGTTAGCATGAAAAAATTCTTAAATGTTATTATTTTTCACAGAATGGAAGGCAACCTACAGCAGATAACATTGAAATAAATAATCGGACGAAAGTATTTTCTCACCCTTGTCTTCCTCTCTGGTCTGATTGTTACCTCAGCCTTTGAATTTTGACCGTAAGATGCCTTTCTTTTAAACACTTGGGACTTAAAGCAATAACACGCTAATGGTTTTATTCAACTTCTCGCACTCTTTGCACTCAGCAGGTCACGGGGCGTGTAGGCTCCAGGATAATCATTCTGATCATAAAGATAAATTAGATGAAATCACGAAGAAGGCTACCGCGTTGTCTTACAGTTATTTCTACTAATCAGTGGTAAAGGGAAGTTTTTGAAGCCATCGGGCTGGTTTTTAAGACACTCTCATCTCATCTATACTGATATTCTTTGATGAAAAAATATCCATCTATCCTAAATCCACATGCAGAACACCTGTTGCTAAGATACCACTGATATCAAATTTCTTCCACAGTCGACACATTAAGGCTATTTCGCAAGCTTAGTTTCATTTCATGCTTTCGACTGATGTTAGGCTAATGATGCTCTTTCTGTTAGGCTATGAAAACATTGGCTTGGCCATGGCTACAAAATTGTGCTTTCGAAACGAAACTACATGTAAAAGTTTTTTCGACATTCCCGGCTTACTTGTTGTTGGAATGTCGAAATTTCTCTTAGACTGGAACAAGAATTAGATGGCTGCGTGTCGTTTGCTCCCGTTGTGTGAATCCACTGATAGACATCAAAGATAAAACTGAAAAGAATCCAAAAGTCGCCCTGTAATTATGTAAGTGAGCCATTTTGCAGGAGTCCAGATTGACAATTGAATCAGGTACAAATAGAGCAAGCTTCACAAGCACGACTACTGAAAAAGAGAGAGGTACAAACTTGAATAACCGACTTGTGCATTTCGATTAAAATTCAACAACATATCAATTCTGACAAGACTGTTGCAAAAGGGCTAATTCTGAAGAATTTCCGGAAGAAAAGAAAAAAATCGAAATTTATAAAAACGAAAAAAATAACAGTTGGAGCAGATTGGGATAAATTGATAGTACGTAAATTGATGGTATAATTTGAACGGTGTGGCTTTTAAGGCTGTTCCGTTTGAATCAAATGTCTTGTCGTTTCATTTAAAACTATGACAATAAAGGGAGGCATTTAGGTATGTCAACGAAGGGACAAGTGGTAATTTGCGTTAATTTGCTTTAGCGTTGATGACTTTTTTTTCCTACAAAGTTGGCACAGAGTCTTGAATTCTTGGAAATTATGGAAATGTGCACTCCGATGTAAAAGATAACTTTGCTAATCAAAGTGCTCTGTGAGCAAACTCGTGAATTGACACATGATTTTTTAGATTATGTTTAATGTTATCTGGTTTAGGGAATTTTTTGGTTGATTGTCATATCTAGAGTACGAGCAGTAGTTCAGTGTTCGCTAATGTAACAAAGAAACAAAGTAACGTTGGGATAAGAAGGCATTACAATTGAAATGATCATGCTATTACATTTGACAAGGTGGATGATGTCATGTGTTTTAAACGTCTATCATTTTTGTTTCTGGTTCAAAAGAAAAGGTTGGAAGTAAATGTGGGTGAAAAGTGAAATTTACTGTCTTTCGTTGTAAATATTAGAAAATCAAGGCAATATTGTCTTAATGAAAACATTAACGATTCCCTCTTTATCAAATGAGATAAACGAGAACGAGTTTTGAGTGATATAACTAAGCCAAGCCTGCCACCGTCATTTTGGATCTCCGCCTGGGTAGATTTAAGTCACGTGCTAGGCAACGTATAATCAATAACAAGATAGAATTTCATTTCAGGCCTATTTATCAATTTTGTGGTGTGTAACTTTCGCATTTTAGTACGTTGTATGTATGTTGAATCTTCAAATTGTCTTGAAACTTAAAAGAAAATTGTTCTTTAAAAATTCACTGAAAATCGGTAGCTAAAATTGTTTGTTTAGGTGTTATTTGATTTTCGTGTTAACTTGTTATTTCGTCAGTCGCCGGCATCTTCTGTTGCTTCACACAGGAAAAACACACGCGACGAAACGTAATGATCAATTTTGTCCTCAATCTCACGCTATGACAGAAAAAGCTTTTGAACATCTGTAAACTCCGAGCGCTTCGCAGTAAGTGATATTTTCAATGAATCTTCAGATTGTTTTCAAGTCCAAGGATTGTAAATTACAATTTTATGAAAAAACGAAGGTTGTTCTGTTATTTCAGTGTGAATCCTTGCATGCCTGCCAGTCGCTGGCGCCGCTTGTTGAAACTAAAACCAAAAAAAAAACTCTTTTAAGATTATCATTGGCTTCTCTTTCACCCCACCACTATTCTTAGCAACAAAGGTCGCCATTTCGTCTGTTTATTGCTCGCTAAAAACTATCAAATGCACTCAAAAGCCTAAAATCTAAAAAAAGTTTACAGGAATCGACCAATCGAGCGAGCGAGCGAGCGAGCGAATGGCATTCCCCACATCGTATCTATAACTCGCTCTTGCGCATGCGCGCAATTCACGAGTTGAAAATGGAGGAAGACTGAAGAATTTGAAAGCTTTAAAGAGAAAATTATTTCTTGATAATCGCGTTAGTTTTCGCCTAACAGATATCTGGGCGATAAAACTGAAATTCCGTCCATCTTTGTAGCAAAACGTTAATTCCCGAAAGTCGTCAACTTGCTCGGGCCATACTAGTTCAATCAAAGCATTAAGTCCGAAAAAAATTTCTGGAAAGAGTATTTGACACAAAATGTGCAAAACTCCAATCCCTATTTCTTTCCCACATTCGTGAGAGTTCTCATTACTCAAAAAATTACCGTCGACAGCTGCATCGTTGATACTTTCAATATAATGCATATTAAAAGCGCAAAATACTCATCAAATAACATCGACGGACTCATGAAAAGTATTATCGCTTGAAAGATCGTCTTCTGTCCGTCATGAAAACGCCGAAATTTTACACAATTAAGGACGGCACCTGCTATTAAGATCTAATTTAACCCGGCCAATGACCATGCAAGTAAAGCACTAGCTATTAAAATAATGGAAAGAAAGTAGTATTCTGTTTTTGACCGAATATAAAAGGATGATTTTTTTCTTCTTTCTGACTCAAACTACTTTCATATTCAATAAGTTCATGATGGCTTACTCAAAAGGAAAAAGTATCCCACGGTTGCATTTTGGTTAATGTATGAAACAAATCTCACGATAACACATCCTTTTTCTTCTGATCCTCTGCAATTCGTGGTTTTTTTTCTGGAATAAGATTGATTAAACTAGCAAAGTCGCCAGGGTACTCGTCTTGAAACATTATAAGTAAGTAATCCCAACTTCGGCCCGCCTGTGCCGTAGGCCGCGGCCATTGTGTACAAATTGTATAAGCCGTGTAGGATGTCATCCCACCTGTTTCTTTCAAACTTTCACAGATTATTAGGTTCAAAACTTTATTCACGAATTCAAAGTATTCTGGGCTTCTGCTTAATCTCTGGGGTCTGAAAGCTCTCACATCAGATCCCGGGATAAAACCCCAACATTTGCTTGAAAATATTAATTGCACCTCCGAAAATTATTTATTCATAGAACGTGATGGATTATAATCTTCTTTGGTCCGAAGGTTGTACCAACCTTAAGGGGAACATGAAAGGGTCATTCGCAAAGAAAAACATTGAAATTTTTTCATTTAAACACTTTTATTTCCCAAGCTCAGCATCTTTTGATTAAAAACGATTAACTTGGCTTTTTAAGGATGGTTGGCGAGGACTCACTAGGATAAATAACACTCAACTAAGACTAGTACCGGTACCCTGTGTGAATATAGATCATTTCTTAGATAGATAGAGTTCCAAATTTAAGATTCAGAACCCGCTCTTATGTGAGCAATCGCGAAAAAAAAGCAACGGACACATGCGAGGTCCCAATGAGTTGAGAACTGAAACTGTTAAAAGGAATTCAATAGTCAATTAATTGCGGATTTCTATAGCGCCATATCCATTAGCTTATGGCGCTTTACAACTCTTTGGCCAGACTGCATAGAGTAGTTAACAATTTCTGAAGGATTATATTGCAGTTACCCCCAATTTCAAAGTCAGGGCCAGACCAAAACGCCTGGAGCTACGTTCCCTACCGGCTTTACGAAAAGTGTGCGGATTCTTTAACGTCTTCAGCTTACCAGTAATGAGTAGATCCAGTTTCTCCTCCTCATCCGAGAAGACTAAAACGTCTAACCATGTTATTGCAAAGGCAGCATATTCTCCTCAGTTATTTCAAGACCCTGAGTGTTGGTCCGGTCTGAGACTTGAGCCTAAGATCATTTGCACGACAGTCCGGCTCTCTATTACCTGAGCTAACCAGGCGGCGGTTAAGAAAGGTTTAGGGTGTCTCGAAATACGTTTGAATTTATACAGAGTGAAATGAAAGACCTTATCCACATAGAACCAAATCGCATGAAACCGTCACCTTAACTCATGTTCAAACGTTCTTTGTCTGTTGTCTGTCATTACACTCAGAGACTTATTATGCGCTCAGGACGAACTATCTTTGGTGCTGCGTCGTTCAACACACCACCTAGTATAGTTCAGTTCATTTCGATACATTACGCGTTTTGTGCCTGTTTTTTTATTAGACACGCATAACCAGACGAACTTCAAATGTTTGCCGAAGTTCGTTCAGACGGGTAATGCGTCCTTAATTTAAAAACGGCCAATGGTGAAAACTGACATCTGGTGTTCAGTAATATTCCTTTCCCCACACGGATGACCGGATAATTTTGATGAATTTACATGAATTCAAATCGACACTAATAATTCTCTTATTTATTGACTCACTCACTTTTGATTCCCTTTGGTGAATAAAAGCAGCGCGGCATTGACAACGTTGGTAGGTCAATCTCTATCGACGATCATAATCGAAAAACGATATCTACCGCAACCATGGAAAATCGTGAATCGCAGTTTCCTACAGCAACATTCAAAAGTAGCTAGAGTGAATCATTGCAGGTGAATAATCGAATTCTTTTTTTTTTCTGTCATTTAAAGTGCATCAAAATTAATCAAGTAGTTAGTTTTATACACGCGCTCGTGGACATAGAGGCCAGTGTTTCAAAGAGACTTAGAAACCTCGCACAGTCAAACGTTTTTATAAGAATAAGAAATTTTTATGTCCATGGCATCAATTATAATTTCATTAAAAAAGAAAGATGTTTTGCCGTAAGTATACGAGTTACCAATTTGATAAACTATACGACACATGAATAAAGGGGGTAAGTTTCTAAAGAAACTGTGTTGCTATATCGGTTGGAGGTATTACGAGAGAATTTGATTTCATAAACTGTGTTGATAATGTAAATTGGCCTGGGCTCTAGCCCTTCGTCACAGTGAATAGAAGAATTGGGAGAATTCGCTCTCCCGAAGGCCTAAGCTTGAAACGTCAGCTTAAGGATGTTAAGTACGTGGGAATATAAGCAGCACATGGTGTCCAGCTGCATAAGAATTTCACAGTCAGTCATTTTTACAGTACTTTATTTTCATTTACCAATCTAAAGTACTTCTTGCTTGTAGTTGTCTCGTATTTGTTTCTGTGGGAAAAAAAAGGGGAGAACAAGAAAAGGGTTAGCCCAGAGTGACGGAGTGCACCAATATAATTTCATTCCATGAGAAAATTGTTTGTGGTGCCCCATGATTCACAAGAGGGTCTCAATGGGGTGATGGCTTTTACGACTAACGGTTAAAATCGTGTCGAATTTACGGCTTAAACGTTTAATTCAATTCCATCGTTGCCACCGGAAGATTTTTGACTGTTATCTTTTTTACGACTACCGGTTAAAATTTGCCAATTTTTTACGCTTAACGGCTAATTTCTTTGGCCGTTTTACGGCGATCGGATAAGCCCATTGAGACCCTCTCATAATGGTAATTGAAATGAGGGCAGTACCCTTTGGTGTGAAATCATTTGCGTGATTTCAAAATCGCACGAGTTTGATTTGAAATCACAAGTGTTAGACCAGAATTGTACGATAGGAAGTCCAAACACCACTTTATTACACAAATTTCGAAATCACAAAACTCAGTTGATACCACCAGATTACAAGCCGAGCCTCTTAACCACTCGGCCAAACTGCCTCCGGTGGGATGACGCCTCCGATTTAAACGTTGGCTTGTTAGGCGGAACTTGATAGTGAAGATCCACTCTTTTAGCAGTCGGTTCAAAAACACTTCACATTTGATGCAACAAGACAGCGCACAACAAAAGAGAAAAGCTATGATTCCAACCAGGCTCCTTTATGTGACCCTTGTTAAGACTTACGAATCAAAAGTCCACGTAAATGTCTCAATATTTTACCGAAGTGAGCTCTTACCTAGCAGTTATTGGTGAAACTGATATCATCAATGGCAACCACTTGGCCATAGGCATTTGCCTCAAATAACAGCTGTTAAATAATAGAAAAAGGGCAAGAAAAATAAGTGAGAACTCGCTAAATCATTAGGTAACTAAGGTAGTGATGAAAGTCGTGGTAAATTGTGTTTTTTGTATGACCACAATATTTTATTCATAATATTAATCAAAACCATAACAAAATTCTCGAACGTGATTGGTTATCACCAGCCCGATTTGAGCACTGATAGGACAGTGTACGCGTCATGCATATCATTAGACAGTGTCAAATGGACAGTTAAAGGGAAAGTTAACGCGTCATGCCTGTTCAAGTGGACAGAACGCGTCATTTGCACAGGCTGTTGTCTCACATTTCGCCGACTAACTGTTGATTTTTTATGAAAATGTACAACCGATGTCTAGTTTCTTTCTCAAATGTTGTCATAGTTTTGATTAATTGGTAACAGGACTTCGTGTCGTCCAATTCTGTCTGTAATCACACTCGTGATTAACAAATCGGACCCCCGTTTCGCAGTCGTCCGATTTTGTAAATCACTTGTATGATCACAGACCGAATTGGACTCCACTCGTTCCTACTACCATTATTTATAGTACAGTTGTAGTAATAATTTCGTAAAACCAAAACCAAAGTGATCGTAATGGCCAAAATAGAAGCAAGAAAACTGCCAGCGCATGAAAACGAGTCGTTATTGATATTAGTTTTGCATCTGATCGGTTGGTGGGGTGTCGCGAGTTTTCTGGACCAAGCACAGAGCGAAGTAAAGCAAAACGTAAGCAATATCGGACTATTTTCGACATGAGAAAATGAACTTCATTGGCAGGCCTCTTCAAGCTTGATAAGTTGTGTAGTTTTGTAGGAAGGAATGAAATTAGTGGGTCGGTAAGTAAGTATATATGGAGGGTAGAAGACTGGTGGATAGGTAGGTAGGTTCAATGATTGGCAAAAGAAGTTAACACCCCTCCCCTCCCATTCAATCAACATAATAAACATAAGTAATATAAAACATCTCGATATTATGAAAAAGTCCACTCCCCAAACAATGTTGCAAGAAATTAGCCAATTAGTGACCATTTTGAGTAAACACTAAATTGGGGGAGAAAGGAAATAAAAAAATTCAAAAAGTAGTAGAGCTTTCCAAGGCTAATTATAGGTGGGTAAGTAAAGGGGGGCGCTCTGAAGGTGGTTTGTTAGATAGCGTCCGCAAGAAAGGGTAGGGCATGTAGATGGGTGGGTAAGACGGTAGACAGGCCAGTAAGCTTAGTTAGACAAGCACAAAATAGCGGTTTCTTTTCACTGCCTATCAGCTAGCGTATTCAAGTAAAAAGGGAAATGGGTCAGAATAACGGAGTTGCCAATAATGTGTGAGCGTTGTTCAAAATGTTGACAATAGAGAGATAGAAGATTCAACTGGTACTGGTTCTCGTGGGACTCACCTGTCGATGCACACTGACTTCTACTCTGACTTTCTCGCATTTCCACACGCCTTGATTTCCTTGATTACTAATAGCTGCTAGAGATGTCTTTCTTGAACCCTTTCTATTCTCGATCTTATACAACGTCAGTGACCCCCTGTGGTGGAATAGATAAGATACACAGCCTTAAAAAATCATTATGTATTTGCCAATGTGTCCAAAATGGGGCATCTATGATAAATAGCATATTTAAGGGGAAAGTGCGGTTTAGAAAAAGTTGACCTTAATCGAAAGTTCTTGGCTTAGTAAATAATACAAGAGATAGGATGGGTTAATAACGGAGTAGGTGGCAGACAGCAAGAGGTGGGACAGAAAGGAAGGAGAGGATGATGGGAAGGTGTAATGAGCGGAAGGGAAGAAGACTAAACTATTGGGAAGGCATTCTTCCGGTGGGGCGTATGCGTATGACTTCAGATAGTGGATAAACATGACAGCTACCATCTTGAACGTTGTTGTAAGTTTTTTTTTTTTTTTTTTTTTTTTTTCAAGCTTTTGAGAAATTCTTATTGTGAAAAGGAAATTGAATTGACTCATTAGTCGCGACTAACCTAGTGATGTAATAGTTAAACCTGATACACATCGTGCCGTGATCTGCGTTGTGACTGCCGAGGACCAACTCAAACGGGATCAGAAGTTGCGCCTTGCCATTACTTGTCTCAGTCACGAGAAATTTCCCTGAAAGGCGAATTATTTTACAGCGTTGCTACAAGTTTCTCACCTTGGATAATAAAATGATAGTAACTAGTCATCTCTTTGAAATCCGCCTTCTCTTTTTCATCTTAATTCTATTCAAATCTTATTTTGACGGATCAGATTTAAAACGACAAACCATAGAAAATTCCAATGTTCCAATGGGGTTATTCTTTTCAAGGATGTCGTTATCGTTTGAACTACTACCAATGCTTGACTCGCGCTGTTACTCGTTTTCGCCGTTAGTGTAAATTAGTAATGTAAATTACGGTTTGATAACACAACACAATGGAGGGACGGGACGGTGAGGCGAAAATTCGATTTTATAAAAACCACTTACTGTTTGAGTTCAAGGTCCGTACTGTAAGTTACAGACCGAGTTTTTCCGCACGGATTTATTGCCTGAGCGCGAAGCCTTTCCGAGCGGGAAAAAACGGGGTTCCGTAACTTACAGGGCGGAACAAGAAAAGGAAGTTAGCAAGATATTTATTATATCTCTGAGTTTAAATGGGGGAAGGGGAAGAGTTCAATTCGAACAATCTTTCGAATTTAGCGAGCCGTATAGTGATATACGGCCCGCTAGAATGACCAATCACAGGGCACGTATACTAACCGAGGGATAAAATGATACAGAGGACGTTCACAGTATTGGATAATACGAGGACCTGTTACCATTTCATTAAAAAGCGGGAAAAAATTTGAAACAAGACAAAAAGGTTATGGGACGTAAAGTTAAAAGTTCCAATAATACAGCAGTAAAACCAGTGACAAAAATGTCTTATGCAATGTTTAAGAGAAGTCGCAATCACTTTTTGCGGGAAAAAACAAATAACAAAGGTGAACCTTATGAGGTTTTGCTGCTTCTAGAGCCAGGTTTTATTGAAAAGTTGTATTGTCTGAAGAGATTATTAATTCAGTAACAACAAAACGTCGAAGGAAAATAACTTGTACGTAAAAACTTAAAAACTAAACCGTTGATAGTTATAGTTTTTTATAATTTTGATGAAAACGCCTGACAAGACAAATTTGTACTGATATCATCTTTCTGGTAACCACTTACCACTCCCCCCAGCTCCAGAGCTCGGTCCACCAGAGATGCTGCTTTTGATGACAAAGTCCGTGTCGTCATCAAACGGAACATTATGCCAGTCACACATACTATCATCAAAAGTACATTTTTTCACTTTATCACTGGCATTGCTCACTGCGAAAGAAGACACAAGGAATTGGGTCACTGATACTGAAGCAAACAGCTGCACAGTATCAGTTCCGAGTGCAAAAAGCTTACAGGATGACTTTTTTACTGGTGAGGGGATGTTCTACAGACTAAAAAGTCTTAAAGGGTTATAGGCTGTGAACTACATATGAATTTAACGTCCAGGAAATGGAAACGGTTTTAAAGAAAACTTGAAACTAAACAAAGTGAGGTGTTTCTAATTGAATACGCCATACAATCGAACCTGTTGGACAAATGTTACGCACGAAAGGTCAAAGGTTAATCTCTGTGGTAATACCGTAGCTGCCACGAGCTACACCTCACCAAATAAAGCCTTTTGGCAGTTCACATTAACTTAAAATAAACAGGAAAAACGGAAATAAATTCTAATGAAGGAACTGTGTTTAGGAGACTGGTAATGACGACTTTTATACAAACCACTACAAACCGAACCGCCTCCTCCTCCACCGCCGCCACCACCGCCACCACCGCCGCCGCCGCCGCCGCCGCCGCCACCACCGCCTCCTCCTCCTCCTCCTCCTCCTCCTCCTCCTCCGCAAAAGCCACACGTCTTTCCGCAGTTGTTCTTCATGTAGTTATGCCACTGGCTTGATTGATCACAAAACCCGCTACTTTTCCAGCCTGAACAATATTGACTTTTGTCTTCACAAGCTGTGAAAAAGAAATGCTAAATATCAAATATCTGTCTAACTTAAAGCACAACTTGAAGCATGCAGGAATAGCCCAAAAAATTACAAAAGTTAACGAGCTCTTCCATAACACTTAAGTTTTCCTCTCGTTAAAATTACTTCCGTTGGTGAAAACCAAAATTTTGATTCTGAGTTTCAAAGATACGTTTAGGGATGAATATGGGATCAAGGAGAATCAACGGATGTATAAAAGTTTCATTTGCGCTGTGTGTTTCTTTAAAAAAAAAGTCTGTTTGTATCAGAAAGCTGCACTGTCCAGCTCTCTGACTGGTCAATAAGCTTATGAAATATAGCGCTATTTAATTGCTGCATGGCTTTGTCTTGGAATATTTTTTTCTGAGAACTTTGGATTCAGTTATTACGAACTCGCCTCTGATTTAAGACAAGTAACAAACAAAGAAACTTCTGTAAAGTGAGATTTAGTTACCTGGAGGTTTAGTTGGGCCACCTGTTCAAGTGAAATAATGAAAGTAAACCTAAATTAGTTAATTAACAGCCTTCAACTAATGGGTTGTAAGGGATTGCGATTAAAAAAAAACTATAGTTAGGTAATTTGAAAGCTTGAATCAACATTAAATGACATTTACAATTAAGAAGTCGGAGAAGACCCATCTTATTCATATTTTTCTTGATTCTAAAGTTTAGCATTACACACATTAGATAAAAGGAGAAAAAAACTGAAAAAAATTTTTCGTAGATACACAGTTTAGTTAGAAACGACTTTAGTAAAACAGCTGAAAAGCTTAATGATGCCCAATCATATCCAAAAGCTATTAAATTGCAAATAATCCTTTTTTCACTATAACTACTACTTAATAGGGGCGAGGCGAGAGAAATGACTCTTTTTTGGAGTCCCTCTCCACTCATACAGTCGGTCTGTACGCGTTGGTAATAGTATCACAAAAATCACAGGCTTTTACGTGGTGCTGTGTTGTCGTTTGGTATCTTGATAAAATGTTATGTGATGTACATGTACGTGTCACACTTGTGGTCGACACGACTTCCCTTTGGGCGAGGTTACTCAGCTAGGGAGCGAGGTGACTTCATGCGTTATGAACTACCTTCTGCGAAACGAGTCGGGAAACGCAAAGATATTTTTTTTCACCTATTCAAATTGATTCATCCAAGGATTACGCAAGGAAGGTGGGGAATGCTCGAAGTTTAGAAACACTTTGGAAACATTTATTCACGATAACTGTTTATACTTACCACAATATCCGCATTTTCTTGGACAGTTCTTTTTCATGTAATCTCTATAGTCTTGACAGTATTTGTCTGGCCATTGAGAGCAGTAATTAAGTTGGTCCTCGCAGGCACCTAATAAATGGAAAGCAACTTTATTCTACCCAAAGAAGAACATTGTAGTCAGTCACAAAAAGGGTTGATACGCAGTTGGCGACATCGTAACTGTCAAGACAAATTTCCAGAAAACGTCGAGTAAGACCTTTCCCAAAAATTCTTCATTTAAACCGAAAGATGGAGGTAATGAAATGTTTTCAAGGTCTTTTCCGTCATATTGTAGTTTATATTCGGAACATAGAAGAAGTATGGCGACGCAGTTTATTATATAGAACATACAACGGTTCAAATCCCGTTAACCCTCCACCATTAATTGCCAGGAACGTGTTGGTAACTCTCCCCTTTATAATTTTCCCTGTAAATCAATAAGTTGGTGTTGTATCAAGATAAAGGCCTCGAACTGAAAATTTTGAAACTTTTGGGAGAACTTCACCTCACTTCTGGGGGTTAAAGCGTTTAAGAATGTTTTTATGGGCTCCTCGTTTAACTTCAGATCGAAATGGTCGACTCTGAAAGAGGTAAACTACGTCCTTGCGAGACAATTGTGCAATCACACTCTAAAAAAAAAAGTTAGCACTAAAAGGAAACAAATTTTATGGAATCAAAATGTGTTCGCAATATTCTTTAGAAAAAACAAAAATGTAAAATGTGACCGTGGAGAGTAACACTGAGTAAAATAAGTCCACTACCGTGAAATAAGGCTGCAGCAAGAGATTTAAGGTAGGGGTATATGTAATATTATGTTATTCACCAGCCTAGAGGTCCGTTTTGGGAACAACTGTGCCCGAGGTCTTGAGTACCGTCGTTACCAGTACTCAAGACCTCGGGCACAGTGTTTCCCAATATGAACCGATCTAGGCTGGAGAATAACATTTTTTACTTTTTTTTCTAAAACTTAATGATTTAGGGCTGTAATTACACGGCCGCGTGTAGCGGTAGAAAATCCGGACTTCACTAAGAAGCAATCAGACTGCAGGATTCGTTACCGTGCCCTCCGAGGAAAAAACCAACCCATTACAAGCTTTCCACCTAAGGAAGTTATACACTCTATGATTACTTTCGCAAAATAGGATGTACGAAGTTAGAATAAACCCTTTTAGGGATTTTATTCGTCGATCAAGATCCTCGCGTTTCTATGTACTCAGCTGCAATGACTCTGAATGCGCCCAGAATTGGACAATATTTCATGATGAATTTGAGAATTGTAAGATTAGAGATCCTTTCATTCCACTTTGTTCAAAGTTAAAAGCGAAATTTATGAGAAAGTACCAATTAGTGAAACCCATAGTGGTGTAGCTTAGGTTTAAGAGGCTAAATTTCGGGAAAATAGGTCAAAATCGTAGATAGCTCTATGAAAGGAGGAAAGCTGGTTAACTTTCTTACTTTGTCTCCTTTGCCTGATCTTAACTTCTTCTTCTGGAGCTGTTTCACGAAAAAAAGTATAGAAAAATATAGTTGTTAGATTAAGACAGAGTAACAGTATAACACATTTTTTGCCTTTTGTCACTGAGTAGTTCGAAACCTTCAATTTTAAGTGCCTGAAGGTGGGTTGATCTTGTATCAGATCAAGGTTGAGTTTCCTTGATTTTCAGGCTCTTAATGTAAATCATCTGAGTAAAATACTAACGTAAAAGTAAAAGCCAGCGTATCTTCTGGGGTATCCCAGAAAAAAAAACCAATATTTTTCATCTCACGAACCAGTTGGTTTCATCTATTCAACTTCCTACCAAACTCAGTTGACTCAACAACTTTTCTGAAGCACAGTATGGAGTTGCAAGAGAGGTACTTATGTTACAAAACATTAATTTCCCTCTAGTCAGTGTGTGACTGATATAGGTGTACAAGTGCAGAGTTCCTTCGTTCATTCAGTTTATTTGCAAATCGTTTGAAGAGATTCGAAGGCATCATTTTAAGCTAAAAAATCTACTTCTTACCCTCGGGTTCATCGAGTTCAAATTCTTCAGGGTATTCTTCTGCGGGCAATGAAAGAGCAAATTCCGCTATAAGCGCCCAAGCGCACAGAACAGCAAGCCAGCGAATTGCCATTCTGCCAGCCAGACTGAAAAAAAAGAAAATGAATGTTTGAAGTCAGCCGCAGAACAAATTATTTTTTCAAAAGACCGAGAAACGCCAGGCGCAAGTGTGTTTGCATCACCTGCGTGACGCAAGAGATCGAGCCATTCAATGCAGATTCCAAAAGAAAATGAAACGAATCTTAATGGATTTTCATGTTTGTTGAAGACAAGAAGGTTTTTTCAGCGTTAGGTTTGTTTACATGTACTCCAACAAGCCTCTAAAAGTCTTTTTGTGCAAAAATGACAGTATGCGATAGGGTAATTGTTCACCTGAGAAAAAATAACAATGGGTTGTGAAGAACCAATTTGCGCAAATCGATTTTGGTGTATTGAAGATGTTTGCTTTACAAGCAGATTGTCTTCTCCGATGGTTTCCGAAAAAAAAAAATTCGCCCCTTATCAATTGAGCCCGTTTTAGCAAAAGTTGAACCTTGTGATTTTAAATACAATTTATGTGTTTCAAGAAAATTAAAGAAAAACGTACTTTACACCTATGATGATCTAAAGCAAAACAAACAATATTATCCACAAAAACCATTGTTCTCAAAAAGTGAGATACGTAAAACTGATGATTGGAAGTTGTTTTCATAATTTCTTTCACCTTTATTGAATTTTCCGAATTCTCTTTTTAAGCAATTTAAGATAGACACTTGCATAACATTAGTGGTCATTTCTCTGGGGCAACTGAAAAAATAGAGTTTGGCTTTGTATGTATGCAACTTGGCAGCTAATGATTATACCAACAAACTTAATCAATATTCTGACATAGTAGTCGCGCCAGTGTATAAAAATTACATAAGGCAAAGAAATCCAAATAGAATCTTTTGGAGTTTTTCTTTTGAAAAAAAAAATATCCGTTTAAGCAACGGCTGAATACAACGAGTTTCGTTGGAGCACCGTGAAATACCAGTTTTTAACTGGGGCTTGTATGAAGTCGTAAAGAGGTCTGTACATGGGTCTATAACCTAAGGGAAGCCTCGTATTAGAGAGGTTCGTAAGTTGAGAAAAGGGCAAACGTTTTCAAACAAGCTGCTGGCTAAACGTAATTTATTTCATTGCGATACAATACTACCACACTCTCGCTGATGAAGTATTTTACTTTCCATGGTACCTGACCACATGCTCAGACTCAGGTTCTGAAATGGGATTGTACAATGACAAGAAGAGATAGGAATAACGGGACGTATTTATAAAAGAATGCCGTTTCAGCCCGGGTGTTTAACTACAAGTGGGTCTTTCCCTGGAAGGTATTTTTTTCCTCTACTTGGAACAGATGGATATCTTCACTAGCAGGAGCACCTCTAACCAGGAGGATTCACATCCAGGACCTCAACGACTAATCAATGCTTGTTTAACCCCTTAGCCCCCAACAGTGACTATCATCTAATTTCCCCTTACAATATCACTCTGAATCATTCAGTAAGGTCAGGAGAATAAGGAAAATTATCAGCAGCAAAAGAAGCTATTGATTGTTACACGAATTCTCCTTGTCAGCACCTTAAGGAATGTATAGGGAACAGTATGGATAATACCTTTACTGATGTGAGGGTGTAAAGGGTTAAAGCTTTCCTTTAAAATTTCCTCTCTTATTCCCTTTCGAAAATACGAAAAATTATTTTACTGAAGCACCTCCGCAGGCCGGCACCTAAATGGTCGTAAACATCGTCGGATCAGGTTAGTTAATGAATGAGTTTCCAGGGATCGGATCCTTGTGTTTGCGCAAAGATTTCTGGGATCGTCACGGGGCAAATATTGCAACTCGCCAGAAAGGAACGTATGGCGAAAGGTTGTTTCGACGTCTTAAAAAGACGATTTTGGATAGAGATTAGCACTTTTTCGCCACTGTTTTGTAAGAAATGGATTTGGGTGATATTGAAACAAGGGAAGCGTAAGTTTTTACTTAAACAACCATGAAACATGTAGCATTATCATATTCATTACAATTTCCTTAAATGTGATTGGTGCATTAACTGCTTTATTTTTTACTAATCGTTCTATACAGCTGTAATCGGACAGTTGGCCGTAATCGGACACCTGTAATCGAACAGTTGAAGTAGTCAATCATACCAAGTCCACTCAGCCAAATCCACCAATCACAGAATCAAACAAAGTAACCATAGTAACAACTACTTATCCTAAAAAAAAATTTAGGAATTTCCAAGATGGAGAAATCTTTTTACTTTAGACATTGTCGCTACCGGAGATATCAGACCTAAATGTATTTGTTGTTTTCGGAAATCGAAACAGTTATGATTAATTGGTAACAGGACTTCTTGTCGTCCAATTCTTTCTGTAATCATACTCGTGATTAACAAATTGGACTCCTGCTTCGCGGTCGTCCAATTTTGTTAGTCACTCGTATGATTACAGAGCGAATTGGACTCCATCCTATTCCTAGTATCATTACAAATCTACCGATTAACATTTCTCCATAATGGTCTTAAAATTTACAAATGTGAGCTATAAATCGCCAAGAAATAACTCAACAAAGCCTTTCCAGCTTTGACGTGCGTTTAGTCAACTTCTAGCTTTCTTCTTGGCTTGCTAACACAAAAGAGCGCTACAACAGTTACCTCGAGGCAGATGGAGATTGAAACGGTGTGCTTGAGTATTAATTATTATCGTGATACATTTAAGGGATCAAACACCTACATTGCTTTTTTTGTTGTGATCAATGAGAACGAACCAGCGTTGATAATCGGTTCAAAACTGAGCCCTTTCTTTTGCGACGATAAGTCATGAGGTACAAATGGGTTGCAAAAGGAGCGATGCATATCTGAATATATGTCCATAGTTTCTGCCGGAGTTCCCGTGAAATTACTTTTCCTGACAAGATCCTCCAAGAAGTTCGTGAAGGAAAGTGTCAGCTTAAAACCTTTAAATTTTTTTCCAACAAACTTTCAATTGATCTAGAGATTTCCACATATTTTTCATCGCTGTCTTCATCCTTCAAAAGAGCAACAGCTCGGTAAAAACAATTTCCATCTCCCCCGATAACGACGTATCTCTTTTAAGGAGGTATATCTCAGACGTCGTAATTTGTCTATTTATTTCGTTAACAAGTATGAAAACGGGAAATAGATACATAAATATATCTATATATCTGTATAACTGAGAAATCTTAAATTAGTTATTTCCTAGCGATTTAAAGCTAATTTTGTAATATTTCGTGACCATTACGCGGTGACGATTTCATAATAGACCTTACGAAAGGAGAGGTATATCGGTATATTTTATAACTTATTTCGTGGTAGTTTTAACAAAAACTTAAACTTCCCTCGTATTCGCGGAGAGTGAGAAAAGAACCAAGAGTAGTGAGTAAAGACAGACGCATCCTCCTGAAACTTGTCACTCTTAAGAAAGATGTGTGACTGTCACACAACAGTATTTGGTGGCCTGATAATGTCGCCACACTTTTCATCTTCAGAGTGCACGTGTTTTTAATTTTTAAGAATATACATAACCTACACATTCGACTGTTACGCCGATCAAGTCTTAAGTGAAATTATTATGGTCGTTTAGTCCAGTTGTAATGATTTGTGACCAAGTTACAGAAGAAAAACACCCGTTATGTGAACTAGAGTGCAAGACGCCCGTGCTTCGGCACTTGATCCTTCGATTAACGAACGGAAATGCGTATGTTTTGAGACAACATGATTCACTCTACATTCTTAAAGGCTAAGAATTACTGATATTTACAATTCGCGATCGAATGAAGGTGAGTTTAGAGGGGAGTTTGCGAAACTGTATACTTCCAACCTTCACACAGAGTATTCTGATTTCCACAACAGTATTTACTATTTCAAATTTGGTTATCAATCAGTCAGCAAAAAGGATGAAAAACGTGTCAACCTAATCAGTGAACTTACCTAATCAGTGAACTTACCTACTGATCTTTTTCTAGTCTATAGAGAGCCAGAGTATGAAGCTGCAAATAAGTGCTGAGGTTTCTCCTGTTCTTGTTTGATTTTTGTTTTATCCCGGGATGATTAGGGCGCCTTTCAAGACGGCTGAAAAATGTCGTGAACGTTTAGGCAGGAACTGTGAAAATGAAACGACTTGGATATGATCCAGTTACATGGGGGTTGCTCTGGGAAGGCGGATGTTCTTGACAGTTCTTTCATCGATTCACTTTTTAACAAGTATTGAATTAAAACTTATGTCAACATACCAACAACGAAAATATGAAAATTAGCCCACATTGTGAATCACTTTTACAACTCTTAAAGGTCTCGTGAATTATTGTGTTTTGGCGCATGTCTCAATAAAACCCACAAAAGCCCTCAATGGGATAAAGAGGTGGAATTAAGTCATGGCAAGCGATTATAAACTCAGAGACTGTATCCCACTTACATAGCCCTATTCCAATGATCATTTTTTAAATTCTAATTTTTAATGTGCGTTCCTGCGGTGCGACTATTTTGAGAACAGCATTTGATTGGTTATTGGTTCTTTGATGAAGTTATAATGTGAGATGTTTGGCGGCGAGCAGTTTGTGTTCATTATGATGACATTTTTTGGTCAAGACGATAAAAACATAGGCTGGAAAAGCGTACCTTAGAAGCCTGAGTTTCGTTAGAGAACGCGAACGGACGAACTGAATATCTTACAATAGTTGATTCAGGTAAATAACCTAACAGATTATCGGTTAAGTGGCAATAGGGATTTCAAGTGCAATACAATAGTTTTTAATCTCTTCATAAAGGCTAACGAACAAAAATGGGACTTCAAGGCAGATCAGAGTCACATATGAACCAAAGTGAAGAAAAAAATGGCGGAATTACTAAATCCGATTTTATGGAGTGAGCGTTATGGAGTTTTGAGCGACTGAAATATATGAGGAGCAGGGTAAAGAAAATCATACTTGATTAAACCATCATGACTCAAAGGAATTATTTATAAGGAGCTAAAAAAGTCGGGCGGTCGTAAAGCAAAGATACGGCACTTTAGTGGTAATAATTATACATAATTACATGTTAAATTAACTTTAAATTAACTTTAAACGGCCACACAATCCTTCGTCTCTTTTCATGCTATGCAAAGAAGTGAGGATAATAAATGTCAGCCTGAGCATAGTCTATCTATAAAAAGTTAATGATCTAGCCTTCGAAACGTGGTTGATATAAATCAAGGCGGCGGAGCAACAAAAATGAGCGGCAACACGTCCAGCCTCATCACACAAAACTTTCACAAAACTTAGATCGTTCCTTGATGAGTTTAAAATAGAACTTTAATAGAAATTTAATTGGGAATTTTTCTTTCCTTGTAGTGAAGGCCTTTAAGAACGGTGACGGGGTGATGATCTGTCCGGCTTTTACCCGTGAGAATTGAAGCCCCAAAAGTGTAGCTTTCTGTGTCGCAAAAGCACAGGAGTGTCTCCCCTCCCCCGTGATGGATGATTTTTGATTGTGAAAGTTCGATTTGCGCTCATTCATAACTTTAAATGATAATCCTTAGAATTATTTCGCTGCTGTTAAAAACTCATAAAACTTCCTCTTCGCTTGAACCTGCGAACTAATACTACGTCAAGAGATTAAAAAACACTCAGTCATGTTTCACACAATCTAATTTATTTGGTGCTTGCTTTACAACCCTGGTTCCAAAGAAATCGTTCTTTTAAAGTCAATTACATTTAATTTATTAGATAACTTGCTGCGTCACGCTTTTCAGTTATCAAACCACAGTACATTCTCGTCACGTATCTATTCATTCAGAGGATCTCCAATTAAGGTGCTCGACTCTTTATTTTCTTTGCTTGCACAACTTCGTCTGACTGGGTACCAGCCCTCCTTTTCTCAGGTATATTCCTTCTACGCGCACAAGCGTCTGCCCAGAGGTTCAATAATTCGATACCCTCAATGTCTTCAATAAACTCGTCAATGTAGAGGTCATTGAACTTTAGACTCATCAGGGTGATACACCGGTCTAACTCTTTTGAAAAAACATTCTGGGACTTGCCGTGGATTCTTTTGCTGTTACAGATGTCCCTGTTGTTGTTTTCGTTTTTCCAGTGCACCCTTTTCTTCCTGTTGCTGCCCAGTCCCTTATGAGATGATTTCCCATCTCCTATGCAAAGCAGAGTCTCCTTGGTTTTCCTTATCATAAACCTCCCGAGGCTAAATCGTCCTTTGGAGAACTGCGTAGCGGTTCGGTAATCATAAATAAGAATGGCGATAAAGATGTTAACCCATATCACTTGCAGACACATGTTGAAACTTATGAAGAAAAGAGGACCTATGATATCATGACAATCTTGAAGATATTCAGTCCTGACGCTTAAAACTCCCTGGATGAGAAGGGACTGGAAAGCACTAGAGAGCGAGGAATATCCCTCCACCTCCCTTCCAAATTGAATGAATCCAAAATGAGTAAAGGCGAACATGAAGACGTAGAATCCTACTGAGCAGTTTACGAGTTCCAGGAAAGACGCCTTCGTGACATCAGACAAACGTTTAACATGACTATTAAATCTGAGCAAATACAGCAACTTCAAAGTGTTGAAAAACATTAATAAAGCCAAGAATGCTGTCTCCATATCATCGAGTAAAACTGCTCTGTCAAAGCTTATAAACTGGAAGACATTTTCATGAAGTTTAGTCGTGTTAACAGAGAGTTCTACCTCTTTAAAGATATGAACGACTGCAAAGGAAATTGCTGCAAAGATCTGAGCCAGTTCAATCCAATTCAGAAATCGGCAGAAGTAGTGTTTTGGTTGTTGAATCATCTCTTTGGTTTCTTTGAAGAAAAAGTAAACAATAAACAACATGAACAATATCTGAAAAACAAGATGAGCGACACTATAGCCAGCTCCAACGTTGTACACGAGAAGGGGGTGAATAACATGACCAGAAGCCACATAGCCAGATGGTGAGAACTCCACCGGGATCCAAACTGCACTGAACAGACTGACATGAGGGTTGAAAATTGCAAATTCAATCAATACAATACTAGTGTACTTGTCAAACCAGTTAAAGATGTTCAGCTCAGAAATGACTTTCGTGGCAGACTTTCTGTCGTAACCCAGTTCTGCTAGGTAACCACCCTGACTGTAAAGAGGATAAAGTCTTCCCCAGAAAGGAAGGCTTTCGGTTTGCTCTGCTTTAGAGTAACGCCAGGGCCTGGGGCAGACCTTGTTCAATGTTTCAGCTGAGGTATTCTGTGACGATGAAAGTGGAAGCCATCTTGGCCGATATAACTCCGTTTTATCTTCAGCCTCTGGTGAGTATGACCCGATGCAAGAGTTGAAAATAGATTTCGCTTCCTTAACGACTTGACATGAATCTAAAAGGTGAAAATTAAAAATTAAATCTTAAACGGTGCACAGTATTTTATAAACCTTTAAAAAAAAAAAAAAAACTTTGGTTTGCTCAGCCAAATGTTGAAAAAAGGAAAAACTCAACCAAAAGGAAACACTCATCGCATAGAATTTCTAAAGCGTACGTTTAAAGTGTTACTAAGCCCTTTGTCAGACCCTTTCGCTCTGGCCAAAAAGGCTGACGCTTCAAACATCAGCTTAACAAACTCTTTTCGGTAAAAAGAAAATTTAAACTCAATTTATATTAATTTGATGTTCTCTTGGGTGGCCAATTTACACTATCAACTCAGTCGATGAACTAAATCATCTTGTCATACCCCTTAACAACCAGCACCATAGTTTATTTAGAAACGTACGCCTCTTATTCATTTATGCTCGACAGAGTTGACTATTTCGTAAAAGCATTTTGTTCATGTTTACTACCACTTATATCTGTTAAATATAAATGTTCGCACCTTTTTTCACTCTTAGCTGTCTGAGGCGGGGCATCCCAACAAGGACTGCATCACCGTCTCCAGTGAAAGTAGTAGAATTTGAAAACGACAAGTCCTTTCCATCCTGGTAAATTCCTGGAAATAGAACGTCTTGAAGCCACTGCCATAAGTTCCCGTGAGAAGAGATCTAACGGAGAAATGCAGAGTAAAAGAAAATCAGAATTTACTGAGATTACTGGAAATGCGAAGAAATCAATATATTAAGAGCACGTTTATATCAGTTATCAGAAACTCTTACCCTCCCCAGTGGTCAGGACAAAGATGATGTGAGTTGACAGGGACTCAATTTTTACCATAGCAAGCAAGTTGCCAAGTAAGCAAGTTGCCAATAGTAGGATAGGTGAATGATAGGAGCCTTAGCCCTTTACATCATAACACCAGTTTCCATATTCTCCATACTGTTCCCTATACATTTCCTAAGGTACTGACAAGGAGACTTTGTTTAACTATCATGAGCCCCTTTACTTGATGATCATTTCCTTTATTCCCGTGACCTGATTATGGAAATCAGAGGTAATTTTGTAAGGAGAAATTAGATGACTCGTTACTCCTGGGGGTTTAAGGGTTGAACATACCTCAATTACCTCTCCAAATGTTTGCACAAGTGATAATTTCAAAGAATAACTGTACTGACTCCGACCTCCATAACAAATGATCATCAGTATCAAAAGGTATAGAAAATAGCAGACTATCTTCTGTATCGCCTTGTACATACGCAGCTCTCGCATTCGATAGATCCTCGCACGGCGTAATTCTTTCTTGCTCAGGGGCTTTGGTAAGGCAATTTTTTCGTCGTTTTCATCTTCCTTTTGGCCATCAGCAAAGGTAACTTCATCAAAATGAACGACTTTCTCGGGTGTTTGAGCAAGTTCGTCAGCATCCGACTGACAAAAAAGTATGACAAAAAATGAAGCCACGACGACGATCTTTACAGGTTCGGTAACAAATATCTCCACAAACAAGGACATAAAAATGGAGATAAGCCATTCCTCGCTTGTTTCTTTACCCCATTGTAAACTATATAGAATAATAAAAGTTGCTGATGCAGCTGAAGAGATAAAACAAAGGAACCAGGCCAAGTAAACAAAGCAATACGGTAAGGTCATCCGATGACCTCTTTGGTATCGATGTTTCTCGGTGACCTTGTGGATGCTAAACCTTTCTCTGACCTTGTATCTTTGTTGACGTTGCCCTGGTGTGTCGACATTGGTCGCCACGTGACTGAAGATTCCTACTATTATCAAATTTGCAGGAAAAACTACAACAATGCTCTCCATTGCAATAATTAGTTGTCGCAAATTTAGGACCAGAGGGCCCAACCTAAATGTGCGCTGTTGCTGAGCGTTCCCAGGAACAAACTGATAAAACATGGCACTGGCCAACATTGTAGTCAACAGAAGTGACAGGCAGCACGACAAGCGCTGCACGCGAGTGAAGCGTCTACTTGGTGGTCTGGTTGCTATAGAAAACCACAGATGCCCATCACCGAGTTTTTCGGCCAGCGTATTCCGGCAGGATTCCCAGAAATTCTTTCGCTTCCCGGCAGTTGAATCAGCAGCAAGAGTGCGATCTATCAGTCCATCGGCCTTCTCAACAGCCAACCACTTGTGGCAAGTAAAATTCTTAAGCTCCTGACTGAACGCGTCATAAATCTTGATTGTGTTTAGGTACCAAGAGGGGCTTTCACCAGAGTTGTCATGCCACACGCGCACTCTCCGTAAGGGGCCAACATTATTGGGAATGGAGAGGGTGAAACACGTTAAGCTTCCCCTTGCAAATGGAATGAAGGAGCCCCTCTTTAAATGATAAGGCCGACTGGATCCCAGCTCGCCCTCAAGCACTAGATACACCTTAGCACTGGTTCCAGAATTCGACCAAATGCCTGTGGATATCTCAATCTCGTATCGACAACACCAGGGTGATAACGATCCCAAAAATGGTTTATCACCGATCTGCAATAGACGAAAAAGTAAACGCAAATATGATAATAATAGACATGTTTTCATTTGAATAGAATCGAAATCAACAGAAAGCATCTGTAAAATAACGCCATTATCTTCTCCTTAGAATTTAACTGACCTTCAAAGCATCCTTCTGGTCAGCCTTTCGAACCCACAGTATAAGCATTAAGTAAAGTCCGAACACACAGCTCACTGTTATTATAACAGCTACGTTTCCAGTCTCTGGGATGTGTTGTAATTCAATGAATACTTTGTCAAAATCGATGGGGTTTGGTGCCACAAACAATTCACCTCCAAATGCAGTCAAATGGTTGCAGTGGCAGTGAATCATGTCCATGGTTGTAGTTTCAGCCACCTGTTAATCATGCACGCTATCGTCAATGAGAGAGCTCTAAATTTTATATATGAAGTTAGGTCTGCACTTGATTTTCTTAAGTGAATGGTTAGATTATATTGACGCTGATCAAAAAGGTTCACTTACCTCACATCCATCATATGTCCACTCAGAAATTACATTATTCCAATAGAGACAAGCAGCTGGCATCACTTGTATGGTGTAATTTTCATTACCTTTACTGAATTGAGGATCATTGGGGGATTGCCCTGTTTTAGTATCATCTGCTGCAGGGACTTCCTTATATTGCACACATGCGCGTTTGGACCGTCCTTGCCCCGAGCACCGCCTCTTCCTAGAAAAACTCTTTGACTTAACTTGTATTCCAATGAAGTAAACACCTGTCTTTTTGATGACCTTACTGTTTACAAACACCTCGAATGGATCACTTGAGCAGTTGACATAGGAACCAGATGGCGTCTGAGCGCAGGATGAGAAGTTAGGGACGGTTGCGTTTATATCACTGTTATTAGCAGAAGGTCGCTTTCCAAACTTAAGAGTCACAAACAATTCTGTTTTTTTTTCATCAGGACGAATCTTCAGTATCAGAGCTATCCCCAGATGGGTGACATTTATCTTGTGGAACACAGTCTTACGGGCACCAATGGAGTGTGATCGAGAAGTGTTAATTAAGTGTTGATTATTGCGCAGTTTGATAATCATCGGCGTTGTCAGTTCTGACATATTCAGAAGATGCCCAGAGCTGTTCTTTAGCTCAAGACTGGAAATTCCAGTTGTCAATCTCGCCGCTGAAGGGTGCCAAGAGTAGGATACAAAACTCGTTGTAATCATCTGAAATACAAACGCAATTAGGAAATGTGACCCTGCTTATCTATCTTCTCCACCTACAGTAGACTTCCCGAGCTCTTCTATAGGCAGACGAGACCACTCAAGATATCTTAAAATTAATGGAAATTGCATGTGAAATATAAGGCTAATGAGGTATTAATAGGCATTAAGTTCACTATGATCTTCCAGTGGTACGACAACGTAAGGTAAACATTTCTTCCAGTGGTACGACAACGTAAGGTAAACATTTATTATAATGTTAATTAATGAACATAATAAGGAGCCGGCTTTTGTTGATTCTTTCCTAAACACAATTATGCATTAATTCAGTTTGTGTTTGGCATTAATTCATAGTATGTTGAGCGTGAAGTAGGCCAAGAAACTGACTGATTGCGACATTCAGAAAACTGATCAGAGGCGGAACAGTTAACGTCAATTTCATACCTGGCTATCCAAAAACCGTGTACCATTGCCAAACAGGTTTAAATCTGAAGGAAGCGCGAAGCTGTAGCCTTGGTTAAACAAAACTGACCCTGACAAAAAGTAAGGTTCCTCTCGAAATACAAGCAGAAACACCCAACGGGATGAAAGCTCTCTTGGTTTCTCTCCGACAAGGGTTCGGGACAAGATCGTACTTCCGACATCGTCCAGCGACTTTAAAAGGTCCAGAGCTCGAGCTTTTGACTGCAAGGTAAAGTTATAAGTCTTAATGGAACCCAGACGAGGCTAAGCCTATGGCTGAAACCAAGTTGGATTAACAAGACTAATTATCATGAACATTAAATAAGAAATGGTGATACAATTTAGGAAGTGATTTAACCTAAGAGATAGCTCTCACTTTATGAATAGACCGATTGGTTGATAAAGTTCCGCTAAATCGGTTCTAAGCAGACTGCAAGGAACGAGAGCATTAATTCGGTTTAGCATCAACCTCCTCAAACCCTAACAAAAATTCACGATGTCACGACTTCCCGCTTTTTTTCAGCAAGCGGGACCTCATTGCTCCTCAAGATATGGAGGAAACCATAAGAAATGTCACGTTGTTGTACCTCGTTCTTCGCTTGTTGCAGCTCAGCTGCAGCATCTCGCTTTGAACTTGGTTGGACAGCAGGGTCTAGAGAACGAATGCTTCTTCGTTGACGGTGTACGTTTTCAGAATCTGACTGGTGAGTGTTGCGTGCCTCGTACTCTCTAGCCCTGTAAGAAAACACCTTGAGCATGCTACCGAGCCCAGCGGCAAGACTCTTCGCACCGTCCAGAAGCTCTTCGTAGCTTTTATCTGCGGAAGACTCCTCTTTCAAAACTTTAGTCATCGACTGAAGGGCATCTGCTGCAGCTATCTGAAAGTTTATCAACTTATTAGCGTGCATTCAGGCGTCACAAAGTGGCATTCGAGGAGAAAATACAAATTAGACTTTACCCTTTTTCCTTTAAAGGTGGTGGATCGGAAAAGATTGACTAAAAAGCTCGCTGGCCTTTCCCTTCAAACTGAGGAAGTTTATAACTGCAAATGTTTATTTACAAAAATCCAGTAGGCTACATATACCTGTGCCTCTACGGTAACTTCGTTAACAATCGAGACGGCCTCGGCTATAACATTTGATGTCTGCTGTATTCTTTCCACAGTCTCCACTTGTACAGCAGACAACTGCTTGACAATGCTGGATTTCACCTGTAAAAAAATGACGTCCATAAATGCAACCTGTTGTCAAGAAAGGCTAGTCATGATCAGCATTTACAACTCAGTATTATAATTCCATATAAATATCCTCTTTAACTATAAACTATAAACTGCTAATGAAAAATCGTTATTATCTCCGAATTATTTTAATAGTGCAATTATGCAAGTTTTTTCTCAGTGTTTAAGAGAAATTAAATACGTAATAAATAGATAGTAACATCCTAATCAACGTATTAAGGACCAACGCTGCTCATATAAAACGGAGAACCTTTCCCCCTTCCCGAGCAGTGGAGAATGCTGAGAGTGAGCAATTTGATTTTATTTGTTGTGCACTCACCGCTTTTCTCGATTCTTTGAGCTTATCCTTAGGAATTCTCTTATCATCATCGACAGCCACAATAGCCGCTTTGGCCAGCTGAACAGCCTGTGACACGTCACCTGACTGAAGTAATTTATTGAACTGACTCTGGTTTCCAGTTGTCAACTGAAGAGCGCGTTCTAACAGCTTGACCGCGTTTATCTGATGCTGTAGTACCTGATATTAGATAAGAGGCAAAGCAGAAGAGAATCATTTCAATGAAGAATCGTCAAAAGAAATTGGCAGAAGCGGCACGTTTTTAATGAATTTTTGTCCATACTTTACGGGATCACCGACGAAGCCCGCACTACAGTTGATTCCGAGATGGGTAAGGGCAGGGACCATCATAAGTGCTTTCTACAAGAGTGTCTTCCCCAAACTTCCAGCTAAGAAGGCGGTCACACATTTCTTAAAGGGGTACTGAGCATTGGTCAGAATTTACACGTCTCAATTTACCACTACTGCAAGATATCATACGCTATTCTCACCATTCATTGATATAGAAAAGTAACCTTCAAACTTTCCTTCCTTCCGAATAAAGCGGCCCTAAATAACTTTCTCTAAATGCTCCCCTTTCATACCTGAACAGGAGTCCTCACTTCAGTAAAGGCTCCGAACATGTTAGCCACTCGTACACGAAAGTCAATTGTAAAGTTGTTTATCTTTTTTCCAGCGGGAAGCTTTGTCTTCTTCCTGCTTTCCATCCCTTTGTGTACAACATTGGGAAAATCGTCATCGGTGAAATAAATGAAGGAATACTGCAAGGGACGATCTGGATCTTCCCAACCACTGCACTCCAAAATGAAGGTGGTCTCCAGCGTTCTTCCAGACAAAGGGGTGACGTTACATTTTCCCTCTGTGGGGGAGCCATTAGTGGCGAACTGGTACTCTGAGTAACCCGGATGCCCTTCGCGGCGTTTAGCAGTCAGTACGAATTTGTAAATCTTATTAAATCTCAGCACCCCAGGCTTTGTGACGATTCTCGGCGAGTTCAATCGTGTACGAATTTTTTCTTGTAAATCACTGACCTGAATCCATTTAGACTCATTCGCTACTACTGCCTCAAAGAGAGTCCATTGGTAGGAAAGGTCTCTTTCGCAGTCAACCTTCTCACACAGTCGCTCAAGCGCTAAACGACGAGAAGGATTCGCTTTTGAGTCACAGTTATCTACACATCTTGGATACAAAAAAATGAATTCATTTAAAAGGACGCAGAACAAAGATATATCTTGTAAAATTTACCAATTTTGAAATATTTTTCTACGGGCATGTTTTGAGTTAATCTACTTTTTTCTATGTTTTCGGGCCAGCATGTTTTTCTGTGTTTGTGGTAACTTACAAGTCTTCATTTGCGCTGGACAAAATACAATATTTGGCCCGCAAGAAAAGCCATCAGTTACAAATTTTGCTGTCCGAAAAATGTCAAATCACTTCTCTAAAGGTTGTGATCAGTTTTTGACAAATGAGTTTACTACAGGACCAATACATAATATTAGATGTACCTTGAGGTTAATGCACCTGTAGCTCAAAACCGACTTTGGTGCCGTTCATTTTTCTTTAAAGTATACAAAATCTTTCCCGTAGGCTCAGAGCCCTCTTAAATAATCGAAAAAGAAACTTTGTTAATCCTGTTTTTTTATGTGTTCTATCATCGTACCTTATTTCGACTACTGGAGGATCACCAGGAGAAATAACCACTTCCTGTGTGAAATACGCGCTTCTCGGATGCTTCTCGACCACAACTGTTATGAAATACGAATTATTCTCTGTCATATACCCACTGTCAATACTGACGATAGAATCGTTGCCGCCTATGTTGCCCGCTCCAGTCCCGTAACATCCTCCACGGTCGAGATTGGCAGCTGAAGGACTTGGCAGGGCCACAGGCATTTGAAGTAAATCGTCAGAAAATTTTTGTGAAGAATCTCTGCATATCCACGTAAATCGAAGACCTAAAATAAAATGCAGTGTAGGAGAGCCAAACTATTTAGCATTAATCATCAACCAAATCTCACATTCGACGAGATGAGAAAAGGTCGCAGTGTGTGAAGACGTCTATGGTCTTGAGACAACTCTTTCTAGAGGCTAGTCAACCAAATTTTTCACTTACTTCCGTTTGAAAATAAAGAGTAAACAGCATCAAACTAGAAAAGTTACCAGCAGGGGAAAAGAAATCCTACGAAATGGAACTGGGAGAAAGAAAAAGACTCAACAAAGTAAAAGAAGGAACGTAACCCGATCGTAGACTACAAATCGTCTGTTGGAAAGATATTTTTTTCCGCAATCTGCGGGGGCTCTGTTTATGATAAGCGTAAATTTTAGAATGGGTAAGATTGCCGCTGCCCCGGTAAATTAAGAAAAGCAAAGTAGTCAACTTACCGTGAGGAGGATGGAAGGAATCGGGGTCACGTGACAAGGAGGCATTGAACACCAAAGTTTTATTAAATCTTCTCTCCACTTTCGTTCCTCCGGCTATATGCGCAACTAATGGACTTTCAATTACTCGAATGTAGCCCTCACTGAAACCAAACACTTGCGTTCCCGCCATTTTTACGGTCAGTCGCACCACATAGATACCCATTAGTAGCTTGCCTCGTCTTATGAGAAATTCTGAAGATCCACCATATTTTGAGAGAACTGGGTGTTCACGTGATTGCGAATGCAGATCGTACACATCCCAGTTAAATACTGTTTCGGAGGAAAGCTCACAATCAAGAATGACCTCTGAAGAGATTATTAGGCGATTGGCTCGACGCACAGTTAAGAAGGACGTTACATTTGATGACAAACTTGGCAGCTTAACAGTCGGACTTCGACATGAACGCTCTGGGGAACAAAGATTGAAAAGTCTTAGATTCTGGCGCTTTGAAGACACAATAATCTTGACGATGCTGAATTCAGAATCGGAAAGTTGTTTTTATATCCTTACCAGCAAGATAAGTATCACAGTATCTTCCGACAAACTGTTTTTTGCAGACACAAGGCTTACTCGTATTTCTGTAGGATTCAGACGTCAGTATACATGTCCCTCCATTTGAGCAAATTACACCTTCACATTGGTCAACTTAAAAATTAACGAACATTATAGATGAGGTTGGTGGATAAAAACAAAACGATAGATGTATAGGATAAGATGAAGAAGTCAATCAATGAATACATAAAGATAGGTGAGCTAGCTATGTCTTTTTATGCGCAAATCACCCAACCCTTCTAGATTTTATCACCTGTCCCCTTTCATCGTATCTACTTGAGTTGACAAGAGTACACCCATCCTTTGAAATTTTAGACCATGTGATCGAGAAGTAAATTTTTGGTCTTGCTAAAGGACGTGATGGAGCTTTACTTACACATTTTTGTTCTCACTTTGATTGACTCCGAGAAATTTCCAGAACCAACCCTTGTAAAAGCAGCCACTCGGATTGAGTACCAAGTGTCAAAGCCCAATCCAGAGAGAACAGCAGTATTCTCAGAATAAATTGATTCATCAACCATAGACATAGAATTCCTGGAATTCTTTACACTGTATACCAGCTTGTATCCTTTGATTACACCATTCTCATAGCCCATAGGGACTGGTTTCCATTCCACGACGATGGACCAAGAGTCGCTACGAACCAAACTTAAATTCCTCGGGGGTGCACTGGGCACTAGAGAAATGCATATAATGCACGTGGGTGTTACCAAAAATTTTTATAGATCTACACCAATATCAGTATCTATCTTTTTCCCTCTGATATGAAATTAAACTCACCGCCCTCCAGAGTTCTTGCTGTAACAGCTCTACTTTTCGGTCCCTCTCCTGCCTCATTCACCGCCGAAACACGAATGACGTACAATGTGAAAACACGGAGGTCAGTTATGTTGTACTCGACTGGATTGAACGCGAAATATGAATTGATATAGTTGCTTGGCCGAGTAGCCAGGCTGATATAGATCTTGTGCATGTGGATCTTTCCGTGGTGATGTTTTTGAGGAACAGCAGTCCAGGAAACATGCAAACTTTTGGAACTCTTTGCACTCACCAAGACTTGACGAGGTGCGTTTGAGGGAACTGGAAAATAGAAAATCACTCCAAGTTCACTTGCTGACACGACAACAGTGATATCAATTGAGAACTTTTAACGAAAACTTAAGAATGCGGCACATTGCTTATGTGCAAGTCTTCTACCAAACTACGCAAATTAAGAGCTAACACAATTAAAATTTTGGAAGAAAGCACCGATCAAGATTCTCCTGATCACCAATGGATTACTGATCTTTGAATCATCTTTGGATGACTGTTTTATAGAAACCTTCCTACCCTCTGCGCCTGTTCGAACCTTTGCTGTGTTTGCAGGTCCTATTCCTCCAGAGCTCACCGCTGATACATTTATGACATACATTGTATAAACCGTCAGGTTGGTCAGTGTTGTGGTATTTGACGTGTAGTTTACACTCAAAGAAATAACGTCATTCTCTGAGTTAACTGGGTAATATGTGATTTTGTAACCGATGGGTTTTCCTCTAAAATCTTCCAGTAGTAGGTGACGCCATTTTACTACCAGACTGGTTGAGCTGTAGTTGTAACCGATGACCGAGTCAGGAGCCCTAAAAGGAGCTGAGGGAGATTGAAAATGATTTAATAATAATAAATCGACGACGAACTTCAAATTTGTCTCAAAACTTGGAACAGTCTGAAATGATAGATGCTCTCAAACTTATCGATTTTAAACGGAATTATCTTAAATATCGATAAACCATAAACCCAAGAGGTTTAGAGATATAAGACATTTCCCTTCCTTTAGTCTATTAAAAAAAAAAAAAAATTGGCTCATTGAAGTATCATCGATGCGACGGTACCTTCTGCGTCTGTCTGGGCTTCTAATGCGTTTGCTGGTCCTATTCCTCCAGAACTCACTGCAGACACATTAATGACATACTTGGTATAAACAGTCAAGTTGGTCAGTGTTGTCGTATTTCTTGTGTAGTTTAAGATCACAAAATTAACTTTATTCTCTACATTAGCTGGGTGGAAGGTTATTTTGTAACCAGTGGGATGTCCTTGAAATTCTGTCTCCGCCAGGTGACTCCATTTTATTATTAGACCTGTGGAGCTGGAGTTTTGTGCAGCTACCTTGTCAGGAGCTCTGGATGGAGCTAAACGAAAAACAATAAGATTTTAAGTTCATCCTAGCCCGTAGAAAATGTTTAACAAAAACCAAATATAAACTCACTAAGTTTGGAAGGGATATGTTGTTAGGCGACATACAACACTCCTGTCAATAAGCTTATTCATAGGATGTTGTTATCTGATTCACATAAAATTTTAAGTTTATTATCGTGTTTTAACAAGATATATGTAGCATTGGCCGCAAATGAGAAAATCATTCGAAAATTAAGCAGATTGCTTTAAGGGTTGCCGAAAGGTGTGAAATTTCTATCCAAGGCGGTCTCGTGGTTCTTAATTCTAGAAGGTTTTTTTTTCCAAAAGCTCCCAAACCGAAAGCCATTTTCCACATCGCCTTACCTTCTGCGTCTGTTCGGGCCTTTACAGTCTTTGCCGGTCCTGTTCCTCCAGAACTCACCGCTGATACGTTAATGACATACATCGTGTAAACTGTCAAGTTGATTAGTGTTGTTGTAGTTTTCGTGTAGTTTACAGTCACAAAATTAATATTCTTTTCTAATTTAACCGAATAATATGAGATATTGTAACCGATCTGCTTTCCGTGAAATTTTTCTTCTGCCAAGTGACTCCATTTCACCGCCAGACTTGTGGGACTTGTGGCGCAAGCTGTTATCAGGTCAGGAGCGAGAGACGGAGCTGGTGAAAATAATAATATCAACGGCATATTATATAATATCTTACATTATCTTATTATTATGCTCATGAAGGATCAGTAGATCACCGAAAGATCTTCCCAAAAATGATAGCATTTGAAATCTTAATTTTAATTATACATTTGATCGCCAAGGTATGCATATGAAGATTTGAAATTTCATTTACACGATATTTTGCTCTCTTAGTTACGGTGGACGAACATGAATTGCACGTGATGACTAGTAGACATTGGAAGGAGAATTCCTCATGAAAAAAAAGAAAATGTTTATGGTAAAGAAAAAGGATATGTGCGAATGAAGGTAATGAATGAATGCTGCAAATAAGATAGATGGGTTTCATCCTTCGTGAATAATGCTTTTTAGGTGACAATCTTTTCACAATCGAGCAAATATGCCCTCCTTATTTTTCTTTCAGAGGTCACGGTAACGAATCCCTCAATCTGATTGGTTCTTTACCCAGTCATTTTTTTCCTATCTCTGCCCACGGGCCACGGTAATGCTTTCGTGAGTTGCCGAGTACGTCCCAACTTTCGTTGTCATTTTTCATTGAAGAAATGTAAAATGGTTTCCGTGTTTACATAGCCTGATGTAAACACTTGAGAGGTTGGGAGAACACTCGATAAGCTGGAAACCACTCCGCTTCGCGTCGTGGTTTCCTAGGCTTATCTCGTGTTCTCCCAACCTCCCGTGTGTTTACATCAGGCTATGTAAACACGGAAACCATGTTACATTTCTTTTATAAAATAACTAATGAAAGAGGAACGGAAACCGTGTTTACATACGCTCATGAAAATTGGTTTTATGGCCAATAAGAGCGCGCGTACTATTTGAATTATTTTATAAAAATATATATCGTTTTTCCGGCTGGGCAGTATTTTTAAGCAAACACGTCGGTCACTACCTCAAGCCGATAAATAACATATGAATCCTCTCTTTTCTCCCTCTCAAATCACTCAAGAAGCTAGAGTCTTTCGTGCTCTCCAAACTTCCCGCGTGCTTCATATCTTGATGAACGCACGCTGACGTACAAACCAATTGTTAATTGTAACATAGCTCGTAAATTTGTCTAATCAATTAAATTTCCAACGCCACATCTCTCCGCTTTTTTCTTTCCATCTAGCAAATCCATTACAATAAACATTTTCATCCCACTCTCGCCGAGTTTAACATAAGTTGCTCTAGTTCAACGCCATATAAAATTATGAGGTTATAGCCTTTACAATATTTGTAATGTACTCTCATCATGCAAAAAGCAACGCATATTTAGCCACCTCAAAAAAAACAGTTGTCCCTCGGTGTGTTTAAGTGAGACAAAATTTCCACCCACGGAAAGACCACCAGAAGAGCTATCCTGTTACATAGATAAAATCCTTCAGCCGATCACCTGTCAACAGAAGTCATACCTCAAAGATACAACAGACTTCATCAACTTCATAGAAAAAATAAAGCTTCCGAAACAAGTGATACTCGTTTCAATAAACGTTACGAGTTTATACACAAATATACCCTCAAGCCCCGCCCCTACCCCCCTCTGCACCATTCCAAAGCGCTTACCAGGCGCTTACTAAAGAGAAAGCACTTAGGCTGTTTTTACTAGAAAATTCATCTCAATTCAACGAACAAAATTACTTGCAAACGCACAGAAGTGCCTTTGAGCACAAAAATGGCAGCAGCTTTTGCAAATATCTTCATGGCTAAAATCGAAATGCAAATTCTAGATAATTGCGCTCCCTTGGAAATGCTACTCGACGACATAATCTCTCTCTTGCACACTAATTGATATGTTGTCAACCAGTTCATTGAACAAGTTATTAAACACCACCCAACAATCACATTTATGGCTGAAATATCTGTTTCGGAAGTTACTTTCTTAGACACTGCTATCTATAAGGGTGAAAGATTCAACAGGGAGTCAGTTCTCGACATGAGAACCCACTTCAAGCCAACAGGGACATTCCACGTACCAATAGATAACAAAGATGATTCTAAAACACGTGTCATCCACCGGGAGCAAAGAAAGGCTTCGTTGAAGGCGAAGCGTTACGACCCCTAAGGACTACTACTTCAAAAGAAATTTTTATTAGACAGTTCAAAAGATACCTGGATGAGAAAGGCTACCCGAAAAAATGTATCTACAACCCACTCTCAGAAGTGAAATTTAAAGGACGTAAACGGGCCCTTCTCCAACACGGAAAAACGAACAGTTGAATCTTGCCCTTTGTAATAACAAAATACCATTCAACAGTTCCAAACCCTAAAGAAATCTTTATGAGCAAATTACTATAGCAACAACCACTGCTGGAAGAAATCTTCAAAGAACAGCCAATAATACAAAAGGGGGCGTTTACTGAGACATACTCGCGAGAGCAAAGTTGTAACGATGGTGAGAAACCCGGACATACCATGGAGTTGTCTAAACGCTTGTAGTTAGTACCGAGAAAACTGGACATAGTACAGAGTCATTTAGGCCTGTCAACACCAATTTACACGGGAGCATGAATTAATCCGGTTTCTAAAGCAAATAAATAGTTTTCATGATCACGCCTGTACCCGTCATATCCCCTACCCCGCCTTACAAACGAAGCATACCCCGGTCTCGCCTTCCTATTTTCATCTAGTATCTCGCCTCTAAAGAATCTCGTATCCCAAATCCCGCCTCGATTCTAAGCCTCATCCCACATTCCGCCAAACCTATGTTGGACCCTTAATGGCTCCGGGGACTTTCACGACTTTAGTTTGCGTCAAAAAAAATTTGATACTTCTAGCATTTATGTCTGCGTTATGCAGAAATTTGACAAAATATAAGAACTGCAAAATCTTGAATTTATTCTTACCTAGCTCTCGCTTGGTGGATACAATGATGCTTGCTGCATTTTCTGGAAATACAGGGTGCCTTTTCTCTGTTAAACCATGAACTGGTAATATGCTTATGGTGTACTTAGTGTTGCTTTGGAGGCCTGCAACTAGAGCATAAGTCTTATTCCAAGGGAGGGTCTCATTGAGAGGGATATATTGTACAAGAACTTTATAGCCGAGGATAAAAAGTTCTGGGACTGGGTTCCAATCCACGCGGACACTTGTATGTGTTACGTTGCTGACTCTGATTCCAGTTGGACCGGAGACAAACACTGAAAGAAAACAAAGAGTAGTTTGCTTTAATAAAACTGAGAGTATTTTTCCTCTTTCTGGCTTATTTTCACTCGAATTATTTTCAAACTGTGTAGATGGCCTTTTTCGTATCTTTAAAGACATCTATTGGTCACTTGATGTAGCTAAGGCTATAAAAAAAATTATTCTTTGTTATCTAATTGACGAATGATACATTGATCCCAATGAATGATGTAGTTAATTTGCGACGACAAACAAATAAACAGGAAAAAAAGAGATTTAGGGACCTATCCAACGATGAAATGAGAAACGGACGGGCATTTGGAAGGTTGGAAAAATGGATCGACATATGGAGGTACTAGAGAAAGAATGGGCGGCCAGGAGGAAGGACAGACAGACGAATGGGCAGATGCATGATTAGCCATTCGAGTTATGAAAAATTGTACTGGTTTGTTGATGTATAGAAATGAAATGGTGAGAATATTTCCAATATCACAAAGGGAAAAAGCTTTCTTACTTGTAAGGTGATAAACATCAGCCACTTTTCGTCCCCCTCGACCCCCAGAACATCCTTTCGAAGCATTTAGTCGAGGTAACACAAAGGGCAAGTTCTCGTCACTAAGGCATTCGCTACCATTGCGAACGGCAAAAGATTTAAGACCACGTGACCACGCCACAGAGCTGCAGGCTTTGACAATTTCTAAAGAGTAGTCTTGATGTAGTGATATCACCTCACTCTCAACAGAATAGCAGCCAATTCGCTCAACCATCACTTGTTGGGTAAGAAGGATATCAAAAGTTTGTTAACATTAAGCTAATAGATAGTGCTTTCGGCGAGGTTTACAGGAAATGTCTCCTGCTGACTCGATCTATCACTCTGCTCTAAGCGTTTTTGAAACGATAATAATGTCGCTTTCGGCCTGGTCAAAACCTACTTATAATTTTAGTTGCTCGGTGGCCTATAAGTCCAAATAGAAGTATGCACCAGGTTTAGGAGGCGGGCAGGGCTAAGTGCATTATTCAGTCACTAGAAGGCAGCTTGCGGCTCAGCAGAAAAGGTGCACAAACTCAAATAGTTCGCCAAACTATTCTGTTGGTGAAATACTCTGGAACAATAAGAATAAGCTCTATGAAAAAATATGTGACAACCTGATCAAGTTCAATTTCAACACTACCATAATAATTAGATTTAGCGCCTGGGGCGCTTATTAATTTGCTTTAGTTTCCTTAAAGGTTATTCGACACAGGGCAGTTAGTAGGGAAAGGGTCCTTATTTCTCTTTTATAAACAACAGAATGTGCGAAACAAAGCTTTCCTCCAAAAGGATCAAGAGGACTGGAAAACCGCCTTGTTGTTCCTGGATCCTTCCTAGCTAGAACGACCAGCGAGCCAATCGTTACAAAATATTAAGAAGTTTAAAAAGAAGTTTAAAGGAACTGCGAACTCACAAAGACATAATAGTCGAGAGACTGAGACAAAAACCGCTGTTTTTATGATAAGACTTTAAATGAGCAATTGAAGAAGATGAACCACAGTAGTATGTATGTGAAGTGCTATCACTCAAAAAGAAGGGGATGCTTATTGGAATAGGGGCGCTCATAAGTATGAGAGTATTCATACATGGTCGCTTACTAGAGAGGGGGTGTTTATGGGAACGAGGACGCCTAATCGAATCATTATGGTTAGACAGTCATTCGACACGTTTTCCACATCAATAATATTTCAAAAATATACATTTTCTTAGATCACAGTATTTAATGAAGAATATTTACCACACAGACAAGTTGAAAGTTCTACCACTGAGGGGTAGTGGTTTCTTTGAAATATCTTGTGTTATTTAAATAAGTCAAGAAGAGTTTTTCGTGATTCATTTCTTCTTTTTCCGGCTAGCACTCTGACTTTTCTCTCGGATATTCGTCTTATAAGGAACACAGCTTCAAAATGAATCACTTACATTGAAAAAAGACTCTTAACATTACATAGAGAATAATACATGGGTGCGCGTAGATATGGAATTTTTCTTCCAGTGTTTAACTCGATAGCTCACGAGTGAGCGTAGCGAACGAAAGAAATTTCGAGTTGAACACGAGGAGAGAGATTTAGTATCTACAAGCAACCATGTATTATTTTTTTTTTATCATACAAACACAATAGTCCTTTACTGACAAGAAAAGTAGACTTTATTAATTAATGAAATTAAAAAGATCCACAATCCTCACATAAAAATCGCAAAGCGCGTTGGCACACTCAAGATGAAAACATGCTTTGAATCACTAACAACAAACAATGGGCCTATTTTCAATATACAAAATTCTCAATTGTTGAACTGGTCCTTACCGACAGACGAAATCTTTCAGGTACACGGCCAAAATCGGCCTGTGGCAAATCGTCCAGTAGTCGATTTTGGTTTTCAGCCGCGAGAAATGCCATTGCCAAAGCCACTGAATAAGTAACTTTCGGTTTTTCTTTTCGTTTTTTGGTTTTCTTCCCCTTCTAGGAAAGTTTGAACATCACTGTCTGTAAGCGATACGGATTTTTCAGTTTTTTAGCAGCTATAATCCGAAAAGATTCCGACAAATGACCTTAGATTTAGAATGGTGAAGGCTCTACTATTCATTTGTAAACCTGACTTAGTGGCGCGAAAGGCGAGTGACCTGTCAGCAGCTGATTGACGATATCAAACACACGTGGAAAAATATCGTATTTTTTTAAGTGTGATGTTACGGCTCTTCTCGGGGATGAAAATCCTTGTGTAACACCGTAGTTTATATGATAAAAACAATTATCAAAAAAGAATTATTTAAAAACTCTCATCTTAGAAATGATGTAACAGGGGAAATATTATTAAACTCCTTTGCCAGGCTCATTTTGAACATATCAGCTAAACACAATTTGCAGGTACTGGTACGCGATGAGATAAAAATTCCGCAAACAATACCTCCCATTTCTGTAAATGAGACACATTGTCGAGTTGGGGTACTCGCACCTTTACTCACCGAGATGAGGCTGAACAAAGCAATAAACTTTGCCGCTGTCATTTGTATATTTGTCATATGTGCTGTCGTAGCAACAATCCCGTGCCAAACACTGCTCCTTTGTGATGTTAGGCCATCCACATTCAATTCTGCGAGGGATTTCTTTTGAATTACAGTTACCTGTGGATATGGAATGAAGGAATATCATTTGTTTGGCCGGAGCTACAAGTAACTGTTCGGTGGTTTCTTTTTTAATTTTAAAATGGTAGTGAATAAATGAAGTAGTCTGTGTTTTCATTATTTATTACGTACTGGAATTCCGCGAGGTTGTGGACACGATGGTCATTTCGAACTAATTGGCTGCTGATAAGTCCAGGAAAGGGAGGTCAAGCTGAAAACTGCAAAGATTCTATTTTGGTTTTTATTTTAATAAGATTGGAAGCGGTCATTTGGATGAAATATCCATCTGTATCAAGACAGCCTTCCTTTCCAGAGCGAATCAATGACGGTAAGCGACCATCTAAAGTGGATGGGCTGTTGAAGTACACATAAGATTAAAATTTATTCTCCTTTCTTGGAGGTAAAAGACAGTAAATTTCAGTCAAGTACCGACAATCAGCTTGTCTTTTACAATTAATTTTTCCACCTCAATCAGACAGACTTTCTCGAAACAACTATTTATTCAAGAACTTTACCTCTCAAGAGTTCTCTTGCTTTCATGACAATTCTAATCCCGGTGAATTGGACCATGCTGTTGAGGTCAGGTACCGAACAATCTCCTCTATACCACCAAGCTCCTCTATTCAACCATGCGCATGTTAGGTATTGAACCCCGTCATTATCCCGATTCCAAGTGGAGAACGCAGAGTTGTTGATGTTTGGGAAGAGATCAACCGTATTACCTCGACATTTTCCGATTTGAATGACATAATCAGTCAAGGGACTCAACACCTTAAAATTATCATACTCCAAAAACAGTGTTTGGTTTCGCTCATCAAAACGATTCGGGAATTCAAATCTAAGAAGGTACTTTCTTTTGAACGTTAGAGTATGCATGTGCCTATTTCCAAGCCAGTACCCGAGCTTGGGTTTACCAAATCCATTTTTGTAAGAATTCCAGTCTCTGTAAAAGTTAAACTTAGCACCACTACGCTGTTGAAGGAGAATCCATCCGCCATCAGGTCCTTGCATGTCACACCACGCACGAATGTATCTCTGGTTTCCGAGCAGGGAGGCGATTTCAAGTCTTTGTAAATTGTAAAATCCTGTCGACCGTCTTCCATTTAGAAAAAGTCTTGAGCAGCTCTGAGCTAAAAAGGTGTAGGTGAAAAAATATTAGAAAACATCGAGGGACGACTTTGCGCAAGATATTCTGGTGTTCGAAATACTAACCCCGTCTTTCCATTGTTCGACAAAGAAATACTGAACCCTAATCTTGGAGTGGTTCACAAGGAAAAAAACATAGCCATACTATGCATGCAAGAGTTATTTTTTTGTGGGGTGGGTGGATTACTTGAAACTTCGTGAGTGATGTCTACATTCTTACCAAAGGAAAGATGAGTATTAACGTGGAAAAGAACGAAAATGTCGAATTAACTCTCACACAAGTATTTTGTGGTAGATTATGTGTGTTGTGCGAATAACTGTAACAAAAAATAAACTGTATTGGTGCCACGGATACTTGTTAGTACAAAATGCAGACAGCAGACAGGATACAAAATGTAGACTAGGTACAAAATGTAGACTGCAGACTGCAGAGTGGGTACAAAATGCAGACTGAGAATCTAAAGAGTTTTTTCGTCTGATATGTGATAACATGTCATCTTACAACTTACCGAGTGTCACTCAATCGCTTTTCCGCGATCGGCTTTCACGATTATTTGCACTATTGTGGAATGTTCCTGGCCCATTTCTTGATGAAAATCGATCGTAATATAATTTCAAGCCTTCATATGGTCTTCTCACTTTGCGCGCGAGTTAGTTGGTGTGATGTCTGTACAGATTTTACCAACATAATAAAACAAGATGTAGATGTAAATGAGATGTCTCTAAAATTTAAACCGCGCAACATTCGAGAAACAATTGACAGCTTTGCACGTGTCCGTGTTATCATCTTTTTGAGCGGTAAGTGTTAACTTAGTTTACAAAAATTCGGACCGAGACCAAAACTGTTCCTTCGACTTGATATGTTTTCGACGTTAGTAGATCACGTCATATTAACTTACCTCCGTAAATCATTCATTCGAGATAACAAAATCAAATAAACATGCTAACGATGGTATCTGAATTCGTCCTTGGCCAAACACAAACGACTCCACAAGATCACTTTCTCCATGCATCGAAAACATGCACAAAATCGTCCATAGTTAATTTTAATCAGACAATCATCTGGAGATAGCACCAAGCAAACCAATCCAGAAAAATATAATAGGCGCACTCAACAAATCATGAATCTTGCAACACAGATTGCCGTTAAAGAACTGCTCAAATCAGAATGTTTGGTGCAACTCATCAATACCTCTAGCAATATTTGATTAAAAAATTTTCCACTCGCTCTCGTCGTGAAGGAACAATAACCACGATGGCGCTACAGTACACAGAACTTCATTATCTCTCGTACAACTATCCATCATTTTCACAGCATGACTAATACGTTTACTATAGGTAATCTGATATCTTTCATCTGTCCAGTAGTGTCGCATTTCTCGTAAAGCGCGGTAAAATACACGTTAAAAACACAGAAAAGCCAACATTTCTCATTCCAAAAGGTGATTCCAATTTACGAACCGCTCTCTCCGAATTCCCCATTACTTCGTTGAAATTTGAACACCTCTCAAACCAAAGAACAAAAACGACGCTCTGATTGGTGCAAGATACATACCCTAATGCGGCGATCTGATTGGTGCGAGATATATATACCCTAAACGATTTGATTGGTCCAATTCGTCCTTGGCCAAACACAAACAACTCCACAAGATCACTTTCTCTAGGCATCGAAAACATACACAAAATCGTTCGTAGATAATTTTAATCAGACATCCATCTTGAGATAGCCCTAAGCAAACCAATCCAGTAAAATATAATCGGCACACTCAACAAATCATGAATCTTGCAACACGGCTTGCCGTTAAAGAACTGCTCAAATCAAAATATTTGGTGCAATTCATCAACACCTCAAGCAATAATTGATTCAAAATTTTTCCACTCGCTCTCGTCGTGAGGGAACAATAACCACGATCGCGCTACAGTGCACAGAACTTCATTATCTCTCGTACAACTATCCATCATTTTCACAGCATGAGTAACATGTTTACTATAGATAATCTGATATCTTTCATCTGTCCAGTAGTATCGCATTTCTCATAAAGCGCGGTAAAATACACGTCAAAAACACAGAAAGCCAACATTTCTCATTCCAAAAGGTGATTCCATTTTACGAACCGCTCTCTCCGAATCCCCCATTACTTCGCTGAAATTTGAACACCTCACACACAAAAGAACAAAAATAACGCTCTGATTGGTGCGAGGTACCTAACCTAATTCGGCGATCTGATCGGTGCGAGATACATACCACTCTCTGTACGCTAACAAAATTTTTTTTTTTTGAAAAAAAAAAATAACTCAACGAGCAACATATCACTTTCTGTACGCTAACATAGGTGCTATTTTTTTTTAATAAAAAAAATCAATAACGGGAAATTGACAAGCGTTATTAAACCACGACATTTTACAGGTTACAAGATGGCAGAAACAATTAGAATTACATATTCCGGGTGAGAGCTCTCAATATTTTTGTAACTCTCTATCTTATTCTAAACTTAATGAATGAATGTATAACAAACCGCATTTGAAATCCTCGTCGTGGAGTGATTTAACTGCAACTCCTCTTATATGAGAAGGATATGCGCAAAGGCCAGTCACATCAGCTTTCCACAGGGAAGGAGTTATTCCACAATCACACTCCAGAGGGTTATTGTCCAGTAAACTGTAAAAAGAGTACAGTTTTTAACACTAAATCGATATGGTTCTCCTCCCTGGCGTACAAGTAAAAAACGTTTTGAGCTGAAGGATGCCCCCTTCCCCTCTGGGAAAAAAACATAGAACACTTCCTCTCTTTCTGTCAGTAGAGAAAGTCGAAATTGAGTGCAAAAATTTGAAATTGAATTGATTAACAAGACAGTTGCGAAAGCGCAATTAAACAAAATGGCGGATAGGTTTGGAGGAGTTAGCAACGTCTAAATTCAGAGTTTGAGGAAGAAAACACCAAACAAAGCGCAAAAAACTGTCAAAAAAGTCTGGAAGTCTTAGGCTTTCAAAAACGGCTATAACGAAAGTATTGAAAAGTACCAACCGGAGGCCCTGAACAAATTCCTCGAGGAGTTACATAATATGCAACAAGACAGTACGAAAGACAGGGAAGATTACGAACGTGATAGCCGAAGCGATACCTAACTGATAAAGAGTGCAAACACTCGATTATTCATGAAAGAATGTTATAGGACTCGAACTAAAGCAAATTCTTGCGGGAAAACCCCGACAAATCCGGCAGCAACACAAAGGCCAGTAAGCCATTACACGAAATATTTATGACTTACGAGGAGAATAGTCCCATTTTTGCATGCATGTTATTAATAAGTAATCATATGACGCTAGAAGATAGTGTCGCAGAACATTTGACTCGCATGCAAACAGAAAACCTGCCGCATCCCACATATTTATGATTACTCTGTTCCACAAGAGAAAAATGATTCAAGAATATATTGTCTAATTGATAATAAACCAATTTTTTAACAATATTAATATAATTATAATTTAAAGGGGTTAGCTCGAAAGCCTCATGGTTCCCCCTATCCTATGCACTCCAACAATGATTACCTATGCTTCTTTTAAGGTTACTTTCCACCTTTGACATCAGAAGAAAGCTTGCTAACTTCAGTTTACGATAAAAATATAATTTAAGCGACTTTTCCTATAGGGAGGGGCGAGGAGTCAGTAAGGCGTGAAACGACCAAAGGTTCTTCTATTTGATTTATCGGGTATCGGATGCCGCAGCACGATGAAATTGGCTGCACAGTCTTATTCACAAGGCATCAATCAACAAAAGTGTGTCAGGCTTTTTCGTTATTCTTATTGGTTGTCTAGATATCGGTATCTATAGTTGGAGCTGCTAAAACATGCGAGGCGTGTTGCTTAAATGGGACAGCTATTTCAAATATAAAAATTTCCCTACAGACTTTCGTCTGTCATTATTCCTGGAATGTTTGGGCGAGATTTAACGAAAATCGGTCAAAATTATATACCTACCCTATAAATTCGCTGAAAGTGGTTTTATTCCTACCAAAATAAAATGCGAGATTTTAGCCCATAAAGGTTCGCAAACAACTCGCGCCACTCTAAGAGATTATCACCGCCTCCTGAAATCGCAAACCAATGTGACAACGGAACCTCCTGGCGTCAATGACGATGTATCAAGATTTCCCGAGAAAAGTAACCCGTTGCAGTCACGTTTTTTTTTTTTTTTTTCTCTTATCGCGATCGCTAAGCGGAGCGTTGTTGAGGACAACACAATAATGGGCAAAGTTGTACAAAGGCATAGGAAAAACTCGCGGCAAAAATGGAAAAACCGGAAATGTGCTGAGGAGCAAGAATGATCGACAGACAGTATTAAAAATTATGATTTTTATGAAGGCTGGTATTTTCATAAATAAAAGGAAACATTGTTTTAAATACTATGTATGTCGAATTTTGGTTTAACGGCGACTTTTTTGTTCGAAATCTTGACTCCAGCGTGGAGCTCTACCAGTGCCAGTCGCTTCTACACAGGAAGTCTTTTCTTTACTTTACAGAATGGTGCTCTTTCTTTCTTCTTTAAGAATTTTTTTGTTTTGCGTTATTTTATTTTTTTTTTTTTTTGCTTTTTCATTAAGAACTTACTTCCGCTTTTGATTTTTTCCACGAGCAAAGATTTTTTTCCATAAGCTAAGAGCTTCCACGTTTGAATTTTGTCAAGTGAGCGATGTAAACTCTTATTAACTTTTATTGAAAATTTTATAAATATCTCGGGTGCTTTTAAAGATTTCAATTTTTTTTATGGAAACGTTAAGTAATGTTTGAATTCAATTTAGTCCAATTAAAGAAAAATCGATTTTTTCGGCCTCTGAAGGTGGGAAGTGACCTTTATTTCGCTTGTTTATTATTTTCTTATTTTATCACAATTCCATTTTTTAGACTTTTGCTTCATACAAAAAGGCATTCTGCGTTTTAGGATATTCCCTCATCCTCATCTTATGATATTCCGTCATTCCGCAGATCCCCTATTTCATCGTTTCTCCGTTCCATCATCAAGGTATCACATTTCGCAGCTTGCTCGCTTCGCAAGTCACTGATTCAAAAAGTAAAATGCTCTCTTTTCAAAGTAAAAAAATCGCTCAAAGCGACTTAAACTTACAAACGATATATTCATTTGCATCTCTCTATGGTACGAGGTTGGAGTTCAAAAGAAAGTTTAAAAAACAAGCAGTATATGAGAATTAACTTAATTGGGGTATAGGTGTGTCTGTTTATTATGCTCTATTAAAAGGCTCGGGACAGAAAGGCAGTTGCTGAGACAAAGGGTTTCGTTGTTACTTGATGATTTCATTAAAATAATTATGGAAAGAATCGAAAAAAGAACAAAATTACATTAGCGATAAAAATGCACAACTTTCCTAAGAAGGCAAGCCGTGAGATCAATGTTATATAGACTGTTCACAATTCAATTGCTTTCACTCTTTCCCCTCGGCAAAACATATACTGATAAAGCCAAACTTACACTTTCGATAGTCGCCCAATGACACCTTCCACCTGAACGCTGCCTGGTGTAGAGATAAAATTGTCCCGGAGATCCCTATGTTGAATAAAGGTTTTGAGCAGTAAATACTGACTAAACTTAACAGAAGAATTGTGTGTTACGAGCCTGAGCCTGACGTTTAGACTCATCTGTAGATAATTAAATGTACGAGTTTCAAGCAAGGGTTATTCGGGGAATCGGTAACTGATGTCTGTATGAAAAACTTCGAGGGCCTCGTAGTAAAGGGTTTAGGGATCAAGGGTAACCATTCCCGACAACTAGATGGAAAATAATCGGGAGAACTTGCCCGTCAAGTAAACGGTCGAGAAGAACTGAAACCGCTGTTGTATTTTCCTTTTACCCGATTATGATTTTTCTTATGTGTCTAAGAGTGATGACAAGGAACATAAGCGTTTACTTTTAAGGAACAGGCGAGGTGCTGGCGAACTTTTATCTCCAGGCCTCTCATTTTGGCAACATTTCTGCTGTCCCTTTCTTCTCAAACAAAGCTTTTTTCCCAAAGGTAGTGTATTGTTTTCACCGTTGTTTGCTTTTTTATTGATGGAATGTAATCATAATAAAGTATTGAGTTTAACGAAAATCTTGCCAAAAGACCTTAAATTGAACCATTTAAATTAATCTAGCTTTACGTTGGAAAACTCAGTCTCGAGCTCCAAACGTCGATCCATGTTCACATCTACAAGCAAAAAGAGTAAACATGTCCCACATGCGTGATGCAAGCCAACACTGGCCAGTTTCTCTGGCATGAAGCATTTGAGATTATTGCTATCCCTCCTGGAAAGGATGCTAGACCACTGCAGTAACCCACCGGCGTTTCATCAAGTTTCTCCTAAGTGGGCCAGTACCCCTGAATACTCCTGGATAGAAATATACACTGTGGATGAAAGTTGTGTCTTGACCAAGAGTACAATACAATGACGTAAAGAGAACTATCGACCGACGAATAAACATCTTAAGAGTTCATAACACTTCAATGATTATAGAATGGAGAGGCACCTTCTCGAAGAATTATGAAAAGGTAGCTGATTTACTTACAATACTTGCAGAGCTTTAAAGTTTCTAAGAACTATCAGCGGCAATAGGCTGGATATTTCGTTGTTCCTCAGAATTCTGTCGATATCAAATAAAAAAAAACCGGATAAAATAAACTTGAAGTGGAGAGAAAATTTAACGAAATATTTCATATTCTCCTCTTGTTTTAGAAAGTGTTATCACTAAGAAGAGCTCAGGGTTCCCTCAGGGCATGAAAGACGGTAGTCATCTTCCCATAGCTAAATTTTCACTAGCTTCTATTTCTAATGTATAGGAAAGGAAATCAGCAAATGGTAGCAATGATTCAACGGAATTAAAAACTTATTACCATCTACCACTTACAAGTGTGTTGTCGTTTTCGGAAGCTCGGACGAAATTTTGGCGAGTTTATCGCCTGCAGAAGTGCATTCCACAGTCACACGAAGCTCTTCGAACAGACATGTACAGTTCAATGCTTGAGAGCACAAAATTTTTGCACCATTTTTATCTCTCCCCATAGCGATACCACTCTTTTGAAGCCCCGATTTCACAGGAATAAAAACGTTCAACAAGGTGAAGATGATAACTTCGCTGAACATGTTCTGTTGTTGTTAACTACTGGTCGTTTTGTTTAGTTACCCTTTTTCGTAGAGTTAAAACACAAAATTCCCTTCAGAACTCATTGAAACCTAGCTAAGATCGCATAGACTGATTGTTAACTTGTCTATATCCATTTCTAAGTTTGATCAGGATATCAGTGAATTGTTATATATTATAATGAAAGGTTAAAATGAATGCAGCAGTCATGAATTGCCAATCAGTGAGAAACAATTGACTGCTCATTAGGCTATTCAGGAGGTATCCCGAATGACTAAGTTTTTGAGCAACAGTAACAATCGACTTTATAAACAAGAGCGAATTCTCTAATTGCAAGTAATGAAATAATGAAAGAAAACAAATTCCCGAGATTTTTCAGACAGTGTCAGTGAGTGGGTAGCGCTCCTCTTGTTGTGGTATGCACTTCTATTTACTCCATGGAGGCCTACTCCGGCTCAGAAAAAAAGAGACCCCTGCGGTCTGATAACGGCATCATAAATGCTCCCGAATTCCTTTTTAATTTCTT